CCCTGCATATGTACCATCGTGCATCACAAAGGCACCAACATGTTCTATGGGCCCGTTGGCTTCTGCGAGTTCGACAAGATCTCCGTTCGGGAGCTGCTGCAAAATTGATTGACCGCCATTGCCTGAGGGCGCAGAGGCATTGCTGGATCGCTCGGTGTACTGGTAGAGTGATAGCGCTTCGAAATCTCCAATGAATGCAACACGACCGATCTCACTGAAATCCAGCTGGGGTATCTGGACAGGCTGGACCTCGAAACCATCGGCACCCCACGACAGCACAAGGAGGAAGAGTTGCAATCCCAGAATCGCCAGAAATGTACAAGTCATGCTAGGGCCACGTATGAAAACTATGAAAAATCAAAGATAGTCTGATACGCTGTCGGACTTGAAATGCTAGCATACAGTGAGAGTTGCACAGCGGGATATTATTAGATGTCCAATGCAGTTGGGCATTTGAGGGTGTCCTGATTTGTCTAGCCTATTATGCACGATGATGCGAGTGGATACCATATCGAGCGAAGGATCTCGGGGGCCGCGTACAGCCCAGCTGTGGCTGAAGATCATCGGCACCACACCCTCGCAAATCGAACATCGCCGAATGGGCAAGTATTTCTCCCAGCAGTCTTGTTCTCCCCGCTGTTATTTCGAATATATCTCAATCTTCATGCGACATCACATCATTGCTAGGAAGGTAGTGTCTCCGTAGTCCTCCAGTCATCCAGGCCGGCAGAGCAGCTGGACAACACGCACAAGCAATACCAGCGGTTCACACCGCCTGATTGAACATTTTCGACACCCAAGGTCTAGATGTTTCGACAGTAATCACCGCCCAGATCTTTTTTCCCTTGGTGAAAATGGCAGGCTGGCGCCTGGATTGGCCTTTGACGAGAAGGCGGCAACAATGGACGCGGTCTGGGACAGCACATCGCCACACCGAGCCCAGCACATCGAATGCAAAGCATGACTCGGCGCACAAAGAGCCTCTAGAACCTATGTCGTCCTTGAAAGAGACGAACATGAATTGGATTCACGAAGTTCAGACGCTTCCAGCCTACGATAAAGGACTCATGACCCGCAACACATGTATCGGCGGACTCATCTTCAGCTGGCTCGTATCCATCGCCTGCGTTACTCTCGCACATTGGACCTTCCAATCCGGCCAACTGTTCCGTACTCAAAATGGTGGTTACACCCATAACGGGCAAGGCGAACGCGTCTTTTTCCTGAGCACAGTACGCCAAGAACTCGTGAAGCTGGCAGTCAACATTTGTATCAGTCTTTGTACGGACTGTCTTGGCTATATTCATTCGGCGTCCACTCGCTGGGCACTTTGGCGCGAAGGCCGGCTTTTGTACAATTCAAATGCTCGGCTTTTAGTAAGTACGCGCCGTTATTCATCCAGCAGATGGTCGACCAATCTGGTCTCGGCGTTCCTTCTGATGATATGTTACGCATCATCTGGCCAGCTGTTCTTATCCTCGACCAGTGCCGAAAAGAAGGGGTTCGTTCTCAATGGCATCGCTATTTCGGCGCTTGGTATTGGCATACTTGGTCAGGCTATGATCTCTACCCTCTGCCTCTGGGATTCTCGAAAGCTCATACCGACATGGAGTTCAAACCCCCTCAATACCGCTCTCACGTGCCTACATCATGGGATGCGCAGCGTTGATGGTCGCTGCATGCTTAGTGTTCACCAAACCGACTGGGCATCAATGCCTGAGAAGCCTCTCCCCACCCAAGCTTCAGCACGGCGTGCTATGCCCTCAATCAGACATATCACCCGTTTCCTTTGGGCATTTGTCGCTCTAGTAATAGTCTGGGGCATTGCCGTAGGGTCAAATCCATACTTTCGAAAGACCTCATCGACTACCTTGCCTCTCTACGGGGAGTCCATCCCTGTCCTGGAGCTCAACCTCTGCGCCCTACTCATCACAACTTCTCTGCAAATTTTCCTGACTCTGTCGCTGCATCTCACCGAACTCCTGGTGAATTTGTCCCGCGACGAGCACATCTGGCGCCTTGCCACCAGTAAGAAGGGGACACAGCGTTCCTTCGGCCCTGTCGGGTCCTTGAAAACTGCAATCTCTAGCTGGCAAACCGTCCTCCTTTTCGCACTGAAATCACTTGCTTACTGGTTATTCGGCTTGGCTGTGAACTCCGACGGCCAAAGTGTGTATATGAACTGGGTAGGCATTCTCCTACTACTTGCTGGAGTAGGTGTCGTGGCCGCCTTTGGATCGTTTCTGGCCTGGAGCCAGAGAAGCGGCTCGCAGCCGGCCACTTTTGGGCATTTACAGACACTGGTCAATTTGATGGACGATTGGTTTGAAGAGGAAGTGAATGTATGGTGGGGCGATAAGGGCGTTGCAAAGAATACTACGGTTGGTGGTCATGGAATCGTCAGGCATGCTGGGACCTCCAATGTCTGTCTCCCGGGTGTCAAGATGGATTCTCTGTACCAGTGACATTCCTATCTCAACAAGTCTCCCGGCGTTCGGTTTCCGCGGTCGGCGCTGCGACTGGGAGTTTTCCGCATGCTCCAGATACGTCTTCTGAGCCTTATCCCATTTGTGCTCATGGATCGTCCAACTATGACAATTGTCTACCCACGTATGGAACCAAGAGCGGGATCGAGGTTGCAGTGACCGTCTTCGCAATTGTGCAAGCACAGGAGAGCCATAGTGCTGCAACCTACCACTCACATTAATACTTACTTCTGATAAAAATATGCCCTAACATACTTGGAAATAAACAACTTTTTGGGGAAAAATCCCAAATCCAACAGCAACTTGTTATAATGAATTTGATGCTGATGACAAATATTAAGGGGAAGCAGCCCATATTACTCACCACATCTGGACCTAAAAGATCTCGAACTACTTGACGCAGACGACCTATTGCGGCTAGAACCCATACCAACGATGAATCCCAATGAACCGTCATCTGTACAGCTAGCCACTTTTGACAAACAAACCCAAAGTGATCACCAAAAGAAATTACGACCCAAACAGTGCAATAACGATTGCGTAGCTCCTTTTCGGCCCTAGGGCGGCCGGCAGAGTGCGCGGCAGCTGAGGGAGCGTAAAATATAAGACCATTTCAACAGGCATGCATGGGTAATGACTGTCAACAGAAGCCAAGTTAGAATTACCAGGATCGGGCTGGAGCCAGGCTTCTGTGTGCCCTTTGGTGCGTGGGCTGGATGTGAGCGCAGGACCAGCTGACGGCTTTTCCTCAGCTTGTCCACGGGTGCGGGATTTAGTGGACTCAAAGAGCGATGGATCTTTTTGGGGTCCTTAGTACCTGAGGGCCGCGCGAAGGCCGGCTTCGAGTGCTTCGGCCGTGGGCGTTGGAGGTTGGGAGGTGGGATGGGGGCGGGGGTGGGGGTCGAGACGGTCACAGAGGTGGGCTTTGGGGAGGTGAGGGCTGGTTGGGGGACGCCCTGGGCAGAGAGGATGGCGTGGGCTGGCGTTGGGCGGGGTCGGATGTGGGTTTTGGAGGTTTGGGGGTTTGAGGGAGGCGGGGAGTAATGGGGCAGGGTTGGAGTGAGGGTTTATGGAAGGTTTTTGGGTGTGGGTGGGGGCTTGTAAGGATAATCGACGCTGCGTTTGCCCTTTTCGGGTGTTGCACTCCCTTCTGGTGCCCGTCTGGACGATTCCCCCCGCCCCACACACACCCACCCACCCACTCAATCCTCCTCAGCCTCATACCCTTCAAACATGTCCACCCTGCTCATCCTGCCCAACATTGACCTCCACTTGGGGCCCTTGGCTTGGACAAGCGCACTCCTCAATCCACCCGCACCCTCGCCGCCGGGAAGCTCCATCTGGTCTAACCATCCATCTTGATCAGCAACACGATCTTTTCCCCAAGGCGGACCTTACCCACCCATCCCAAAGGGTTCCATGTTCACTTAGATATTCTCCCAGTGACCCTTCGGCGCCGCAAAGACCTCGTGCATGATGCTAATGTGCGGATGCGACTTCATGGTCCGGTTCCAGCAATCCCAGCCCGCACGCTGCGCTGGACCCTGCGCAGACGCTCGTAGGGGCTCTACGTCCTTCCAATACGAGAGCGAGATGAGCGTAGTGTTGGTCTCGGCCGTCATGCCGGCCAGTCCGATCGATCTGCCTGGGTCTTTTCACGCCCCTCGAACGATCAGTCTACGTCCAACACGCCGTGGGTGGGGGCGGATCGGGAGGTGGGAGGTGGAGTGAGATGCGCACAGCCCACTTTATTGTCGGTCCGCTTCTGCTTCTTGTCCACATCGGGCGGAAACGCTGCCCGACATCCGCGAAGCCCGGTGCCGCTTTCCCTTGCGGACTGCACCTGAGCGTCAGCTTCGGCCGCCAGGTCTGGTCTCCGACCGGCGGCTCCCTGGCTCGAGCTGACGCCTAGGACGGAAACGAACCACCTTGGGTTCGGAGCCGTCAACGCGGTCTGAATTACCATCCTGCGACAGCTGGGCCGTGCAGCGGCGTCGGTGAGCCTGATCCTGGCTCGTTGCTGACGGGGTCGCTGGCACGTTTGGCGGGAGCGTCGTGAGTGCGTTTGCGGCTAGTAAGAAGGCGGTAGAAAGAGAGCCACGACGGAGTGGGAGGAAGGTCGCGAGGAGAGCTTGCAGGCAGGCTCGCAAGACGAAGGAGGTTGTTGTCTCACTTTTGGGGTTTAGAGTCAGCGCTTCTGGAATGTGCATTGTGTAGCGGGCAAATCTGAGGTGGAAGAGGCTGATGCTACGGACTTGAGCAACGTTGCCTTGTTTGTAGTGTGAAGCGGCATGATGGAAGGAGATTGTTGGCGTATCATCGACGGGCAGTCAAATTGAGAGGCGTTTTTCGCAGAGAGCGCCGACTAAAGCCGACATGTGGATGGCCCAATGAAAGTGAGAAACATCTATCTAATTTTAAAGAGAAATCGAAAGATTAAAAAAAAATTACGCGTGCCCAATTTTCTAATCCGTCCAGGAATACTGTACTGTAAATTACGACATGATGTCCGAAACATACACACATGGTCACCGAGGCTTGAAGTATCTTACAACCATGTGGAAGCGAATAAGAATCATGAATAGATTCAAATCTCTGCAAAGTCCAGTTTAAGGTTCGAATGAGTGTACCCATGTTGGGGAGGCAACAAAGAGAAAAATGACCAATGCTCGCCCAAACACCTAGCCAGTCCTTTTCCCTCATCTCCTCTGACCCCAATGCCTCAAGTTTTCTCCAATTCATCATGCCCCCATGGCGCCAGCTTTCAGAAAAAAGCCTTTCTCTTCTCATGATGGTGGACAAGATCACAGCAGATGCTCCACAAACGATAACCATGAGATAGATATGATCAATAGTCAATATGAGAGCTTCCAAGGTCCGACGTTGATCGCTTACATTCTGGCTCCTGAAGAATGATGTCCTAGGCCAAGCGATAAGAGCCTGAAGGGCCGAGTGAGTCGCATTTGGAGAGATGAGAGCAATCTTATCAGTCGATTGGTTGATGGATATGCTGGTCGCGATCGAGAGCGAGAGACTAACGCCAGTGACCTGCCACAACTGATGAACGCTGTCGCGGAGGGGACGTGGTGCTGAGCGACTTTTGCCTGGGCTACCAGAAAAAGGCGCCTTGCCAAAGAAGCCCGTACCAATCGCTGTGATGACGCTATAGCCGTAAACCTTCGCAGCACTAGAAACTGGACTGATCGTGTACAAGAGACCACCGACACTCGCGATAAGTACTCCCCCCACGGTAAACCATGGCATATACAGACTGTATCTCTCCAGGACGACTCCATTGATCATAGCCCTAAGCACGGCACCGAACACGAAAGGCAGCAGGCGGATCCCGGCTTCCAAAGCGGAGTCATTGCGCACGATATTGAAAGGAGAGGAGGATGAAATACACCGGAATTATGATACAGGCGATGCAGACTGCGACTTGGGCAAACAGGATGCACATCTCGTAGGTTTTGAGGAATTGCACAGGCAATATGCTGTTTTCCTTCGTTGTCAGGACAGACCTAGACTGCTGGAGGCCGAGCAGTATCTTAAGGATGCCGGAGCAAAAGAATTGGCCTATGATCTGGCCATTCTTCCAAGTGTAGACTGCACCACCGAATGCAATACCCATGACGAGCGAGACGGAGGCGCCCACGAAGAGGATGATGCCTGAGAAGTCAAGGTTCTTGATACATTGTCCAACGCGGCCCTCTGGCTTGGGCCGATATGAGGGCAGTAGAAAGAAATTGGCTGGAGCACAAGCGGCGGCTACGCAGAGGTTGATATATCCTGGTCTGCACAAATACCCCGGGCTTGAACAACGAGTCTGTAGCAAGACTGACACTGGCTTTTGCGTTGAATCTTGCTCGGCGCATCTTTGAGATCGATTGGAGGATACGGAACGGTGAGAAGATCATCCGGTCGCAGATGTTGGCTATGTCGCTTTTCCAGAAGATGATTGGGGAATTGTTGGAAATGGCAATATCGGGCGAGTAGTCGCGCAGAAGTGAAGAGAAGCCATGAGTGGCGAGATTGTTGCGTTCGATCTCTACATTTTCGAGGATTCTTGGCGTGATGTAGGTCAGCTGAGAGCCTCTTCCCTGAAAGATCTGCTGGCTACCCCGGGCAGAGTCACTCTGCATGTACCTTTGACAGAATCAACTCGAGGTGTGATTGGAGCAGAACAGCTTTCACAAATGAAGGGGGGAGCGGTATCCTAATCAACGCATCGCGTGGCGGCATCGTCGATGAGCCAGCCTTGCTTCATGCCTTGAACTCCAGGCACATCCACGGCGCAACATAGGATGCAATGGAAGTCGAGCCTCCAGTCCTTGAATCCTACTCCGAATGCTTCGAGTTGACAGTACCATCATGACTTCTCACATCGGTGCCTTCGCAGCTGAGAATCAAAGCAAGAGCGGGATCGCGATTGCAGAGACCGTCTTCGCGGTGCTTGACGGCAGAGGAGAGCCGGGTCTTGTCACTTGATATCACCTTGGGCACTCCTAGCTTTGTTGATCTTGCCGCTGAGGCCAATGCCTGCTATGACGGCTCCGAGGGTTGTTGCCTTGAAGATGGTTTCGATCTGGTCGATCTTCATGTTTCGATTGTACGGCTGTCTATAGACCCGAAACAAGGCGCCAGCTGTGACAAGGATGTAAGCGCCTGTGAGGAGATGGTATTTGTAGGCTCTCAAGGCGGAGTCATTTTCCATTGGTGATCTCGTGATGTGTATGATTTTGTGTTGAGTGTGGCAAAAATTCTGCAACCAAGAACCGAAACAAACTAATGGCTTTCGGGACTAGCGGGCTTTCTGGCGGAGTTGAGACAAAACGCTCGGGTTTCAGTCATCTATCTGGAACGTCTGGGCATTTGCACATGCTGCTTCATCCTCGGAATCTGACTATAAATAATTTATGGGCAAGAAAAGCCTTTTTGCTCCACCTTTCCAGCTACACTTTGACTACCTTGGGGAAGACATGGACACGGTTGATGCACGTTTCTTGTAGGTATCAAATCTTGACACCTTTCACATGTCATCAGCCGAGATCTCTAGCTTCATAGATAACGTTATAACTCACAATGCTTGATACACGAGCCATCTGCCCTGTCAAGGAGACGTTTCTCGTCTTGTTTTGCGGCCAGAGAAACAAGGATAATGTCATACTTGCTTGTTCCACATCTTTCAAACCTTTGCTTAATCGCGTAAGCTTTCTTCGTTTCAGTATCCCCACCCTGCTCGGCCTTTGCCATCCATTCTGCCATGATCTTTTGACTGCACATATAAGAACAGGTCCTGCCTCCTTCCTGGGAAAAATCATACACCTTGCGCTCGCACATTTCCCCTGAGTACACACAACCTTTCCTGCTACCTCATACCTCCAAACCCTCAACATGTTCATGAAGACTTTCCTCCTCTTAGCCTTAGGCGTTCAAGCTCTATCCCTTCCCGGTACCGACGAAGCCCTCGAAAAACGCTCTTCTCGCGCCTGGATCGGCTCTTTCGACAGCGACGACACAACCTGTTCCAATACCTCCGTGTTCCAAGACAACTCAGCATTGCCCCATGCCGCATGCGTGCCATTTCGGCTCCAGGGCGGTAGAGTGGGCGGCCGCTGGGGCAGTGGTAAACATGAGATCAACGTCATACAGGCTTTCGAGGACACTGGTTGTCAGGAAGCCCAAGTGAGCTTTACCAGGATTGGGGCAGAGAAGGGCTTTTGTGTGGACTCCAGTATGTGGGACTGTGAAGGGGGGCTGGACGTGGGCAATCCGTGTTTTTGGAACAGTGTCAAAGGGAGTCGAATTCGATTGGGTAGGGTCTGAGAGATGCATGGTTGGAGGCTAAGAGATGTTCTTTGTGCTTGATGATCGGATAGGATGGACTGGGACCTGCTTGCTACTTTGTATTTAATCAGTCACCACTCATGCAATTTCTTCTCGCCTTCTCTCCGTACCTAGTGGTACTGATCAGATCATAGAGTAAGCGTGAAGGTGTTTTCTATGTCCATTCCCTGCATGGACTGAAATACTCTGGATCCGGTTATACCGACACTGAGGTCGATGCCTATACTGATGCCGATAGCTATGCCCATACTGATGGCGACACCGACACCGACACCGAGAACTCTAGCATAGATGACCCATGGCCTAAGGCTACGATTAGGCTGGCACACTTCTCTGTCAAAGAGTACCTGGTCTCGGACAGCATCCGGCATGGATCCGCAATTGACTTTGGCCTACAAGAGATTGACTCCAACGAATCTATGGCTGAAGATTGTCTTGCATACCTTCTATACTTTATCAAACTAGAAGTTCTGACATCCGTGAGCCTTAGAGAGTACCCTCTAGCTCAATATGCCATGGCATATTGGTTTGAACATGTTCGAATCGCCCAGAGCAGCACGAGCTCAGCGCTTCCGCTCGCTCAAGAGCTGTATTTGTCAAAGAAAGACTCGCTCGTCAAATGGATTCGGCTCTATGATGCGGACCCCCCTGGCCACTGGGGACCAATCCGTATCCTAAGCTCGAGGGAAGAATCGCAACACATTGGTCTTCCAATGTACTATGCATCATTGCTTGGCCTGCTCGGGTGAGTTAACACCCTTCTCGAAAATGTGACTGATGTTAACGCACGGGGTGGGTATAATGGGGATGCTTTACAAGCAGCTTCGGTATCGGGCCATCTACAGACAACGCCTGCCCAGCTTCGGGAACCGTGGGGTGAGAACGATGCGGCGGACGTTCCAGAATTGGGAAGCCTTGGAAGAGGAAGCCTTGGAAGAAGAAGCTCTAGAAGAGGAAAGTGCTGGTGCATCAAGCGAAGATTGACTAGCTATAGGCGTGAATTTGAACGATAATGCATTTTCAAGAGAGGTATACGGACCCACCCTAAGCGCTGCCACTGCCATCACTGTCCACTGCCCACAGTGCCTCCCAACTCAAATACCTGCCACGGAGGCCATCGAGTCAATCTCTGTACCTACCGCTGGCCATCAACTCTGATTGTTGAATTAGCCACTAATCCATGACATTACCCGTGTGGCCCAAATGAATAGAGGCCCCAATCCTCTCTCATGTTATAGTTCTATAATTCAGGCGCGTTGCCAACAAAAAGTGACAATGTTCACGATTTTATTTTTTCAAGAATTGCCATGTTTGCCTGCGTGGATATTGTTTTAGCGCGTTTAATTCTCTGACTTTGATATCATTTACCGAAAGAGCCGATCTATTCGGATCAACACCCATTCAGACATGCGCAAAGTAAAATAAAGAAGGCGAGCTTTCTCCTCTTAGGATCTGAAAGTTTCGAGATCCCCTCTATGCATGACTTTCGCTACATTTCCTCGCGAACACGGCATGTTCTATAACCTTCATTCCCAATCCCAAACATCATCAAGACGCAACGCTTCCTCGTCGATAGGGTTCAGGATGAGCTCGCATGCAGATGAAAATCCTATCACGGCTCAAACAGCCATCGAGCAAGAGTGGCGGCCCCTTCAACCTCTAGCTTGAGAAGTATCCCGTTCCAAGCTTTCCTACGATATTCACAAGCATCCGCACACAGCACAGGAAAGACACTGGCGCACCGCTATAGCCAATGAAACCATAAGCGAAGCATACGCTACATCACTGATCGATGACACGAATAATGTCTTGCCCAGCGTCTACTCAAACACATCTCAGTGCATGGATACCAGCTTGGTGATAAAACTCCTCGGACTCGGGAAGGATAGAGCGAAGTATGGAGCCTGACCGCCGCTGATATGTCCAACGGCACTGAACATACTTCTTCTTGTCAAGGAAGCAACGCAGTGTGGTAGCTTTGTCTCCACAGGAGGTGATATATAAATTGGGTTCGTTGGGATCTGATCTGTGGTTTTTATGATGTATCGACGCCGCTCGTCTAAAAGCCTAAGTGCTATGATGACAAAACCATGAGTTGATTGGCAGGTCACATGCGCACGGATTTTTGTATGGTAACACAGGATCAGGGATACTACCGTCAGGACCGGTGATGTTTTATGCGGAGAGGTTGCCAGGCGCTGGTGTTCAGGGAAGATGTACAGTTGGTCTGGGGAATGTTATCGAAAGCAGAGACTTCTGACCTGGGACGAGATTCCAGTTGGTAAAGATAGCGCAGTCCGTTGGATTGACTGCACTGACACCCGGACCTAGGAATTACTCTGAACGGTAAACATCGCCAGAACTACCAGGCGGGCCAGTAGCTTGACCAGTAGGTATAGATAGAGGTAAAGTGGCGCCGGTAGAGGCCGCGGCTATGGACGGTTTATGAGTGGCTACTAGGCAAATACTGAGGAGCTTTGCAACTGGATGCATGATGGCGTTTGGGCAAGAGATCATTGAGCGTCCAAACTCAGACTCTCAGGAGTAGAAGTCAAAGAATTTTCACCTAAAAAGCAACGAGCTTGATAGATTTTAAAACTTCCCCCGCCAGCTGGCTTCAAGCAGTGTTTGAGCGGCCGTCGTCATGCTGAAAGTTGATGCAACGCACATATGGATCGGCTGAGACCTCTTTCATTTTTCATCGCTCCGTTTTGAGCCAATAGTATGTCCACGCCTACACTGAAAAGCAGTTTGCAGACCTTGCGTGAGCACCCGATATCCTGCCAGGAGTTGATGCAAGGCGAACACCAATCAGCGGAGCGCAAATGAGAAGCAGCTGGGACCGGCGTAAATTTTTCTTATCCATCCGAAGCTACCGGGGCGAGTCAGCACTCACGTCAAGAAATTCTGTATAATCCCTTCAAAGCCGTAGTGATCCGCGATGCATCTAGCTGGGGGAGTGGAGTCCACAGAAGCGGGGCTTAGCGAATAGGAAACTGTAGGGTAAGTTTCGTTTTGGTAGAAGTAGAGCAGTGCCGATGGTTTGAAAGAAATTAGACAAAGGGAGGGCGGTGTGGTAGCCAGGGTAATGGCAAGTCGCTGCTCCCAGTCTATGAGATCCGCGATATCCTAGGTTATCCGTGCTTGATGAGTAAACAAGCGAAGGAGCTTGGAGTTTGAACAACCCCACTTCTCCAGCTCTTTCAAGAGCCGCAAGCAAGTACAGAGTCAAAGGCGCGGTGCGGGATCATCTGAAAGGCTCTTGATCTACTTTTTGAGGTCAGCTGCTCTGTTCATAGATGTATCAATCTTCTCCCTCGTATTGCCAGAGTCTTCGAGGATTGTCCACGAAGATCTTCTGTATCAGCGCTTCATCTTCTCCGCACCACTCTTTGCACTGGGCAATGAAAGCCGGAACATCAAATTTCCGATAATCCTGCACTGCCTTCCTATCGCCCTGCGGATTGGCTGCAACGCCCCCGGTATGCGGCCAGTCAGAAGCCCACACTACCTGAGTTGGTGCAATGCGAAGGATCTCTCGAACATAAGCGTCCAATTCTGGCAACTTTGAGAATCGATAGATGCCGCTCAATTTGACCCAGACTTGCTTCCTGGAGAGCAGATCCATGAACTCCGTGTACCCGGGCTGAAGACGTGGGGCTAGAGTCTCATTCGGCGTTGCGAGGTGGTCTATGACCACTGGCACCCCCAATTTTGGAACCTCGCTCGCTATTTTCTCAATATCTGCAAGGCCAATGTGCAGCTGGATTGCCCATTTCAAACGGTGTATTCTCTGGACATACGACCTCAATGTTGTTAACAGTTCTTCCTTACTCTTGTTCTGCGAAGTGGACTTGAGATTGATTCTAATGCCTCTGACTCCCAAGGCCTGCATCTCGTCCAGGTCCTGATCGGATATCGTTTCCGGGTCTATGGAAACCACCGCGCGCCCCTTGCCTTTCAGGTGACGGAGAGACTGGAGTAGTAGATTGTTGTCGGTGCCATAGACCGATACGGCGACAAGGCAGACATGATCGGTACCAAGCTGCTCCTCGAACTTGAGTAAGTCCTCTAGGCTTGCTTTCTTCGGCCGAAATGCATGATCTTGTGCGAAAGGAAAATCTTCCTGCGAAAGGTGTTCAGCGTCAAGCACGACTGCCTGGATGGCCTTACTCACCTCGTCAACGACGTGCACATGGCTATCCCACGCACCACGTGGAAGATTGGTTGGTTTTGAAATGCTCATGGTGGGCGCCTTCCGAGACCAAATTTCAAGTGACCTGGTTAGAGGATGTCTGAATTGATACGGTTTGTAGGGAATTTGGGCACAATCAATTCGCACTCGAAGAGCAAGTGGCCGCGCGACAACGTCAACAAGACCACTGCACCTTCCGAGAGGATGCGAGAATGGCAGCATGCAGGCTTCGGTAATGAGTCAAACTTGGCAACTCAGTCAAAGATGCGAAGGCAGAACTATTGTTGATGGAGACCTCGTAAATACAGAAACCCCGGGCAAACGTCGGGGTCGCAACAACTGATGGGTATGCAGTCTCGAATTGATGAATGCAAGAATAGCGAATCAGAAGTTTGCCGATGAAGCCATTTCTTGTACTCAGGCCGGTTTTTAATATTGGGACACTTAGCCTATCTAAGTAAGGTCGCTCAAGACCACCACTTCACAGTTTGACAACGAGGACAGTTGAAGGGATAATTTCGGCTTTTGAAAATTAAAAAAAACCAGGAGAAAAGTTTTTGTATTAGAAATATAATTACAGAGGGTTTGTTCGAGAAGTTATTTAGAATAAGAGAAGGACGCGCTTCTCCCGAATAGGCTAAGTGTCCCAATATTATTCGTATATACCCGGAAGTGCCCGATACCTGGTAATGCCCGATTTTAAGTCCGATAAGTCCGGCGCAACACCAAAATATGGGCATTGTTTTCGATTTTACTACATATCTATTTGAATAAGACGTTACACTGCATCGAGGCCCTATGGTGCAGTGGAATACCATAAACGATAGCCTGCTTATTTTTAAAGATACGAAGAGAGTAGAACTTAGAAGTCCAGTCAAGAAAAAGGCTACTGCACCTCCCACACCAGGCCCACTAATACCACCAACGCTCACCCCACCACAGCAACAACAGCAAGGTAAAGGAAGACCTGCTCCGCAACAGTGGCGGGCCCCACCGCAGGCTTCCCCGCAGGCTCCATCAGAGGCTTCACCACAGCAATAACAGCGGGGTGAAAGAGAAGAAGGATGGCAGAGGTAAAGAGGTGGAAGAGGTGGAAGAGGTGGAGGAGGTAAGAAGGTAGTTAAAGAAGAGGTAGTGGAAGAGATGTAATAGAAGAAGAGGTAGTGGAAGAAGACGTGGTAGAAGAAGAGGTAGTGACGGTTTTTCACGAACCGGTAGACCGATAAGGCCCAAAAAAGATAAATTGGGTTCTCAGATACATCAATATTGCTAGCAATGGAAGTCCAGTATTGTCCTTCATGATTATGCCGAGTTGCCATAGAATTTTGGTGAAAGGTAGGCATTTTGGTGTTGCGCCGGACTTATCGGATTTTAAATCGGGCATTACCAGGTATCGGGCACTTCCGGGTATATACGAATAAAAACCGGCCTGAGTAGGCTGTGCGGGGTTAGGGCTAGGGTTACTTGTAGCCCTCTTCTAAATTTGGATCTTCAACGACATGGCCCAAAACAGATTTGTTTGCGACTTCATGACTGGCATACATTACGTCTAGTACTTATTGACAAGCATGTTTGCCGCGACAATTCTTACCCCTCCGCTTCCGTACCTTCCTCAAGCAGAGCTCCTGACAGCAGAGGCTTCGTTCGGCAACCATGGAGAGCAAGCCGGACTTGGCGCATGGCCGAGGCTTGATAACACCTTGGGACGACATTGTCGCAAAGGGAGGTTTATCCAACATTGACGGACCCATAGAAGCGCACATCCTGGACAATCCAGAGACCCGAGAAGCAGAGCGCAAATACATTTGGAAGCTAGACCTTATCGTCCTACCCACCATCTCCGCTCTCTACTTCTTCGAGTACATCGATAGAGGCGACATCGCTGTAAAGGATTTCGAGTCAATTCGGACTGCTATATATGTGATGCGGAAGCCGCACAGAATGCCAAGCTGTACGGACTCGACACCGGTCATGATACTGCGAGACAGGAAGTGGGACCTGGGAAGAAGTCGCTTACGTCCCCTCAATGGCGGCTTTCTATTATGATTTTCTATGTTGGTTTGATCTTCTTTCGGGTATGCTTGCGTCGTCTGTCTGATGGCGTTGAGGTTTTCTGGCTGGAATCGAAGGTCCCTGGCTGTATCGGGTATCGAGTGTTTCCCTCAAAGGTAGGCCATGATTCCAAAATCCTGTAGTTCGTGTATGTGCAGCAACTGCGCCCCTAACCAGCGCTGGAGCTGAATGTAGTCAGTGGATCGCGTTCGGAGTCTGCATGTGGTGCATTGCCAGCTCCTTGCAAGACGTCGCGTTCAACCGCAGTGGTCTCCTAGCTTGTCGCTTCTTCATCGGCACCTTCGAGGGACTTTTCGGAACGGGTATCGTATACTACCTTAGCTTATGGTACCATCGCTATGAGTTGGTTTTACGCGTTTTCTGGTCTCTGGGTCCGACGGCTGTTGCTGGGTGAGGCTTCATGTCCAAGCAGAATCTGTCAATTTAGCAACTTCGATGGACGTTCGTTAACATTGTCTCCGTTAGTGCCTTCGGTGGTCTCATAGCCTACGGAGTGGGCCATATCAAAACATCCACGCCTAATTGGAAATGGCTTTTCCTCATCGAAGCTGTTCCAGGATTCCTTCTTGGGCTATTCCGTCTCTACTGGCTCCCAGACCGGCCTATCAACAACTCACGGTCCAAAGGTACAAAGCAGGAAATTGCTGTCGCACGCTACTACAGAGAATCAGTCGACAGAGTCGGACCCATCCAATGGAAGCACGTCCGTATGACCATCACTGACTAAAGGCTTTACATGCAAGCAGCCATCTACTTAACAACCGCCGCTTGCCTTGCATCTATCTCTGGCATCCTGCCAACAATCGTCCAAGACCTTGGTTACAAGTCCACAACGAGCGCCACCCTCATGACCGTGCCTCCCTACGCCGTCGCTTTCGCGCTCATGTTCATCATCTCCTACAGCTCCGACCGCTGCCGAGACCGCGGCCTGCACATCACCGCCCTCATGCTCGTCGCGGCCATCGCATACGTCCTCCGCGCCACGCTGCCTCAAAGCCAGCTTCACGGCAAATACGCTTGCGTGGTAGGCTACCTTTTCCTCTTGACTACATATGCACGACCCTCATCAAAGTTAAAAACCCCCCCCAAGTGGCATCGCCGTCGCCTGCGTCTACGCAACTTACCCGCCCACGCACGCTTGGGCCGCCAACAACCTCGGCAACGGCACCAAACGCGCCATCCGGTTAGGTATATACACGGCGATTGGCAACTGCGGCAGCGTCGCCGGCACCTACTTCTACCCGTCGAGTGAAGCGCCGCAGTTCCGGAAGGAGCATTATCTGTGCTTTGCTATGAGCCTTGCGACGGCTGTGTTGGCGTTTACGAATCATCTTCCTGCTGGGAAGGGTCAATAGGGCGAGGGATGAGGGGGATGGAAAGGTCAGGGAGGGGAAGAGTGTGGATGTGAGTGAGATGGCGGATGAGAGTCTAGGGTTCAGATCTATTACTTGAATCAGCGAGCCTTGTACGAGGGGAAGGCGTTAAAGTTCTGCGCGAGACATGGCATGCCCGCGAAGTACTTGGTAGAGAGAAGTTTCTGGTATCGGAAAGACGATGGAGATGGACAAGCTGTTGGGAAGAGCGTCAGTCCGAGGTTCTGGAACTTTCTTGCTTTTAAGTCAGTTTTGACGACATGTTGATAACAAACGATATGAGCAAATGGCGCTGCAAGACCCAAGGCTACCTTTTACATCGTTTCAAAATAACCTAACTACTGTCACAGTGTAACAGTGTGACATGAAATTTGAGTGTATGTATCATTGATAGGCTATGTAATTGCCAGAAGGGTACTGTGGAGCCTATGTGCCAAGGCGCGCTAAGACCTGATTGGGAGGAGTGTCTGTGTGTTGGGAGTCTCCACCCTGTGACAATTACAGGTGTAGCTTCTCAACTGACACCGTCTGTTAGTATGCCCCACGATGATGGATAAGCTGTTGCAGTTAACTATTTTTGAAAGATTTTAGGCAGAGAATGCAACAAAAAAAGAAACAAAAAAAAAAGTGACAAAAGTCCAAAGTCGTCCTCGAACCAAGAAGCAAGTAAGAAAAGAGCAAAAGAGCAAAAGGAAAATCACCCAACGGGATTAGAGCTCAGCGACCTTCAGACTCCTTTAACAGAGCCAGTAAGATCAAACTCGTCCATGTGAGTGCAAACCCCTCGAACTGGCGCACAGCAGATGACTGGTACTTCATTGCCCTCGGTTGAGAAATTTCAGTCAAAACGCTGTGTGCCAGCTATGAACCTCAAAGCTTAGGATGTTCCCGCGTATCTAGTGGACCATGTTGTCCGATAATTAAAAATTGGCCGTTAAACTAAAATATAAACTAAACATGACAACACCGGCGAACCTAGTCGTAGTATCTGTTATGGGCCTCTTGCTAATTTGATTCATAGTTCTCTGACTCCTACTGTAGTCTTGTACAGTTCTTCAATTATGAAATTAGATCGTCGGCAGAAGCTACAACACTGCTCCGCCCTCGTCTCCTAGACCATCTCTTCCTGGCCGACTACTTTCCTTCCCAGCGCAATATCCTTCTTGACCGTGAACGTCCTCACATTCCTCTGCGTGTCCACTAGTGTGAATCCTAGCTGTTGGATATGAACGATGCCTGCATCCACATTCCACTCAGTTCTGTAAAGTTCTTTTCCTTACACATGTACCGTAACTGAACCTCATAGAAGCAGATCCATGTCACGACCTTAACACAACCACTACCTACCAAATACCCTTCACCTCTCCCCCTCCCCCAACTCTCCTGCCCAATCCTTACACCGCACGCTCCGACACGTCAAAGCTTTTCATAACACCAACCCCCTACGCGCCCCGCAACCTCTCTACCCGTCCTCACATTTGTCTCATTAGTTGAATCGTCTATTTGACGCAAAAGTAACTAGTGCCGTTTTCTACGCCAAGCCTGCTCTTTGATGTACCAGTCACGTCAGCTATCATGCAGTCGCGCAATGACGGGTCGTTCCCCCCTGACGTCTGACACGAAAAACCTTTTGCTACACTTCAAACGTCAGCACTCTGAATCCTTTCTCACGCGAACCGCCATACTTTAATCTATCAGCCGATTACGGATACGGCGGTGAATAATTTGAGTTGAATCTTGAGCCGTTTCGCTTTGGCTATTCGGATATTTAGTCTTTGAAGAGCTTATATTCGGCATCAGCGAGGGCGGATATGTGATGAGTAGATGATGTGGGTATGAAGAGGGATGTTAAAGGGTGCGAGGATTGATGCTATGGAGAAGGAGCAAGTGAGAGGATTTGTTATTGAGGTTGATGAGGATGACGGCACTGGAGTGTTAAGGACTCTCATTTGAAGGCAGTAGGTAATCGTACCGGAATTTGTTTGAGCACCACTGGAATGAAGTAAATTCAGTAAGCAAAAGGGAAGTGTTCTTATATGGCGAGAAAGTTAATCGTGATCAGTGACAGTCCCAATCCACTTTCAGCCTTTGAGCGTAGTTATCTTCAGCGGCAGGAGTAAAGAGACGAGATAAAGTCCAAATGTTTAATCCTAGACAACGTTCCTAAAGCCGTCAGCAACTCGATCCCGTAAAGCTCGATCGTAATCTGAGTGTTGGGCCCCAGGCCCAGAATCATTGGCACCGGAAATTATCAAGACTAGGTTTTCACCAAAGCCTGCAACATTCAATCCATCCAAGGTCCCTCTCACGGAGATTTGGGATACCTCATTTAGAGTGGTACATCTTGAGGCCATTGAGCCTCCGGCAAAAGCATCCGTGGTACCCTAGGGAAAGGCGGCAAACAGTGAACATGCCCGGATACACCTTCCAATTGGCATTCAAACCTTGCGAGGTCGAGCGGCCACTTCTCTCATCTCATGCAAAGATCTCTCAGCCGTCATATCCTTCCCCTTGTCCATACGTGCCTGCGCCTGTAGCGCACGACGGGCCTCGTCCCCTCTGAACTTGGTCAAGTACTCTTTGAACCCTTGCGACATCTCGATGACTTCTTGAATGTGCTCAGTCTTCAGCAAGACGTCTCCTTCTGGTGGGTCGGAGGTCTTGGCTTCGTGTTCGGCGAGGGCGACTGCAGTTTGAATAGCTGGGAGTTGGTCAGTAATGCTAGCGTTTGGTACGGAAGAGCCACCAGAGCGATGGAACGGTTGTGGCTGGTGGACTCTTACCGTTGCGAATTTCTCGACCGTTCCATGATACCTTTGTACTTTCGAAATATTCTTGTACATATCTCATTGCTCTGCGATCCACTATGAAATCCGTGCGATCGTTCTCTGCGAATTGCTTCCAGATTCTGATCTGTGCCGGAGCTTCCAGTGTCTCATACTTGACCACCAAGTGCACACGACTCATGATTGCGTCATCAATCAGACCAACTCTGTTTGTCGTGAGGAAGATTATTCCTCGGTAATACCCATAGCTCGTAGAAATGCTACGAAGACCGTTAGGTAAGGTCTGAGATTGTAGTTGGCGCACTTACCCGAAACGAGACTGTTTCTCTGCAGATCACTCGTGGTACGGGTTTCGAGGTAGATGTCGGCTTCATCGATTAACATGACCGCTCCCCCGATCTCTGCGAGGTCAAACCAATCGGACAGGTTCGCCTCCATGCAGGGCGGCAACGGTGGAAAAGTTGGTTTGGAGGGCAAACGCACTAACTACTAGATTGCAAACGAAACGCACCAACTACCAATAGAAAACCAACACCCCACACAGCACATAGTGGAGCAGTATAAAAAACAAAATACGCCAGTGGGGGGGGGGGGCCGGTGGGGCAATACCAACAGTTAGGCCCACAGCCCACAGCCCAAGCCCATCAGCCCACTTAACCCAAAATGTGACATTAGCTCTTTAACTCAAAAACGACTTTTAAAAATATAAAACACCCACATCAGTAACCAGTGGTTGCGATCGAACCACCAACACCAACCGAAACCCCAAACACACCACAACACGAAAACAACGGCCACGGAGGACCAGTAGTGCCACCATCCAGCCCGCCTCCATGTCCTTTCATCGATGCCTACAGAAGACTCAGCATACGAAGCTCAATCAGATGTCGTTGGTAATCCGGGATCCTACCTACTTCTGCGCAAGTCAAGGCGCGTAAGGGTCGTTCTTTCAAGGACAATTGACAATGCACGGGTACTTAAGCTGGGCTCGGAGACACTCACGAATTATCTCAGCGATGCATTCGGCAGTGCAAATCTTGCCTACACCCGGAGGCCGTGCGGTGGGAATATCTGACCTTCGCCTTCGCTTCGGATGGAATCCGCATTCCATGCCTCTCTCCGATCTCTCTCTTGATCTTTATATTTGCAGGTGAGGACTTCGACTAACTTCCGGGTGTCTATCATCCATGACGAGGTTCTTGATTGCATTACCTTTGGGCTCATATCGCGAGACGTGGTTGATTTTCAGTCCCTCTATGGTTGACGGTATGGTCTTAGCATATCCGCAATTGTCAGGGGTATCTACGTACCCCATTCTCTATTCTTGAGTACGAAGCCCACGATCTTCCGTGGGAAAAGCATCTCATCTCTAGGGTCAATGTCATCGTAGGTACTCCACTTTCCGTCTACTCCTGACCCCTCATCGTCCAGGTCTCCAATTGGCGGTGGAGCCTCTTCGGTATCACCGTATGACCAGTATGACGTGGGATCGAGAACGACCCTTCCTTTGTACTGCAACAAGAATCAGTACGATACATCACGCCAATCTCCATGAATCTCACATACATATTGCTTTACTTTGCCCAGAGAGCGTCCATCGTAGTTGAGTTGCTCGCTTCCTTTTCGGGGGTACGTCGAAATATCGCTCACCAGCTTTTTCCAATCTTGGTCGCAAAGCTTTGTCCGAGGCCATGTCGGCGGGAAAGGCCTTTAGGCTAGAAACTTCTCGTTCGCCGCTGAAGCTGAAGACACTGATGGAAGTCAAACGCCTACCAATACGTCGGCCTGGCACCGTGTTCAGTAACCGATTCGTGGCGAAAGGAACGGAACTTGTCGCCATAAAAATCTAGGTACCATAGTTCCACTCTGTACCGACTTGAGTTACTCGCCTTGTTCGTGGTAGCAGATCTGATGACAAAGGCCGCTGGCTCGCCGTCAACATCGGTATAGACCCTTGTTGCAGGATTCAGGAGCATCCAAAGCATTTCGAATGTCGCGGTGGGTGGGCTTTTCTTATGTCGAGTCTCTTCGTCTTCAATGTTATTGGTATATTTGGCATCCAAGAATGCGAGTAGAACTTTGATATCAGACCTTGTCTTTTCAATCTGCAGATCTTGAAATAGACCGTCATCGCACCCACCGTCCCCTTTGTTCATCATTCTTCTTAATTTCTCCCGGTGGTGCAGAAGAAAGTGATAGGGTTCAGAGATTATGACAGTTCTTATTAGTTGCTAGGATGGATAGTAATCGACCAATCTTCGAATGGCCCCACGCAGCTGTTTTAATCGGACCACCATCTCTATCGAGCCGATCGACGATATTTCCAGGTTCTGGCTCTTGAGGTCTTTGTCTTTGCCCTGGACTGGTTTGGTTCCTCTCTCCCCAAAGGGATAGATGTCGTTCCAGCGGCTGCAGCACCGGACTGACTGCTCACGGGAGTGCTGACGGCGATCTGTCTGATGGTGACATAGGTGATAATGTCCAAGACCGAGTCAGTGCCACTCCTCTTTTTTTCCGCGGTCATGAGTTTGGGCCATGGTTTGTATTGTTCGTCTTCTTTTATGGGTTCACCAGCATCGTTCCTATACCAAATTTTGTATCTGATTGCCTTGCTGTTCTCTTCGTCCTGCGACGTGGCAGTGCCGGGTCCTGGATTTCCCTCCAAGTCAATGCCATTGGAGATAATTGGCAGGGTGGACTCGGGAGTGTTCGTGTATGTAGCGAAAGGCAATTACAACGCCAGGTACAATGTGATTTAATTTGGATGGGAGAAGATTTCAGTGCGAGACACTTAGGAATTTCGGAGGGGACAAGGCTAGGCTTTTAGTGTGAGGCTCAAGACCTTCAGCTCCGTGTAAGATGTTTGATGATGTGGCATCGCTCGTGGATCTAGCGGTGATATTGGCGATAGCCTTTAAACCGAGATAATACTTGGAACGGGCACATTAATTTGATGGCTCACGCATCGTTTGACGCAGTGTGACCCTATACCTTAGTCATCGTGTCAACGTGGTCCTTGTCAATTGTCATCAGCTCTTCCCAAAATGATATTACCAAGCCTTGAATCTTCACCTAGAAATGGAGCGTAGCATTCGGCACCTGGGTTGCGCTTAGTCTCACGATCCAACCGGACCTTAGCCGCAAGAGCCAGAGTACGAGCGGGTAATATCGGATGCAAAGCTCGAAGTACAGTGGGCTTGAAGAGTTTCGGATGATTATAGCCAAGATGGCGCGGTACGAAATAACAAAGCGTTTCACCTTCTCCCCCACCTTCCTTCTTCAATGCCATCAAACTGCTCTGCCAAACAGCTACCTCTAACCACTGAGAGCAGCTCCATCCAAGTGCTCGATTTCGTGACCGACTGTCTTCTGAAACACGCGCTCACTCCACCCCTGACGACTGCCATCGACGGTCGGTGGCACAGTCAGTACATCTTCTCTGCCTAGCGCATCTTTGACGTATAAGCTTATACCGGGACAGGTGAGGAGTAGCTTTATCACGACGCTGTTGCAATCTTTGAGTATCCCTAGCAACTCATGAATGACTTTCAAGAAATCCCGTCGCCTCTCAGAGCGCTCGTAGTAATTTATGCCGTCGATCATCCAGAAGAGGAATGTTGTGTCTGGTAGTTGTTGGATCAACCTTCGATATAGCGCGCAGATGGTTTCTAGGTCGTTGTGTTGGATCTTTTCAAGGTCCGTTGTTGAGAGGAAACTCAGGTCCCAAGAAACGTCACGTTGCAGGAGCTGAGAGACGAAGCTTTTGATCAAGCCGGTTGCGTCGGCCATAATATCTTTTCTGGATGTTGTATGCAGCGAGCAGAAAAAATGTTGCGAAACGATGGGCTCAATATGACCCAAACTTTCCAACAACTTGGCGGATAAGAACGTCGTGGACGAGAGCATCTCGTTTGCGGCACCATCACCGTTGATCAGGAGTTTACGGGATCCGGGAAAGTTCAGCCATTCTCGAAGCTTGGGCGACTGCATCATCCATTTGACGCGGTCTTGGTCATTGAGGCTTAGCGATGTGCCCATGCTTAGGCAGCGTTTCAAGTCTTGTTGAGGAACGTCTGATGATAATCCTAATGCTAAGACGAGAGCAGTTTGGGTTACAGCTGCTCTTCAAATCAGCGCGGGCAAGTCTTAAGAAGCGTTGGGCTACACTCACATTCTATGTGCCTTTCCACTTCCGCTGAGGGTCGAGCCTCTAAGATCCGAGGTGGTACTACACCTTTGCCTTTGTCAGTGGGTAGCCATGTTCTGATAATCCCGAAGGCTTACCTCGTATCCTGGCATCAATGCCTGGATTGCTGGACAAGTGGCTGTAAAAGCTATTGATACAATATCCCGCTGCTGCTTCTCCAATGCGAGTCGAAAGGTCTTTTTTCGTCGCTTCATCGAGGCGGAAATTCTCGGTGTTTTGCTGCTCCTTCAATTCCTTCAGCTGCATGTTGATAGCGGGGAAGTACTCTTGGCAAAGTTTCTCGAGGTCTCTCATACGGTACTGCGAGCTGATTGCCGCTTCCTGGTCTACCTTGCCAATGAGATCTCGGACTCGGTCTATCTGACTCAGTAGCGTTTGCTTGTAAGCTTGGCCTTGTGCCATGGCTTTCCATGCCTTTTCTAGCGGACAATCAGCAAGCATTTCGTATGTGAGATTAGTGTAGTTGTTGAATGACCATACTTAGGATCCCCTCCGTGAGATATATCATGATATGTCGAAGAGCAACCAAAACTGCGCTGCAAAGCTGCGCTGTCATCTGTACCAGATCTCGAGGTTTTGAATCGGCGTACAAGTCACGGTATCTATTCGCACGTCCAACCCAGTAGGGGATGTCTGCCAACGCTTGGAAGATGGTCACTCGAACGTCATGCGCGCGTTTTGCAGCCTAGAGGTTTGAGCTTATGGTCAAGCATGCGAGGGACACAGCCCATACTGTAACGACCATTTTGAAGACCCCGCCAACAACCGCTCCGTAGTCGCCACCTGGTAGAAGGTCGAGCCATGTCTCGAATGTGGAGATGTTATCGATTATCTTATCGCAACTGTCTCTGGCGGACCAGCTGTCCTTGTCTTCACCATCTTCACGAATCTTTGCTACCTTGACTGCCTCCCTGATGTCTTGCCAGGGACTAGATGTCTCATTGGCCTTGATCATCGAACTTGAATCCGGGTCAGTCTTCTGTTGGTATTGGACTATCGTAGCTTGGAGCAACTGCAACTCCTCTCTCGCGCCACTGAACAAAGAGTCCTCCTCACTTCACGCGGTACCTCTTAGCATCTTAGACGGGCCTCTACCAGCAGGGAGCGATAGATCTCACCTTTCGAGCTCGTCGTTTATTTCTGAGGTCGCAAAACTGTTGATTCTCGCTGCAAATTTGAGCGGAGGGGAGACTATGGCGGAATTGAGATCATTGTCTTCCATATGCTCTTGTATATAATCGGCGGGTAGATTTGTCGAGCCCTTCCGGCGCCCAAAACGTTGCTTGAAAAACCCGTGTTTTGACATCCTGGCCGGGGTCGCAGCCTAAAAAAAGTTCACGAATGAAGAATAAGATCCACTTCGCACCTACATAGTACGTAGACTTCTATATGTCACCATGCGACCTAATCGAAATGAAACTCGAAGTGATTGTCCTCAGAAGATACAACAACGCCGATGGACAAATTGCTTTTCGGTATAGACGCCTTCTTGCGTGCGCTCCGACACGCCGCACTTTCGCCTCACAAGCGGCAGGGGCACATAGGGTTGCATGAAAAGTGGGGCCTATACATGCAGGCTGCTCCTGTTCTGGACTGGTCTATTTTGCAACAAGGCTGAGAGGTTGCGGCTCTGAGAAAGTTGGTCTCAGAGCACCCAGAGACAGGCTTGGATTTGCGATATAGTAATGTAGAATTGTAGATTCAGAGGATTTGCATCCTCATTTAGGTTCCTTGATTCCTATTATGAACGGGGTTCACGAGGTCATCACCTTGGAGGGCGCAAGGCTACGGAGGCGGAAGCACCTTCCCTAAAATCTGACATGCATCAATAAAACCTACCTCACGCCATGAAAACCTTAGGTGGAAAGATCTTCTGCAGAACTCCCGGACTGCGCAAGTACTTGTTGCGTATCGAGCAAGGTGCTTGAACAGGCAGCAGACTCGGAGAATCGGACCCTGCAGCAATGTGAAGGCTGCGTATCTTTAGGCTTATAACATGAGTATCTATTATTCGCACAACATGATGGTCGCGCGAAGAGGGGTTAAACGGCGCCGCGATAGGGTGTTTCGAGTCGGTCAGGTCAATTGTCGAGGCTCACGTTCAATCAACTGCTTGAGACGTGTTACAGCTTTGATACGCTGCCCGTGCGTCCGACACACTTTGTCTTCTAATCAACCTCTTCAGCCTGTCGGTCAGGTCCTACTCGTATGCTGCATAGGTTAGGGCTGACTTACTCGTTGATCGCCGATCGGGTCTCGATTCGGTCGGACGCGCATGAACCGAGGTAACACACAGGAGTACACCGAAGCTGCGGTCCGCTTAGAATCGAGTGTCAAGCTACCCCCTGCCAGGTTCTAGATGCACCTTGAAAATTGGTGAAGGTGGGGGCATTTCAGCCTCATATGATCCTTTGCGACAGCCTTTCGAAATCTCGACACCTTCATGCTCCGTACAAGTATTGTCGACTCACAGGATCGAGCAGTCCTTTGATCAGTGACCATCCAAATCCACACATTCTGTCAACATCGAACGACATGGGAAGCAAGGCTGTTGATCAACAGGTCCACGTCCAGGCGGATCCCACACACAGCATGAAAAGCCTCCGTACAGACGAGAACAGTAAATCGACGAGCCTGCCTTCGCCTCCTTCTTCTGTGAAGGCCACTGAGTCGGAAAGCGGTCGCAATGAGAACGGCTCGCATCCTGGGGAGGTTGCTGCAGGCGAGCCACCCGTCAGCGGCAGCTCTGCTGGTGCCAATGGAGTCGCCAATGCAGGTATAAAGAACACGGCTGCTCCTGAAGGACTGTAGGCTGATCGCTAGGATAGCTGATACGGTGAATGACGAACATCCCAGTGGGCAGCCGTCCAATGATCCCGTACAGAAAGGGACAAATCCTCAAGACCAAGACGAATCGTCCGGAAAGGAACACGGTACCACAGCGAGGGACATGGATAACGAAGATGATGCTAGCGATGCTGAGTCTATAGATGACATGATCGAAGACATATATTACAATACTCTACGTCCTCGGCGTAATCTGCGGACACTTCAAGAACGCATCAAGAAAGGCCCGAAACGTGCCGTACAGCAAATGGACTACACAAGGCTCATGGAAGATAGGATGATAGATATGGAGAAAAGACTGCGAATGATCGAGAAAAAAGGGGTGGAATCGGAACCACCTACTCCTCCGCCCGAAGAGACAAATCCGCCTACTGACTTGATCATGGATATCAAGCGAATGACCTTTCAGGAGTATCTGCCGATTGATCCGAGCCCAGGACTCAAAGTGACAGGTGCTTTTGTACCCCTTGAGCATAAGCGCCGAGACGAGTTTCCAGGTCAATTGCCTTACCACCTCATCGACGTTGTTGTTAGCGCTGTAAATCAGCCCGAGCGGCTGGGTAAAGATCAGGTGACCAAGCGAGCAGCAGGCTCACTTGATCATGCTGCTCCTGGCCCTGCTATCCTAGATCAAGACTCGACGGTTAATGATCTACATTTGGCCCAGCCTGAACGCGTTCGCATCAACTCGACTTTGCTGCTTGACGCCCTCGAGAAAATTACAGGCATGACATTTAGCAAAGCACGCGTTGATGACGAGCTCGAGTTGCAAGATCAAGTCATACTGAGACCGTTCAAGCTATTTGTGACCTTCGAGCAAGAAATCAGGGACGAAATAGATCGACTAGAGAAAATACACAAGCACAATGGCAATGAAAGCAAGCCAGAAGCACCCGAGACAACCTTGAGCGAGGGCCAAAAATCGCCGCCGCCATCCACGGATGTCTTGCACAACATGCCCGAATTATTAAGTCGAGAACACTCAGACGGTCTGAAGAATAACAACTCTCAGAACACTGCAACAGATGCCTCAACTGATGGGAGATACGAGGAAACTACCTCCATTGGAATCGAGACGATGTCTCGAAGAACTGCACGTCTTGAAAGAGCTACTAGACAAAGATCTGAAACCGACGTTTGACCTACGCAGACAGATCAAAGACGGTTTGACCCGGAGTATCGCCTTTCAAGACCTCTGGCATCTCTTTCCACTGGGAACTGAAATTGTCTCTAATGGTTCCGATGGGCAAAATCAGACATATCGTATTGTGAATGTCTCCGGGGGTAGACCTTTTCTTTGCAGCAGATCTCAGGCAGATATGGATCCATTAGGACCATTCTTGAATGGGAGAGAAGTGCCCAAGTTCGAGATGCTGAGTTACTTCTATGATTTTGATGGGAAGGAACTTGGTGCATGTCAGAAATTGCATTCCATCAAGTCTTACGATGGCAACAAGGCGATCACATCCCTACCATGTTTTCCAGTCATCTACTGGAAAGCTTCTCGGGGGCTGAAACCTCGCGATCTCTTCATTGAAAGAGGCAGACGATTTATCGAGTTGACGCGCAAAACGGACGTCGTGCATAAGAGGTATGATGGTCGGACTCTGGCCATGGATGAACTTAGAGAAGAGGTAAGACAGACCCTAAGCACCGTGTGAGCTACTTGCTTACCTTCATCTGGTCAGGTCGACTCTGAAGTGATAATAGATGTCAGTATGGCTTTGTTAAAGAACAACTTGATTATAGTTTGGGGTCTTGCAGAAGAGCTGGAGCCAGACCGCCGCGAAACTTTGGAGTTCCTAGATCCCAGGTGCTCGCAGGAGGGATGTTGCCAGAATTCTCCGATTCACAGAGACGACGAAGTAGATCGAAAGCGTAATGTCAAAATGCTAGAGAACAAGGGCTTTATGCGCGACTTCATTGAGTCCGACAACGAGCTGACCGAAGAAGACTATCTAGTGTGCCCCTGTTGGGTTTATGGCTATGTGCTGAGGAGTCGCAAATGGGTGAAGCTGGAGGTAAGCCTGGTCGAAGATATCAAGGATCGCGGGAGCGGCTTCGACTCTCTGGTCCTTCCCGACGGGCACAAAGAAACCTTGCTGGCTCTAGTCCAAACTCACTCTAAGGGCAAAAAGCTCGAGATCGGTCTCAAGGCAGAGAACCGGCAGATGGACCTCGTGCGTGGTAAAGGTAAGGGTCTGATCATCTTGCTACACGGGGAGCCTGGTGTGGGAAAATCATCCACTGCCGAGTCTGTAGCAGAATTTACGCGCAGACCACTATTCCAAGTCACGTGTGGTGATATTGGCGAGTCTGCAGACGAGGTTGAGAGGAGGCTGGAGAATCACTTTCAGCTCGCTCACAAATGGGGTTGTGTCTTGTTATTAGACGAAGCCGATGTGTTTCTTGAAGCGAGGAGTAAGACTGATCTCAAACGCAATGCAATTGTCTCGGTGTTTCTCAGAGTTCTCGAATACTACTCCGGCATTCTCTTCCTCACCACCAACCGTGTTGGGGCCTTTGACCAAGCTTTCCGTAGTCGGATCCATATGAGCCTCTTCTATCCTCGGATCGAGGAAGATGCAACCATCAAGATCTGGGAGATGAACATCGACCGGGCTCGCGAGATCTGGGGCGACAAGCTCTCCATCGACGAGGTCGATCGCAAGGGTATTCTCAAGTTCGCGTCTAAGCATTACAAGGAACTGGCGGAGTCGGAAACCACGTGGAACGGCCGACAGATCCGTAATGCCTTTCAGACTGCCATCGCCCTGGCGGAGTGGGACGCTTATCAAAGCCAGCTCAAGTTCAAGTCGCCAGTCCCGCTCAAGCCGAGGCTAGAACCGGGGCATTTTGAGCAGGTGGCGAAGGCGTCGAAGCATTTCGACGCGTATCTGAAGGAGACTCAGGTTGGAACTATGTCGGATTTGGCGAGCGATAATCGTGAGCGCAGGGACGACTTCCGCGGAGTGAAGTCTTGATATATGCTTTGCTAAGAGGCAAAGAAGCCATTGAAAATGATAAAGACGAGTGACATATATCCCAAGTCCAGGTATCTTCTCACAGAGAACTAAGTAGACATGTCCACTCCAAACAATCAAAATCGTAATGAATATAGCAATATCGTAAGCAAGTAGATGAAAGGTAGCTAACAGTAGGGTGCCAGACCCTGATATGGAGTTGATGGGTTGTGAGATGTACAAGAAAACCTGGGTGTGTTCCACTGGCCGCTGTGACAAATGGTAATAACATGATTGGCTCAACAGGCTGACGTCGTCAGACCAGGACCAATCGGGAATAGCGGGAGGCCTTCGAAGACGTGCGTTCAATAAAAGTGGAACGCAGCAGAGTCCTGACCACTTCAAAATGAAGTCAGAACGCAGTCTTAGACTTCCAAAGTGTACAATCCAAACGCTGCGTACCCGAAAAACGAATGCAAAACAAGGTACTCGTACGGCCTGCCAAATGGCGGAAATGATACAGAGCGACCGTCTCGAAAATGGCACGGAATATGAATCCTGAATCTTGGGTTCATTGTAGCAACGCTTAAGCGAATGGGGAGGAGGAGGGTGCAGCGATGTGAAGGGGATTGATGTGCAGATGGAGCGCTTGGACACTGACGTAGAGCACGAAAGAAATGAAGCCGATGCGAAGAGCGAGAGCAGGGACGCATGGTCGGTACGTCGACAGGGCTGCCGTAACGGAGACGACCGGTTGGGGAAATCGGCAAGGGAGGATGAGGAGGTTGGTTGGCAGGAGAGGAGTCTGATTCGATGAGAGTATGGGAAGGGACGGTTTTCTGCAAAACGGAAAAGCGGAATTCCTCGTTCCTTTCGACGCCGGATATTTCGTCTTCACGCTCAATCTCAGCATGGATTGGATGGAAACCGAAGGATGTCGACGAGAAACGCACAAAGCACCAATAAACGCATATGGAATAAAAATCAACAGAGAGATTGACCCGATAGAACCATGATTCCTATGGGCGATTGGGTATCCCGTTTCTACTCATCATCGTACACACGCACAACGACGCCTAACAACGCCTCCTCAACCCATCCCATCAGACCAACTCCCATCACCCCACAGACTCCCTCCCCCCCTCCCTCCCCCCTCCCCAACCCCACCACCTCCAACAAAACCCCCGTCCAGAGCTCCGCAACCGCCAGCCCCTCATCCCGCACACATCTCCCCCCAGCCCCCTTCATCGGCCATCTAAAGGCTTTGGTCCGGATTGTAAGGGGCTCTGGGCGGCTGCCCGTTCGCCGGTGGTGGATAATTAGTTTGAGGAGGGCCCGCGTTGACGGGATGGGGTTTGGGCGCGTAGTCCTTTTCGTTCGGGTTGCCGGCCGCGGCTTTCTTGGCCTGGGATTTTTTGTAGAGGTTGTAGCCGAAAGCGATGCACATTTTCGGAGGAGGGGGGGAGGTGGAAGGGGGTGATGTAGTGTTGGGGGTATGGTGCGTGAATGGGGATGGGGCTGGTGTGGTGACGCGGCTTGTTATTGAGGCTGTTGGATAAGCGTGGGGTGTAGCGTGGTGAGATTGGACTACCTTAACAGATGGAAACGCGGAGGAAGAGATCCGACGATTTTATAGACGATGTTTTTTTGTAAAAGGAAAGATTGAGGAACAGAGGTTCTATATGAAGGATTGAACGGCGCCGCGCACAGTTGTTAGAAGAGATGGTAATACTATCCTCAGCTGAAGCTGTGAAATAGGGCGCAGCAACACGCGGGAAATGCATGATCTAAGTCAAGAACAGCAATTGAGTGCGACATGTTGCAATCTGCGAAGCATACGAAACGCGAAAGCAATGCAGAAAAAGCATGCTCCGCTAGGCCTGGGCTGAGTAAGTCGCGCCGCAAGAACTTGACGAACTCGGTTAGTGTTCCGCGAGATTACTTTGTATTGACCACCTAACGCAATTTCGCTTCCTTTGCGCTAGTCCCCAGGCTGAGCGTATCTGAAGTAAAGTTGTTGCGCACAGATTCGTTCGTATCATGATCAAAATCATTTTGTTCGCCGAGGGTTTTTTCGCTAGAATGAGTCACTAGGATGATAGAAGTGACCGGTAATGTTGCGTTAAGGGTAGGTGCTGCGGCTCAGAAACAACAAATCAGCCCCATCCATCGGTTTCATGGGGCGACTCTCTGCAAAGCGTATTCATAACGTCGCTATCGCTGCCGCAAATGAGCTCGGGGCCAAAGATCTGACATGATGTGCCGACTAGACCCCTCGCATCCTCTTGTTTTTCTCACGTCGCTCGATCCAGGAACAGCTTGTTCATCTTCGACCCAAGAAATCTAGTACGAGAGGTGTTGTTACTGTGATCAATGGTCTGATCAAGCCTCGCGACGAGTCTTCAGCACTCGAACCAGCTATCGCCTCGCCCATCCCACCGCAAGCAGAACTACCCACGCGGACACACCAACAAGCGTCAGATTTCTCAACACAAGCAGCATACTGCGCTTCTGGAACTCCTTGAACCTTTCCGCCAACGCAGCACCCTCGTTGAGTCTCGGAAATGGCACATCGGGCTTCTCCTTGCCGAGAAACTCGCACAACGGGCCCCAGCCGTCTTCAAGCCTGAAGTCTAGCAATCTATCCTTCGGACAAACCCTCCTGACATGTGCATAATGTTCTCTGTACAGCGTTCTCGCGGTATGTTGCAGCTCGTCCTTGTTATCAGTCCGGCAGAATCCCCTGCGGTCTTTGTAGACATAGTTGAACATAGTGGCGGTAGGTCCGAGGACCTGTGGATCGAGGAGCCGTAGGACATGGATCATAGGATTATACATCTCCTGAATCATGCCATCGAAACTTTGGTACCAGCTCTCTATGTTTCGTTCCACAAGCACGACTTTTGCTTCGGGGTAAGCCTTGATGAGTTCTTCCGCGAAGCAGATGGCCGGTGAGTCCGTCACGGCCTGGTAATTGCCCAGCAAATCATCCCAGTCTTCTCGAGTGAATAGCGGACCGCGATTGTGATATTTCGCGTCGAAAGCGCAGATCCATTTGGCGCACTCATCGATGTTATAGAGTGGTGTGTATCCGTGATAGGTGGGCTTGCAGCCCAGAATCTCCAGCGCGGCTTGCATTGCTGTTATCAGTCAGAGAAAGTCCAATATTTCAAGCTCTGGCCTGAAAAATTGTCTTTTTCTTCTCCGTTGTCGAGCGGGACACGGATCAGACATACTCACTGTCCCAGTTCGGGGCATTGCCAGCGATAAAACTTGCATTGGGACTGTGCGAGCATTTTTCCGCATAGAGCCAGCCATGTTGTACTCCGACTTCTTCTATTTAGGGTTCTTCTTCCATTTGTCAGACCTCCTAGCGAGGTCAACTTTGCAAAGCTGCAAGACGTGTAATGGGATGTCATTGACGCTTTGATCGCAAAAAGGGAATAGGCGGTGCGGCTGAAAATTCTACGCATTAAAGTGGCGGAGCACTTATCTCTCTAATGATGCTAAGACGCAGAATAGTCAGGCCTTTGGCAGGATTACGGCGATTATTAATCCAGTCCTCGCACTCAAATTGACCTTCAGCCCTCCGTTGTTTATGATGCACATCATTTTGAAAAGTTGCCCGCTCTTTGATGGCTCGCTGATTTTGTCTCGCTTGATATCCATCGCCCACGTCGATTACAAGCTAATTTACACGTGACCGTTGCGTCACGGCGTCCACTTTTCATCAAGGACGCCTTGAGTTGAACCCTTCTCTGGCAGACAAATTGTTTTAGGAACTCACTCGTGAATACACCCAATTTCTTCAGACGCGCAAGTCTCTCCGTGCCTCTGAAGCGGTACTCAGCGTACAACTCTGCTACTCAACCCAGTCCACCTTAGCCTAACCTGTACGCATGAACAAGATTGTCTGCTCGTCGTATTCAGCCCATCCAGATGACTTACTTTTCTTTCCGAGATCGGACAACGGATACGTCTTCACAACCAGCCGTGTCGCGAGGCCGGAAAGTTGGCCTGCACCACAGATGGCATATAGAAGGTCGATGTATGTACTTTGGCCCACTTGAAGGGGGTCTCCTATCGCGGTGATCAAGCGCGCCGAAACGATCTTATCAGATCCGAAACCGGTGATGGAGACTGAGATCGAAAGTCCGCCATTGAGATAGTTGTCTGGAAGGGTTTGAAGCGTGGCTTGAAAATGTCGTGCTTGGAAAGTTGAGAGAGCCTGGGCGCCGCTATTACAACCGTCTATTGGTTTCTATTCATGCTTCGACGCCAGATGTAGCCATGGCTTCTGAACGCCGGAAAAATGGTCAGCCTCCAAGGGTAATCCCCAGCCATAGGGCTAGCCTTCGTATTCGTATCGACCAAAAGAACCGCCGCATCACCGCGATCGCCTAGGCATTAAACACCGAGTCGGAAACCATCAGCCCGACTTATTCGTACTCGCAGCCGCAGGCATCTGCAATGTGCGAAACTAGGGATAGAAAATACCTCGCTCGACAGCGGAAAAGTAAAGTAGGTAAAGAGAATCGATCGGTCGGTCGGTCGATGATGCGAAGACCGCTGCGCTAAACCTACAAGGGTGGACTTTCCGCCAAGGCAAAGCCAAATGTCTGTCAAAACATACGGAGTCGGTTGGAACGTCTCAAGAGGCTGACGTTTGTCGTACTCGCATTCGCGAGGGCTGTGCGCTCGCTGATGTCACAGGAGACCGGGCAGTATGAAGCCAAGGTCGGAGAAGAAGTGTATATAAACCATCCCCATCTCCCCGAACTTTCAGTCCCCATCACACAAAGCCCGCACACCTGACCACTCTCCCAACCGTCGATAAACCGAACCCATCCACCCCATCAGCCAAAAGAACAACAATCCTTCACCCGCACCCTTTCAACCACGACCATCATGCCTCAAGGAACAGACCAATCCCACGCCGTAGGCGACAGCATCGTGCCCCAGACACTCCAAGAGAAGCTGCCCCAGAAGGTCGAAGAGGTAGTCCCCAACGCCATCCACGACACCGGCGCCACCGGAGCGGAGAGTCATGCGACGGGCGACAGCGCAGTGCCCAAGGTAGCGCAGGAGGCGGTGCCGAAGAAGGCCGAGGAAGTGTTGCCTGAGAAGGTGCATCCGACGGCTTAGGGTGGAGGTGAACGTACGTCAGGGCTCACGCGTACGAAAAATTGGGATCCGAGCTGATGATTTGTCAAAGTAGTGGCGGTGGTGAAGAGAGAGATCGAGACGTGTATGGAGTGGCGTCGGGCAAGATTGGCGGCAGTGGTGGGCTGTACCACGAGACGTGTCATTCTGATAGATGGGTGGAACAATATAATAGCCAGAATACGTAGACATAGGAATACTAGATGCCTTTTTTTTATGAACGGGATCGTTTTTTGACAGCGATGAATTGACTAGTACGGTAGCTGACATAATGAAAGAAACCTCAGATGATACACGAATTTGTTCGAAGCGTTCTCTTGCAATTGCCTCCATCCAAACCCGAAGGCCTGGCGCCTTGGCAGGCTGGAAAGAGTGCCTTCAGTCCTCGGTGCGAATCGATCTGCCAGCGCTCCGTTGAGAACTTTCCCTATGGGAGGGAAAGAGTTCCAGTAGATGTCCACCTGGGTATGCATCTGTTTTCCTTGGAGAAGTTTGAAGGGACTTATGGTCACAAAGAACACGAGCCAAAGCAGGCGAGCAGATTGGGGAGCTAGTGTTGCACCGTAGATAGTAATGAGGACAAATTGTAAAAGCTTAGTATATTGTTCTTATGCTTTAGAGAGTCCATTGCAAAGAGTAAACTTCGAATTGCAATGCTTCTCGCATGAGCAGTCTCGGTAGTATCTCCAGCAAATTCCATGTCCAAGCATCTTGCTCTCCGAATGCCAAGCGTAATCCTCTGCTCCAACAGAGCAGGCATCCACTTCTGTGCTCTCTTCGATGCTTTCTGACCAGCCTTCTGCTGCTAGTCTGTTCCTTATTCGTTCAATTCGCTGACGCCACGCTATTTTATCTTTGACCATCGGCAACGAAGCTTACTCAATCCGGAAAATGCTGAAATAGAGCGGAGATGCTCTCTCCGTGGTGATTGCGCCGTATGGCTTCGGAAAGAAGAGTCGAGATGTCCAGAATCACAAGCTTCTTGCACGTCTTGACCCTTTCTGGCGCTATTGGGTAAGTATTGGTTACCATAATGTAGTCGATGCATTCGCAAGCTTCCATCTGCTCAAGTGAATTATCACCGAAGAGCCCATGGGTGGCGATGCAGTACACTTTCTTTGCATCTCCACGCTTGACGACCGTCTCGGCTGCCGCAATCCACGAGCCACATTGATCAATCAGATCATCGATGATGAACACGGTGCGATCTCTGACATTGCCAACGAGAGTGACCGTGTGCTCGAATTCGGGGTTCTTGAAACCTTCTTCCTCGTCATCCGAGTGCGCTGTAGCGTCCATCGAGCCGCCGAGGGCAGAATGGTCAGGTTGAAACGCTGATGTTGAAGATATGAAGGATGACGTCATTGGATCGAGTCCATCGAGCTGCGGTTGACCCATGACGTCTCCTGGTAGAGTCGCGATTGAGGCGGACATGGTAGATAGAACGGGCGACGGAGCATCGTCGTCAACGATGTGGCCTTGAACCAGCCTGCCAGTGATGACTTCTCTGGCACGCTCATCTGTGTACTCATTTGCCGAGTCTTCCTCCTCCTCCTCCTTCTCCTCCAGGCGCAGTGCTCTTGATGGACCATTGGTAACAGGCTCCCTCTGCACAGGAATCCGATTTGTAGGAGGTGATGCTGAGTCGACTCTAGTAGACTGGGCCAAAGGACTTGATCGAGTGTAGCCATTCAGACCGCGGTAAGGTATACTGGTTGCGGAGGCGCCGTTTATGTTTGGTGCCAATCGTGGCGATGTGCGTATTCGTGGCGGTATTCTTGAGTCCTCGGATTCAGCTGCTGTTCCATTCGGTGGACTTGTATCTGCTGTGTCCGAGATGTGCGATTCAGTACCACCATCACCCATTCTCTCCAGAAATCCACTACCTGCAAGGCTTCCATTCGTACCAGATCTCCGGCGGTCGGTTGTGACAAGACCGAAATTGATTTTTAATGCATCTGCCAAGGATGTGACCCGCTTTGTACCGCCTGGATTCTTGCTGACTACCACTGCTTCCTTCCAGCCTGGTACGTGATTCTTGATCCATCTTGCGATCAGAGGTTCCGCATGGAGATTGTCTACTGGCTTGCCAAAGAAGCCTTGAGTGGGAGGAGCATGTAGGTCGACGGTGATGACATGATTTATACCGGCGACAGAGAGGAGGTTGGCTACCAATCGTGCGGTGATGGCACCTCTGTGTGACTTCTTCTTGGATTGTCGAGAGTAGAAAAAGTATCTTGGTGGTTTTTAGCTTAGGTCATCCAATAGCGGAGCCGGACCTACGGCATCACAGCTAGAACGGTCAGTATCATCTCTGGCTGAGTCCATAATTGGACTGACCAGTAATACTCTTCGCCGAGCCGCCCTTGCACGCGGAGATCATGATCAGCATTTCCATGAGGCTGTCATTAACCTGGTCGCTTCCACTCTGAACAATGAAGACATCCTGGTCTCTGATAGAGGTCTCAACGCTGACTGAGGTTTCCCCGTTGCTGAACTTCTTCAGTTCAACTTTGGCCGGTGAGGTTCCGAGGCGTTCGCAAATGGCATCTGTCAAGAGAGGATGGGAGGAACCCGAAAATATTTGGACGCGTCTCATGACGAACAGTAGAGAGACTACTCTCTGTTATCTCACAAGTTGTTGCCGCCGTCTTTCGGTATAAATTTCAGAAGACCATGATTGAAGGTGAATGAGTCGGTGTGTGTGAAATGGATTTACCAAGTCAATTTCGAAAAGTCTTGGCATCAGATAAGATTAGATCTTCGGCCAATTTTTTGTTTGACCTCAATTGGTCTCATCGCCAGCTGCATCATCATTAGCGGCATCGATAGGCTTTTAATGCGGTCTTTGGCAGAGAATAGCTCGTTTCCGAAATGTTATCATCTTGTTAGCACTTAGCTACGGTCTGCTCCGGTGATAAAGCCCTGAGGGGCCATGTCCTGGATTGTCAGTCTTTTCAACCCAGCTCAATCCACTCGCAAAAGCTATGCGCCTTCCAACGACCGCCAAACCCCAGTATTCTCCAACGTCCAAGATTATGAGGATGGGTCGAATAGCACGTCCGGAACGCGACGGGCCGGTGAATACGCTCAATCAACGGAAGAGGAGGAGGAGGAGTACCCTAGACATCCATACTGGCAGGTGAGCCAACGCCGGATTGCTCAGGAGTCTTCAGCGCTGCCAAATCGTGTCATGAGCTGAAATTATATGCAGTGTATGATAGCTGGCGGCCTTGGCGGAACATCTGGAGACCTCCTCATGCACTCCATTGACACAGTCAAGACCCGTCAACAAGGAGACCCACACAAACCGCCAAAGTATGGATCGTTATCCTCTACATACGTCAAAATCTTCCGTCAAGAAGGTTTCCGAAGAGGACTGTACAGCGGTGTTGTACCAGCGTTTTTGGGCTCCTTTCCTGGCACCATCATCTTCTTTGGAGCCTATGAATACAGCAAGAGGCATATGTTAGATGCTGGCATAAACCCGTCACTCTCTTATCTCGCTGGCGGTACGTGAATCCTGCCTTTCGGTCATCCGGAAAGAAACTGATCAGTGCAGGCTTTATTGCCGACTTCGCCGCCTCATTTGTCTACGTACCCTCTGAAGTCCTCAAGACCAGACTCCAACTGCAAGGCCGTTACAACAACCCTTTCTTCAATTCGGGATATAACTACCGGGGAACGATTGATGCGGCGCGGACAATCGTTCGACGAGAGGGAGTATCGGCTCTCTTCCATGGGTATAAGGCCACTATCTTTCGTGATCTGCCCTTCTCCGCCCTACAATTCGCCTTTTACGAGCAAGAGCGGAATTGGGCAAAGAGGTGGAAGGGTAGCAAGGACCTTGGTGTAGGCCTAGAGATCGCTACAGCAGCGTCGGCAGGTGGACTGGCTGGTGTGATGACATGCCCGCTTGACGTGGTCAAGACCAGGATACAAACGCAGATCAATCCGCCCGACACTGTCACACCAGCTGGTGGAGCTACGAACGTACATCCGCAGCCTGCGAAAATTTCCCGGATGGAGAAAGTGGGCAGTCCTAGGGCAGCCCACAATCCGTCGATGCAAGCATCATCAAGACGTCTCATCTCAACCTCCTCACCAAATACATCTATGCCAAAACCCGATGCTGTCAAGCTGGATACCTCATCCGTCGTGACTGGCCTGAGACTCATATATAAGACCGAGGGGATGATGGGACTGTTCCGAGGGGTAGGGCCGAGAGCTGTTTGGACCAGCGTCCAGAGCGGAACGATGCTCGTCTGCTATCAGGCGTTACTGAAGCGGATGGAGGCTAGTCCGTGGCTAAATGATGAAGAATCTGGCGTCGCATGAGGCACGCTTTGTATTTATACCACTGATGATGGACGGGCATGGCTGTCAAGCAAGGTCACCATAGTGTACAGAGTTTGATGCATCGGCATCGGACAGGACAAGAGCGCGTCGCATTTACACAGCACGGAATAGAGCATAGAATCTCGGGTACTCTTCTCAAGGCTTCCAGCATCCCTCTCAAACTTGTCCATCAAATCATCAACATGAAGCTCCGCAATAACCCTTTATTCCAATCCCAAAACATAGAAACCCCCACTACCCATCTTGATTGGTCGGTGGTCCCCAGCGAACCGCGCTAACCGAACACGCCAAGTTGTAAACAACTCCACTCCGTAAACATTCTACCTTCCCCCTCACCGCTCCCTCTTCATCCCATGCGTCCAACCCTCAAATCACCTACAAAATAGTCGCCTCACTCTCGCGACACAGGAAACCACAATGACGAACGCCTGGCTTCAACAGCAGCGCAAAGGCGCCCTCACCGAAATTGCCGACCATGTCGGGTTGAAGAAGTGCGCGCCCACCCTTCCTATTCCCCCATCTCTCCCAAATCTATCGCATTCTAAATGCTAACCACTACGTACCGCAACAGCGTCGAGCGCTACAAAAAGATCGACCTCGAAGTCGCATTAGAAGAGCACCTACGCGCAAACAGCTCCAAGCTATCATCCGACTCAAAAGTCGCTCCCTTCTTCTACACCGTCGACCCATTGTCGCCCACGAAGCAGGATCCCGCGACCGGCACCGTGCAGACGGTCGAGAAGGAGAGGAAGCCAAGGGCCAGGAGGCAAACCCTTAAGGCGCGTGAGGAGTTGGAAGGGGGGTGAGTCGAAATCTTCACCGCCTGCGCAGCGCGTCGCGCAACCCTTCACGACGGAACCCAGAAAAGAACAAAGAACTGATCCGAGCGCTTTCAATGACACAGAGACGACGCCGAATCCTCCGCGCCGACCAAAACGCCCAACCGGGCCCTCTCCTTCGCGCGCTCCGTGCCCCTGCCCCCTTCCCCCCGCCGTCCTCGCGAGTCAGATAGACGCCCACACCACCACCTTCCGCAGCTCCATCTCAAATTACATAGCCGACTCCCGACTGCCCTCCACCCTCGACAGCGTGCGCGGCTACCTAAGCACGGTAACGGGGATCGAAATACTCACCCTGTTTGTCGAAGCCTTCGGTCTCCGCTACGAAGTATTGCCCTTCCGCTACCTGACGACGCTCCCCGCCTTCCCCGCCCTCGGGACGTCCGAATTGCCCCTCAAAGTCCCCGATTTCTTCGCCCTGCTCACGACTGCGTTCTGGGGTCCGTTCGGCCTCTGGCTCTTAACGAGTGTCTTGCTGCCCCTATTGGGCGGCTGGTTCATCAACCTGAAAGGCGAGGGCGGGTACGATGCCGTCAGTTTCAATGCCGTCAAGGCGATCACGGCGTGGGTGGTATACGTGAGGGGTGGCGGACCGAGCGCGAGCACGCGGGTTGTGGAGAGGGGGGGTCCCGGGGGGCAGTACGGGGATGCTTGTGGGGGCCGGGGCTGGGGCGTTGGCGGGGATTTATGAGGCTGTGTTGCGGAAATAGGGGCCACCTGCAAGTACATGAGAAGGGGGCGGGATGGGGTCGGAAGTGGAGAAAGGCAGAGAGTGCGAGATGTACGTGAAAACCAGCGATTGGGGGGGGCCAATGATAGGAGTCAGCGGCGTTTCGAGTGGGCATGGGACATATTCTTTTTGTGTATATGGTAATGCTTGCGATCCTGCGATTGGACACCGAATCATTCGTCAAACAGTGTATGCGTACTCTAGAATATGATCAGCGCCAGCAGCGCTCTCTCCTTACTTATTGTGCGCAAACAGAGCCGATAACCAAACCGCTCCCAATAATCTCGCCCATACCGAGAAACTGCAAACCACCGATAATCCAAGCCATGTTTCTCAAAATGTTGAAGAATCCCGACATACAATCGACATCGCCCTCACCAGCCCTCAAGTCTCCAGAGAACATCGATCCAAGACACAAGCGCAACTCCAGCACCATCACGCCGTCACCCCCCAACCGTGTACATCCTCAAAGCGACACAGGAATCATCCAAGTCTCCCATAACCCGAAACCCCTTCCCCCCCTTCCATATCCCAGCCACAGCTCTTCCAACCCTCTCACCCCTTCACATCCAACCCATTCCCCCTCTTTCTCTCCGCAAACCCCACCGACAGATTCTCAGCCCGAACTGTAACTTACCCAAGTACTCTACATAGCCGGTTGATAACGGACACCGGGGTCTCTATCTGTCTGCAAAAAGAACCCATCTCGGAGAAGGCTCCTAAAAAGCAACAGGAATTTTCTTCCCCGGCGTGGCGTTCAGATGCTTGCAAAAGTCTAACAAGGTGCAGTGCTGAACCGATTTCATCGACCAACAACGCCGAAGTCGGGATAAAGCCACCGTTTCACCTTCCGACGATCCGCTCTATGCCAGCTTCACAGTCGATGTGCCACCCTCACACCTCTCGTAACACGTTAGCGACGGGAGAAATTCGAAGACGATGCCGCCAGCGAGCGGACATTCAGACACTTCGCCCCAGGATCGTCTGGAGAACCTGGTGCCTATTATACGCACTGCTCGCAACTTGCCCTATTAAAATCGAGGTCGAGGAAATCCCCTCGGTCCAGTGGGGCGGGGTGCAATTTCCGCGCTGTCTCTGTTCGGAGCTACAGGATCTAAGAACGGTTAGATACATGACCGGTTGTGGAAACTTGTTAAATTGCACCCGAAATTGACCATGGCTTGGCGGACGCGTGACCGGACGAGGGTAGTGTCCGGCATCTCAAAGGGATCTAGCCATGCCACCGGGAGAAACGCGGACGAAAAGAGACCGAAAGCAGGTGGCAGAGCAAAGCAAAGACGGTGATAGGGACTGACAATACTGTCCGGACAGCAGGATGAGGTTGTCAAGAGCATCAAAAGACAAGGACATCTAGAAACAAAAACATCAAAAAACAAAGATCGACTGAATCCAAGGATTATACACCTCATCGCATTCTTTACGCTCATCTTCGTTACCTCCCGCACCAGAAGTCAGAAAAAATACGCAAAAGCAGATACGCGAGTGGGACAATCTGCTTAGGAATGGGAATAGGGTTCAGGTAAATCCAGGGATGACGAGTCGCACCGAGGGAAAAGAGAGACTCTGGCCGCCGGATGAACACAACAGCCCATGACACTCTGAAGTGCAGATGAGTCCGACCGTCCGATCAAGAAAAGTATGGACGACTGTGAGGAAGGGGAAAGAGCCAACCTGAACCCTGTGCCGAGGAATGCAACAAGGGACGCTACATCAACGATCTTCTTCCTCTCGCTGATCCCGTAGAAACATGGAAAGAGAGATGTTGTTGAGGACTAAACTTGATTGCACAGGTACGCGGAGGCTGAAGCTCTTTTGAGCAGCGTCTTTGTTCAGATTGAGGACCATCGCGCTTCCACGGTCAAGCAATTTCAAAGGCAAAGATCTTCTGGCGAACGCATGCAGGCGAACCGTGGATGTATTGTTTTCGCAACAAAAAAGTGAGAACATTGACTAAGAAATTGATTACTGACAAACATTGATGTACTGAAGAAACATTCATGTACTGACGAAACGTTCATGTACTTAAGAAGCATCCATGTACTGGAAGAAACATTCATGTGCTAAAGAAATCAAAACCTTGAGCGAAATCAGCGCCTCTCCGTCAGGTTACCCTCAATTCAGCGAGCGGAGCAGGCCTCGTATGTATGTTGTTGCTTCATCATCACGAGGACCCTAAGAGCCGAGCGTGTGAGGGAGGAATAACCGGACGTGTGGGAAATGTGGCTGACCCAGATCACTGGGTCGGGACGAAGATCTGGTTCCGACTTTTCGGGTCTTTGACTGCATTGGTTCCAGATCTAGAGACGCAGGGTCACTATCAGCATACAGCTCTAGGGTGTCGTCTAGTGTTCAGCACATACCTCCGAGCCATCAAGGCCCATGCCCTCTATGAGTGCGTCTTCTGGCTGCATGGCCGGCAAGCCTTCCTTCCGCAACTCAGACACTCGAAAATGAACCAGTGTCCCGTAGAATTGCAAAAGGAGCAATTCCATTGAAGAAGGTTGGTCTCAGACTTAATGCTCTTCCAGGAAGTGTGGTCGCAGTTGGGCATCGTGAATGGTATGGATAACTGTTGACGATAGCAGTGATTCAAAATTGCTTCGGAAAAGGGTCATTAGTTGAAGATTAAGTCATGACGAGACTGAGTGAGACGCACGGTGTTAGGGTTGAGTTATCTGAGTTGTCTCAAGCTTGCTGGGAGACGAGATACGAAGCCTTGAGATCTGGAGCTATGAGGCGAGGGCGATTGTTTTGTGGCAGCCGTCGAAGAGTTGGATATTATCCTCTACAGAAAGATAGGCAGTCTATTCTGAGAAGGTTCGAGAAGGTTTTCCTGAGGAGGAGAGAATTGGGATTCAAGAAAGGTGTAGCTTGATCAAGAGAGAAGAGAAGAAAGGGCCGCAAAATTGTTAAGTATATGGACAGAATGAGAGGGGAAGTCCTGACTGATGCCCTAGAGCCGCGAGCTCTCGGATACTCATCGCTGATGCTCACTGTTGTGAGGGCCCGGTAATAGGTCCAAGTGCATACAGGGGCAGGGCACTCACTATCTGGTCATGGATATTCACAGCGTCTCATTTGATCGAAGATGTGAAATTTGAAGGATCGAACCCAAGCAGGTGCTGTATTTGTAAGGCTGAAGCAAGAAAAGATCACAAGCACACCGTCAATGTGGCATAGCATAGAGGTCGATGGAAGCCATCACAAATGTTAGCTTTCGTAGTTCCCTCCCTTCCCTTGTTCCACCCGTCAATATGCTCCAAAAACAATTGGAGGCTTTGACTAGAGCCTCGGGGAGTAAGAACCGTCTCTTGACTATATTTTATGTGCCAATCGTAGGTCATTTTGGTCAGCGGTATTAGCGTTCTCCTCGCTTAGAGTGAAGTTTGACGGGTACCAATCAGGCTGGCTCGGGAAAATAGAAAGTGCCAAACCTTGAAATTGATACTGGTATGGAATCCCGCTTCTCACACTTTGTTGCGCTTCTGGCAGAACTGTGGGGGTAAGTGGTGTTCAGATGCATTGCGTAGTGCCATTGTTGCCATCAGTGCTGGTTTGGCTGGTAATCTCCCAGGGGCCTGGGTTTTGGAACTGAGCAATCCAGAAGGAACAGTTCGTTTACAGTAGCGCTGTCTGTTATGCTTTGGCGCAAGTCCAAGGCGCTACTGCAGCCAGCATCATGGCAGTAACGATCATGCGGTGAGAGGCGGTAAGCCTACGACAGCCCATGTCAAGGCGCTTGGCATGGAGCTATCGCCAGGATAGTGGCCCTCCAAATCTGGCGGAGCAGGGATATCGCTGTTCCGTCAGATCTCCTAGCCAGCAGATTCGCAGGCCTTGCCTCGGTCCACTTCTGTTGGGAGGGGCGGACAGACTGGGGATGAGCAGTTTGCGTCTTCAAGGCATCCTTCAGCCGTGCAAGAGGCACCAGGAAGGCCTTAAGGAGCCGTTGGTAATCCATAACCATTCGGCCGGGATAAAGCATGGCGATGAGTGGAGAGGGGTCCGAAGGATTTTGGTATCACTGCCGAACATGGGTATAGAGGCTAAGCGATGACGAAGACCGCACGTTTGCTGAAATGCATGTATGGGATCGCTGATCTCGAGGCTCAGGCTCCCACGCCATGGACGTGGGGCAACCAATGGAGGCGAGGAAGCGAAGAACCCCTCTGTTTCGGCACTCCTAAATTCCGTTGCGTTCTGTGTTTTCCATCCCAATGCAGTCGACTGAAGCTTCGACTACATCTTTAAGATGCTAGCATCTATTGCTAGTCAGGGAGATGAGGCTGAACAACGTCTCAGGAGGCAGACGTAGTAAGAGCATCTCGATCAGCCGTCGAGAGCTCAGAGCAGACCGCCGGGACTGCCGGATTCCGGCAAACATCACAACTGTCGAGAACCCTTGGGCAGATGACTGAACCTCTGTCCCAGAATGATGGAAATGATAAGGACTGGTTACCAAGAGAGCAATGCGTTTCGTGAACAAGTTCCCGTGGGTAGGAGACGCTGTGCAAGTGTTTCCTACAAGCCTCTAATCTCCCCCAACCCACGAAACGAGTTGACAGCTCGGCTCTTGACAGGAGCGTTGGATGGTCCAGAAGCATGGTTCGGGACATGATGGCGGCTCGGATTTTAGGTCACGAAGCTGCCACTGTCCTTTCTTCTTTTCGAGGATCCAGGAGCGGTGGGGGGGGATGGGGTTTGTGGTCAGCTGTCACCTATACTTGTGGCTTGTTGGTGATAAGGGTTGATGCATTGGCAGAATGGGAGCGGTGAAGCTGGTGGAGATCGTGATCGTGATGTTGGTTATGAATATAGCAGTGATAGCGTTGTTAGCGTCAGAATAGAAAGAGGCTGAGAAGAGGAGTGGAGAGGGGAGGAGAGTGGGGACATAACTTCAAGCATGAAGTATATTCTTTCCTTCCTTTCGTAATTGTCTGCCAAGAACATCCGACCAATGAGGAAAGAGCCTATCAAAACATCAGCTTCCGTTAGATCCGAGCCCGCCAACAGGTATCAAGGCAAGTGGAAAAAAGATGATGAAGATGAAGATGAAGACGACGATGAGGACGAAGATGAAACACCAACGAGCCATGCTTGCTGTAGTAACTACAAAGCAAGTGAGAGAAGGCGAAGCATATGTACCAGGTGCTGAAGAGAGCATGTCAATCGAAGGATTCAGTAATGCAACTACATCCCACCCAGCATCATCATCACAGCATTATCCTCCCGCCAACTTGTCTTTAGACTTTTCCAACTTCTGATTCCTGGCATGTCTTTCCGATTTACTAATCCTTACGAGGAAGAGATATGCTGTTTGACTACGGGCTCAGGATACACATGCCTGTACTTCTTACAGTCGACCTTAAGTCCCCCAACACCTCGTGCCTCGGCTTTGATATTCTTTCTATCACTACACTACTCGGGAACCATTGGCTTCGACTGATGATGCATTTAAGTGCGCTCTTGGCCGCCGTCGTACACCCCGGGTGTACTACATACCTCTCTCCTCCTGTCTCCACCCTCTTCTTTCCCCTTCAGAGGTAGATCAATGGACGAGATGCCAGAACTTACTCCCAGGCATCAGCGTCTGCCGCTAAGTCCATTCCACACAATGTGTCCCCCACCCCATAGCCTCAACGTTCTGGTTCTTCCATGACGGGCAAAGTTTACGCATTTGGGAATTGACACTTCACGCCAACAATTTCATTCCCCTGCAACACGTTCCTCGCCATCAAAGACTTGGCCAGCTTTTTTTTAACAAGGCAAGCGCGAAAAAAAGCAGACCAGTAAGTGTCGTCAACCGAAATCATGCCATATATTGATTAGAATTAGAAAAAGGAATTTTCCGCAATGCCTCCGCAAGAGGCAGGCACATAAGGATGAGCAGAAAACTGGGCGGTACCCCTGGACTCTTATACTGCGACCAGGAGCCTAATTTTGGGGGGGGTATTTGCAACCGAGACACGGCTTCTGCCACACCCTCCACGTGCTCAGCTCATGATATGGAACGGCAAAAAGCAGAGTAAAGTAGGTACTTTATCTGCTTGCATGAAGCCCCGAGTGCCCGGATCGACACAAATGAGCCGTTCAAACCGCTTACCGGGACGCCGACAATGGTGGGGCGGCTCACCCACGATGATAAGCGGTTAGCTAATATATTCCTTATCCATATGCATTCAGCGATACACCACTGCTCACCGCTGTCCAAAGGTTGGATTCTGGTTTTCTCGCCATATTTTCCGTGGGTTCTAGACCAGTCACAAGCGTGGCTGGGTCTTCTCTGTTGCGCTAGAACCACCCGAAAGGGGGTTTTTGGCTACTGGTGGTGTGGATACTTTATCCTGCAACAAATCTCTCCGTGTGGTGTTGACTACTGCACTTGTTCTCGCGTCATGACCACAACTGGAAAGATACGGGTCTTCAATACATTTGAAAGATACATCTAAAATTCTTAGCCAATCAGAACGAGTCGTCTAGGGCAAGCATTCACAGAATGACCGACATCTGATGCAATGGAAAAGAAAAAAAAAAGTGACGCTCCAAGCATTGGAGTTCGCAATCAGCTGTCCAAAGTTTCTATTCCTTCTCAAGCACTAACTTTGCACCATCCCACTCCTGCAAACTAACCTCAAGGATGAAAGTACAACGCGTTCTAGAGATGCACATGTCGGAATGGGCAAAGTATCTACTTCTTTCATCTCTCCTACAAGGGAAGATAAGATCAACAAGCGCCTTTAGCCAGAAGCCCAAGGCCTTAATTCCGATTCCCCATACGATCACAGCCGCCCTGAGAGTGAGATAAGATACCTTGACATTCCTCAACGAAGAGCTATCCCCGGATCAGATGTTGTATACATAGCAGTAGCATTGCACTGCGAAGTAGTATCGCACATACAACATGATCCCAAACGACCCTTGAATGACCACTGCGGGATTGGCCATATAAAGTAGACAGGTCTCCTGCTACGGTACACAGAATACTTAGTCATCTCCATCGGCCAATCAAGTACCCCACCAGTAGCCACGCTCCTCCAGTGATACGACACATATCAGACCGGCGTCAGCTGCTCCGACTACCCAATCCACCATTCTTCACCCTCCGCATCCGGCTCAGGATCGCAGGTACATCCCAGCCTCGTCATCGCAGGTCATACAGTACAGAAGTGGAACCAGTCTGATGATTATCAGGCACACAACACGTAGCCGACATGACACGAAGCACGCCATGGTCTAGATCTGACAGGCTTACCACCTGACCAGCGGGCGCCAGCTAGAAAGTCCTACCGACGGGGGCGGGGCATACAACGCTGCGTTGCGTATACGACGGGGTCATGGACGGGGGAAAATCATCAGTGACAGCACGTGAGAATCACTGCACGTAAAACCGCTGCTTTATAAACCAACCAACCCACCCGATCCCCATCAACGCACAACCCAAAAAGAAAATTCAAGACCACACCCCCATCTCCCACCCACCCACCCCCCCTCCTCCATTTCCTTCCCCCTCTCCCACCCACCCCCCCCACCCCACCAACCCCACCAACCCCCCCAATTACAAAAAGCGACCCCAACGCTATCCATCACCAACATACCGCAACATAAACCCAAAGCACCCAAGACGGCCAGTTGGTACGAAACGAGACCGTGCGCCCGTGATCGGTAGAGTGTATTTAGAACGGTTAACGAGTCAGAGGTGGCCCGTTGGCATGTCCGGACGTAGAGGATACTGCGGTTGACGGTGTGGGATGAGATTGGGGTTGGGGTTGGGGTGTACGACCTTAGGTAGCACTGGTGGATATATTTTTTTAGCGCGGGTGGGTTTGTAGGCGGTATGAGTACTTGTATGGCGCACAGAGGGATGGAGTGCGATCGTTCAATCGGGAGGAGATTGTGGGGAAGAGGCAGAAGGGGAAGTATGTAGCTTGGTTTATTAATAGCAAAGGGGCCTAGTTACAGCGTTGGGTCATAGCCCTTTGGCTGATACGCAAGGTATCGATGTCACTAGCGCCGCCTTGTTTATCTCGACTCGACTCCTTTTGATGGAGACGTTTCCGTTTCAGCAATCCATCATCCCTGAGCCAACCTTTGATACTAGCTACGTTCTACCCCCTCACAGGCTCACGTATAGATACTTTCGGTGTAAGCATTAATCTGCAACCCTTTTTCCGCCATCTCGGCATCCTTGAGGAAGTCTAACGGCATCCAGACTAGATGGCCTTTGATCTGGTCGAGCTTCTGCCTGACCTCCTGTGCGGGCATAAAAGGGTCGTGGAGATGGCCTTGCTTGTACTTTTCGTGCTTGGGGAGGAAGGATTCGTAGTCGGCAAAGGTCTTGACTATGAGGAGAGGATCAGGATTGCTGGTCGCTAACCGGAGCTAAGAAAGAGGGTCGAAGAAAGGCACTTACTGTTATCGTCCGGATCCGCGCGGAAGAGATGTCTGAACAAGTCCGTATTCCTCGTTGCATTACCAGTCCACATATCCCAGACTCTATCGCTCAACGGATCGGCCACAAACTCATACTCTGGCCCTTCCATTAAATCGTTCGGACACACGTCTGGGGGTTGAGCGTTTGGGTCTTCCGATGCATCGAGCTTCTGGGCGGGGAGAAGGCCGAGATGCTCACGCCAGAGTAGCCGGCGGAGGGTGGCTGCGTGATGTCCTGCTTTGTAGGGTTGGCCATCCATGGTGCTGTCAAGGAACGTCTGATCTTCCATGACGATGGAGAGTTCGCTGTCGTGAATGCCAAGTTGAGACTGCGATGATCAGCTAAAGCAGTGTATAAGGAATGAGAGAGAACCTACTCTGTCGTTGATATTCGAGCTTCCACATATCGTGATCCGGTCATCCACAATCAACAGCTTCCCGTGAATATAAAGCTCTTCCTGGACGAAATTCTCCTTTTCGCTCTCCAGATCGCCTTCCCATTCCTGCTCAGAAACTTTACCTCCATTAAGCATGGCAGTGCGTGCGATGGAATCTTGTTGCGTTGATGACTTCTCTCCAAGACCAGCTTCTTCACGGGAATCTTCGAACCTTCGCTTCCGGTCCATATTCTTTTCTCTCTCCTCGTCACCACTATCGTCGTGGCGGTCGAGCTTGAGTTTGTCTCGCTTCCGACGGTCAACGCTGTTAGGAGCCCCACCCCCCATGATTTCTTCAGCATTGGCTCGTTGGACTTCTTCATACTTTACGCCGGACTTCTCCTCTTGCTGTACCATGGCTAGTGTTTTGTTTAAGCGATCAAACGATCGAAGATTAAAGACGAAGATGTGGTCTTTTGAGTTGACGCCTTGTGCTTCTATCTGACTGCATATGGAGTGTTCACCCCGGTGCAATGATTTGTATTGGTAGTCCATGATAGCTCGAGTGCCCGCAGCGGCGTCATCTCTCAAGTCTCCTGCAAAACCCGGTATCGCGGGGATCACAATGATGACTCTGAACTTTCTACCTTCTTTGCCAGCTTTAACGCATGCGTCCACGATAGCTCTACCTATGGTGTTGTGTATAGGTGCTTGCTCTTCGCCGGTAGCAGTGATGAAGAATTGATTTTCTATGTAGACAAAATGCTGGGCGTTCCTGATGACTTCTGAATACGCGTTTTGAATGCTGTGTTCTACGAGGATTCCACTGCTCCAGTCACAACTACTTCGAACAATCTGGGCATGCACCGTTCCCGGATGTTGGTGCGCCCAGGGCTTGGTCTCCAGCGGTGCCATTGGATGCTTGACGTAGTCACCAACAGGGAATTTCGGATGCTGAACGGCTATCAGATCTTCATTCTCACCCTCTCGTCCCTGCATGAGCAGCCAGTCGTACCCAGGGTCTCGCTTGTATTTGTCACGCTTGACAAAGTTCCATCGCAAAACGAAATGTTCTGCAATATCATAGACGCAGTCGCCGACGAGTCCCATAGCCACATCATGCCACGGCATACGTCCGTAATCAGCCTTGCTCAGCTCATTCGACTTCCAGTCCTCGACCGTCTGGAAGTCCATGATGCGATTGTTGTTGAAATCCTGGCCCGGGAAGACCTCGTTCTGGACTCCAGCGGGGTGGACATCTGCCAAAGGATGCTGTCGGTCATCCCATCGCCCAAAGCATAGGTCCAGTCCGCCAATGAAAGCCAGAGCGTAATCAATGACGATGAACTTTTCGTGATGCGCCCAATAGAAGGTCATGTCCCCTGCGTTCTCAAAGACGTTGTGATCCGGATGCCTCATCACTGCGATGTTCCCATGACCCTTCGTTCCCGGCGGGCACAGAGCATGCAGAGCGTGCTTCGTATGAGCGCTGTTGCACGAGATGGCCGCCGCAACTTCCTTGTACACAATGACGTAGATCTTGACGCCCGCCTCGGCCCTCCTCTTCAGCACCTGGTCTAACCTCCATTCCTGGTTATAGTACGGCGGTCGGCGCAGAAAGAGCTCAGGACTCAACCACCAATCCTCAATGTAGATGACCTCCTTTGCCTTCTCCAGAGCCGCAGACACGGCCCAGAAATAGTCCCGTCCATCAACGTACCACTTGATCTTATTCCCATCTCTTTCAGGAGCGAAAGATTCGAAGCGATGGCTCTCGGCAACGCGAGTGCGCTTGGCGTCTGTCTCTTGCTCGTGCTTTTCGTCGTGGCGATGGTTGGGATTGATAAGGTTGTGGAATTTGCCGACCTTGCTCTTGAAGTGGTAGAAGCCTTTCTTTGCGTCGTAGAGGTGGGTTTCTAGTGGTGGGGTAGATGGTCAGTCAAATGGCGGGGTGTAAGATTGCGTGTACTCCAGCGCACCTTTCATCTGGTTGCGGAGCTCGGGGAAGATATTGTGATCCTTGATCCTTTCCTTCAGCGACCCTTTCTCTGTATTATCGGTTGTTGATGAAGACATGATGGCAGTCTTGATGCTCGGTTGTGAGAAAGAGGTGGAGTGGGGGGGAAGTGCAAAGGTTTTCATGTAATCTGGGGGGTCAGCATGCTTGGAGCTCTTGAAGCATCAAAGTCTTGTTTTAATTGAGCCGATAGATTACCGATGTGATCTTGGCTGCTTGGCTATTCCTTGGCTACGACTTGGCGACGGGGATAGTGTCTTTTATTAATGTTTTGATTTTGATGTCTTTTGCCTTCGGTCGGCTGATCTTGGCATGCTGTGAGCCTGCTTTTTTTTTTTTTTTTAAATTTTTTTTTTTTTCAGTAAGAAGATAAGATTAATCTTACCCTCTAGACTACTCTAGTGGACCCTGAAAAAGATCAGCAGGAACAGGGTCCGCTATTGCATCATCTCGCGTGGAGAGACCAATTTTTGGGAGCGGAGAGCGGAGAGCGGAGCCTACACCACCTCCAAATCCGCTGGCAAAAGGCTTTCTCAAGGTCACTGGATTCTACAATAACCATCTAGCGGACCGCGATGCGGTTCTATCGAGTCACTGCTCACTCATGAGTTACTCATACTAGGAGTTCCAGTCCCCTGGTTCCTGACTGCCTGGCGCTGTTCGATCCAAGCACCAAATGTAGCCAGCAGCTGCTGATACAAATGGTATAACTCTGGAGCCTTTGCTGTACCCATCAAGTTCTCCCCAATTTCCATCTATGAGCACGCCCATGATCTGATTACTGCTCTAGCTGCCCCGCTTTGATCGCCGAGTATTTACCATTTGGTGTAAGTCAAATCACACGAGATTTGGGACAAGTTGATTGGCTCGTTGCCTGCCAGTAGGTTATTTATCAAGCTTCTTTCGTCACACTCAAAGGTTCAAGACATTTACGAGCATGTCAAAAGTGACTTGGAATACGGGCAGCAGAGTCCGGATCTGCAATGCAAAAGGCTTAAGGCCACAGGCAGGATGAGCAGATCGAGGTTCTCGCCTAAATCTGAGCGGATGGCCTCGGGGGCAACGATGGGGTCGGCCCTACCCAGCTGTTCGACGTGCTGCTCTGATTCCAAATCTCTCAGCAGGTTTTACAGTCCTCTTTCATAACATTGCCAATTCTTGCCGTAGCATCAATAGTCTTTTCCATCATTTTATTAGCATCGACCCCGATTTTGGCATCCCAGCCGGTAGCTATCACCCAGACGGATGGTAATTCACTGAGAGTGAGAGCAAGAAAAGTTAATATTGGACGGTAAATCTCTCCAGTTCTCATTACAGCTGCGGGTAGTTGGAATGTCTCATTCGTGAACTAAGGAGAGCGAGAAAGGAGGAGTAACTGCCAAACAAAAATAAAGGATCGCGAGAATCAAGCTTTGTTTTACGACACTCAGGATCTCGGTAAAAGCGCAATCGCCCAAGGTTCAGCCTCTGATCTATGGCTTGCGAAGCTCGGGAAGCCTGTGAAAGAGCGGTAGTTTCAGGACTCAAGCTCGTGCTTGCGAACGGAGGGCCGCTCGAAAGACATGCATGACTCCAAATTGTTGGAGGTTAAGCCCCTTCCACGTGTCGGCATAGGTAGGACTGGTCGGAATTTGATGTAAGGATGTGGGAAAAGCACAACATGATTTCATTGTTTTTTTCGCTTGTCTTCCTTGGGTTAGCCGAGGGAATGAAATGTCTGTGCTGTGCTGTATGTCGTCGCCACAAGAACCAGCTGGTCTTTGGTGGAATTGAAAACATTAATGGAAATGGGTAACATGGTATGCAGCGAGGCCATGCAGTAATTGCTTTTGTTGTAGAATGCATAGTGATGCTGAATGGAATTTGCATGCGTGCATGGAAAAAGCGCTTTCTGGTCTAGACTCAAAGTTTTTGACACACGACGTCGCTGGCCATGATCGAGCAATTCCGAGAAGATGTTGCAACCAAAATAGACCACATACCTCAGCCATTGGTCTTCTATCAATCCCAAGCGATCCGTTTCCTGGGTCGCTGGAGGGATCTCCCGTCGAGCGCGGCTCCTCCAACCAAGAAGCGGTCGGCATAAATCGCGCGAATAGCAGTATACATACAACAATCAAGCTGCGGATCATGTTTGCTTGACTTCCCGTCCCATCGTAATGTGATGACTCAACCAACAGATTGGTCTGATCCTCGAATATAGAAGCCTTTGGAGCGATAATGGACTGCGAATTCCGAAGGATTGTAAGCCATTGCGTTTCAAGTAAATCGAATCCTTGCAATCACGCCAAGGTACTCACCTATGTGCATCTTCTTTAGACGAAGACTATTCCCTCAGTTACAGCGTTTAGGCTACTGACGGATATTAGATGATGGCTTGAATAGTTGGGCTCGAGAAACAGGAAATCGCTCGTTATGACATACGACTGAGTTCAAAAGCACGAAGCTCTCCTCGTCTGGCACGGTGTTTCCCAATCTCCCTGATCATCTCGCACAGTATGAAGCTTTGGGAGGCTGTTATTTGATCATCATTGCACATGCACGTACGCCAACGAAGCACCGAAGTAGCTATTTGGCCAGCCTCAGATGCATGCACAACTGGTAAAGTAAGAAGCGTGTCAATCATTCTGTTTGACACATTTTAGCGGTCTCACGGCCTGGCTTGACACCGAGGTCGGTGTTGTGCATTAAGAGCCATGGTGGGAACAAAGTGTGATGACCGAAGAAAGTGTTGCAATTGGTGGATTCTCAAAGTACGGTCCGAACTCCTAGTTATAAGTAAAAGGATGTACTTTGGTAAGTGCGGCTACTTGAAGCGGAAGTGCTTGCCGATGTAAACATTCTTTCTGCCACTTCCCTCTCCTTCCGCACTTCCATCCTTCCATTGCCCGACTTGACGGTTCCCTCAGAAATGATTGAGCTTGACTCAACTGAACAATAGTCCAAAGCCGAGTCTTTTATGTACCAGAATTCTACTATGTGTTCTTGAGACTTCATCATGGAACTGACAATCTGGAGTAGATGTGTTACCCAATGCCAAGGATTCCACAGGATCTTAAATGTGCTAAATGAGCTTACATGATGTCCCTTGACACTGTTGCCTTGATTATTCGGTGTTGAGATACCTTCACGCTTCGATCCTCAACAACAACACTTCAATAACTCACCCATCATTCACTGCTCGATTTATAAGCGCTTCCTCACTTCCAAATCATACCTCATCAGTACAGCTTCGTTTTAAATACCTTCAACAACCATGCCGGTAGCCCTACTTCATCAGCGCCCTCAGAAGACCAAGGGCCTCTCCCAACCCACAACACCGAGACTCAGTGCTCAGGATCAATCTCAAAAGCCCGAGACTTCGGCATACAGTATGGACAGCGCGGCGAATGCCCGTCCGTTTCCTTTCTTCAAACTACCCGCCGAACTTCGAAATCAGATCTACCGCTTAGTCGTTGTTACTGGGCAAAGTCTCATGATTCGAGACATGCATCTTCAGGAGTTCGAGAGGAGTCATGACAATGGCAGCTACCGATTCAGATCCACCTACCTAGCTACAGATCATGTGTGCAGCAAAAAAAGCTGGCCTGAAAACTTGGGGACTCCGACAGTCGAGTTATGCTTGTTCAAAGGCCCAAGATACCAGCCTCTAAAGACGACTTACAAACTTGGCACCGCAATCCTTCGTAACACTATGACCACAGAGATGCTCTGCGTCAACAAACAGTCCAGAGAAGAGGTTGCGTTCATCTTCTATGGCGAGAATACCTTCCACTTCACCAGCATGAGTTCACTCATGCCATTCATGCAAGATCGCACAGCGGAGACCCGCAAGTATATTCAACGCATACGGCTAACGCTTACCGTCGATGACCGAGATTGGGATGTCATCTATACAGAATACGGAAGACCGGCCACTTGGAACACAGCCTTTTCAAAGCTTGTGAAGCTGCCTCATGTGAATGTAAAGAAGCTGTTTGTCCGGGTTGACGACAGGAAAGCAAAGATTCTCAAGGATGGCCTGAACCTTCGGTCCAGGTCAATGCTTTGGCTACACAAACTCAGCAGGCTTGAGAATCTGGAAATGCTAGGTGTCAGATATGATGTCACAGAATGGAAAACCCTTCGGTACCAGCCAAACCTTTGGGGATGGTCTGGACCAACGGACGATGAGGTCAACACCCAGACCGAACAAGAACTGTGGCGATTCCTTGCACCTAAGATGCTCAAGAAGGATGGCGATGATCACAACCCTGATGCATTGCAAGAACGTCGCATCTGGGACTTCCCCAAGACTCGGAAATCTTATCGCACCCACAGCAACAAAGATTTCGATGGGCTTTATCCCGAATCCGACGCCGATGTCGAGTAGTAGCTGCGTGGAGGTGGGCTCAGATTTGCCAGCTAGACGGCATGCAAAGCCGCCACGAGTTTCGCACTTCTAGGGGAAAGTGGTTGGCGAAACAGAAACAGAAACAGATATCGGACTTTCAATTCCCAGTCAGGAAGGGTTTGCACATTTCGGCCGTATGTGCTAGCACAATTAGTTACACACCAGACAGAGTCTTTTCCAGGGCCAGGTGAAGACGGTGATCTCTCAAGGGGTAGTAGCTGTAGCACAAAGATCTAGGGAGGGTGTCTGAGTGACTCTTACTTACGGATGTGAGGATTTTCAAGGGGCATGAAACATTTCATCACTCAGCAAGAACCCAATATCTCAAAATCTTGCACTCTCTTCTCTTCACTTCTCTTCGTTGTTCAACCGAGGCCAATGCCGCATATTCGGTATCTTGCTCCCACCCACATACCAACCAAAAGAAATTGCCCACCCATTTCCTGCATCCTGAAGCTGTCCATTTCGCTTCCGCGACTTTGTCAGTCGCAGCGGGGCACTTCAATTTCCAAGATTCTCCAATAATCCTGACGTCGCTGAGGAGAAATCCTCGCCGGCTTTTGCCCAAGTAGGAAAGCCCGAAGTTTGCAAGCGCGAGCACAACAAGCAATGCGACCCGTGAAAAGATTCCGTGAGACTGACTGGTGGTCACGTTGGTCAAACTTTCATGACCATATTATATTGTGAAACTTTCCGTCCGCTCAAGCACCCCCATTGGCCCCACCCACGTCCTTTCCCTCCACAACCTTCTTCAATTCCTCCACCTGCTCCCTCAGCGCCCTGACCTCCAACACCGCAACATCGGTCTCGACGTTCGGCCTCGTACTCTCCACCCTCTTCGTCCACCCCTCGGCCTCAAGATCCAACTCCCCACTCATCTGCTCCCACTCCTGCACCTCGTCCTCATCGCTCTCCCCATTCCTTCGATTCCTTTTAACCTTATACGCCTGCTTTGTCTCCAACCACGCTGTTATCAAGAGCAGCGGTGAATACACGACACCCATTACGTAATTGTTGAGGCGCTCGTAGCGAGGAGAGGACATCCACCATTCGAAGGGAATGATTAGGAGGAAGACTTCTATGAGGTTGAAGGGGGCGATGAAGACGTTTTCGTCGGGAGCACGGACGAATTGCATAGTTTTCTGTGAAAAGAGGGCCATGTATTCGTCGACGGCGTTGTCGGTTATGTCGGCGTAGGCGGAGTTGTACAGAGCGATGAGGATGTTGAGGAGCACTGGCGTGTGTTAGCACGGGGAAGGCGGATCTTAGCGGAGCATGCTAGTCGGTAAGGGTACGGCACTCACCAACCATCACCACGAATGTGAAGATGTAGTAGAGTATCAACCCAAAGGGTGGCGCGAACTTGTCGAACCCCTCAAAGTCGGGACTCTGCATCACGCTGTTCAACATTGCTTTGAAGATGAAGCCCGTCACATACGAATTGTCGTCCACCTGATCCAGACCAATGAATGCTTGAAGAAATCCGACCATGACAATGATAAGCAGCGCAAAGAAAATGAGCGATTCCTTCATCATCATTTTCAGCACGACTAGCATAGCGCCAAAGAACCGGAATGTATCTAAGTAAAGAAGCAGACGCATCCAAAACATAGGCGCGGAGAAAGCGAGGAAATTATAGCTGAGCTCGTTGAACTTGTGCCGTTGGCCCGCATCGTCGTTGACAGGATGGCCTAGAGCGATGACACGGGTCACAAAGGAGACGCAAAGAAGGGCATAAAGTGTGCTGTTGAACACGTTCCAAAACCCGATGTAGTAGCGGCCTACTTTCCAAAACTTAGCTATTTCATCGAACATGAATCCTGCCGTCATGATATAGAGTACTCCTTCCACAACATCTAGATCTCCGGTGCTATTTATGGTGTTGATGGCGGCGGTGTAGAGAGCAAGGTAAAAGAGGGAGAAGAAGATTTGCACGGCGTTTTGATATACCGGAGCGCGCATGCGGTCAGGATCGAAGTGATCCCAGTATTTGGTGTTAGCTTTTTGGGTCCAGGGAATGAAGTTGGAGGGGTATTGATCATCTTGAACGAGCCAGCCGCGCCAGAGGTAGGTGATGCATTTCTGGTAGCCTGAGCTGCCAATGACACGCAGAGCATGCAGGTCAACAGCACGTTCGACAGCATTGGCGGGCTCTGTGGGCTCGCCTCGAATCAGGATCGAGTAGCGCTTCAGCAACAGGTCTTGCAGTAGATAATCCTGATCCTCTTCCAGCTCAATGAGCTGTTTCGCTAGCATTTCGCAGGCCGTGGCGCGCACATTGTGGAGGTCTGCATCCCATAATTCCAGTATTGCCTGCCGTCTGAACCAGCGATAGCAGACTAGTAGACAGTATACCACGCATGCTTCGTGCTCTTTCCCGCCTGCTGACTTGGCTGTTGCGATCACCTTCCGCGTAATGACTGGGGAATTGGCCTTTGTGACTTTGAACTCTTCGAGTTCGCAGGGAATAACTTGCTCGATCTGGTACTTCAGACGGAGCGCGACTTTCGTGACGGCTTCTGGGGGCATGGCGGAGGGGATGACTTCGTTTCGATTGGTGGGGAGGACTGCATAGACCATTAGCCATTGAGCACCGACATTCCTTGGAAAAGAGGCATATACTTACGGCGGCGCATCTCCTCTCGTAGACCGCGGCGGTCTTGGCTGTTCAAACCAAAGAGCTTCTTCCACTGCACCATCTCGCCTGTTTGGCTGGAGAGTCAATTGAGCAGGTCAGCAGGTATCAGCAGAGATATGGAGATGACCAGCCTCTCTGGAGGAACGAAAAGAGCTATGTGACAACAGATGAGGCCTCGAACAGAGGTGCTCTACCTACTGAAAGCCTCTTCATCTGGAGTTGCGTCCGTCGCCTTGGCTCGGTCTTGGCTTGCGATCGCCGGATAGCCAGAGTGAAAACTTGACTGCAGCCCTAATCAAATTTGACATGCCCAAAGTTGTGCAAACAGTCATACCACTTCCCAAATTCTTTAACCTTGATGCGCAGCACCTCAACAGCTTGAAGAACCATTTTACGCGACCCAGAAAATACTGGCGACAGATGATACAGCGTAGCCAAGCCAGCATTTTCCAGCCCGAACAATCTTGAAACCGCAAATCAAAAACGCAAGCTCCACAGTAGAACAGAGAAGATGTCTCTCACCAACTGCCGGTTCTACGAGAACCGATACCCCGACATCGATGAATTCGTTATGGTCAATGTATGTTAGCTTTTTCTTCTTCCCCCGCACCCTACCCAGAGCCCTGCTGACTTCGCGCACAGGTTAAACAAGTAAGCCCTCCCTTCGTTCTAAAACACCAAACCATGACTCACAAGTCCATAGATCGCAGAAATGGGTGCCTACGTCAAACTCCTCGAATACGACAACATCGACGGCATGATCCTGCTCTCCGAGCTCTCCCGACGGCGTATCAGGAGTATACAAAAGCTGATCCGGGTGGGGCGAAACGAGGTAGTCGTCGTACTACGAGTGGACAAAGAGAAGGGCTACATCGATCTGTCCAAGCGAAGAGTGTCACCGGAAGATATTGTCAAGTGCGAGGAGAGGTTCAACAAGGGAAAAATGGTCGCAAGTATCATGCGCCATGTAGCTGAGAAGACCAAGACGCCGATGGAGACGCTGTATCAGGATATTGGATGGCCGTTGAATAAGAAATATGGACATGCGGTTGATGCGTTCAAGCTTTCGATAACGTGAGCCAATATTGCCCTATTTCTAAACCGTACTTTCTATCTATTCCCGTCTGCTCCTTTGCACTTTTGAGATATGCTAAGTTATTTTACTTTAGCAACCCAGACGTCTGGGCCGAAGTAACCTTCCCCTCAGACGTGGTAAAAACTGAACTTCAATCCTACATATCCAAGCGCCTAACACCTCAACCCACAAAAGTCCGCGCCGACGTCGAAGTGACCTGTTTCGGCTACGAAGGCATCGACGCAGTGAAGAACGCGCTGCGGGCCGCCGAAGCCCAAAATACCGCCACTCATACACCCTTGAAAACAGCTGACGGCCTCGACATACCCCGCCCCAACGAAGCTACTGTCAAGGTGAAGTTGGTGAGCCCGCCGTTGTATGTGCTCACGAGTCAGTGTCTCGAGAAGAGCACGGGGATCGCTTGTCTGGAGAGGGCGATTAAAGAGATTGAAGGGAATATCAGGGCGAATGGAGGTGGATGTGTTACGAGGATGGCGCCAAAGGCGGTGACGGAGAACGATGATGCGGAGTTGCAAGCGCTGATGGAGAAGAGGGAGAGGGAGAACGCGGAGGTCAGTGGAGATGAGAGTATTAGCGAAAGCGACGAGGGGGTTGTTGCTGAGACGATTTGATGAAACCATGGCTATGGGGGTGGTGGTGTTGAGGTGGGCCTGCATGCAGGTATGAAAAGTCAAGATCCATCAGGATGAGACGTGTGCTTTTCATGAGTAAAATGCTAAGTTGCCTTTCAACATGCCGAGAGTGGAAAGTGCCGGTGATTCCTGTGAGTGAAGTCTTTCTCGGATCCAGTCGTACCTAGTCATCCATAGAAGCGCCTTCCTCCATGCTCATCTGAATCACCCGGAAGGTCTGACCTTTGGTGACACACTGGTTGCACGATTGCATAAGCTAATGTATGATGATTGTCGAGGGGGCGCAAAGGTATCTATCTACAAGGCGTCAAGAATTGGTAAGGAGCAACGCTTGGCCCGTCACACATGATCGGCCAAAGACTTTGTTCCACCACCGCTACTTCTTATAGGAGCGAAGTCTTTACATTCTGAAGAGGACGTTTTGAATGGAAGTCTACTTTTCGATGAGCTTTACTTACCTATGGCTAGTCCTCCTACTCCTATTCAAAGCAGTCCTAATACGCAATGCCAACTACCACCAGGAGTCCCATCACACACTACGCGTCAACAGCCGAAGCATCACCCTTGTCAATCTCCAATTGCTCCTCACGCTCGGAAGTGCGAGCGGATTTGGGCGCTGAGGGTGGTTATGGTGTCGAGTGTTTCGTATGGGGATTCGGGAGAGGAGGCCAGCAAGGAGGTCGATGGAGAAGAGGGTGTCGACGGCGGCGGGGAAGAGAGCGAGGGGGATGAGGAGGACGGTGCTCTCTCGGTGTTACAACAGCGGTATGGTAAAATGCAAAAGAAGGGGAAGTACTCTGCCGCTGGGCCCAGAGGGTTCGAAGCTTTTCTATTTGACGGGGACGACATCTTACTACATAGGTATTGACAGACGAATTTTAGGGAAGAATTCTATCCTCACCGTAGCTACACAGGGGCACGTTCTTGATCAGTCTAACGTTAGTGTTGTTGGGTTAGAAGCCGACAAAAGAAGCAGCAGCAGACCTTACACCCGATCGATGAGTAATTGCTCACAAGGCATAGCGACAGCGCGATCTAAGCGACAGGAGACTGTAGGTATTAGGTGTGATCGGCTCTGCAAGCACACATGCATTTGTCTGACTGAGTGCAGGATTCAGTCACAGGCGGTAGTCTGTTCATACGTCTCATTACCCAAGAACCACATGGAGTTTGGAGTTTGCTCCCAATAGCTTGTGCTCCTTTGGACAGAGACTCGGCTGCCACATTAGATTGCACTTGTCAAAATCAATCTGGTGGAATCCAGAGGGGGGAGAAGGAACAGTCCTTTCACAATATTCGTCTTGATTATCCGACAACCATATCTTTATCTTCACCAGGCAGAGGTAAGTTGACATTGAAGAAGCAGTTGGCCACAAAAAAATTGCCGGTTGTGGGTCAATCTCGACAAGATCAAGGGAATTCTAGGCGTCCAAAAGCGTTTGAGAACAACGAGGGATTATAACTCGGCGGCGGCGAGGTGAGCAGCATCGTCCAAAGCTCTGCCCAGCACTAAGTCGACACAGTACTTTCTTCCACCTTCGATATTCTCATTGTCAAAAAATGGAAGGCCAATCGGCCGGCAAGTGCTTGCGCAAAACGTGCACAGGTGTTGGTTGGGGACAGCTTGCATCTCGTAGACCAGGGAACAACTTTAGTACTTTGGCATTCGAAGAACTCCTACAAAAGGTCCGTTAATCAGTTTTCGTGGTTTTACTCTTCAAGCCATCTTGAGTACTCATCAACTCCGCCAAGTCCTTTGATCACCGGCCCTGAGCCTGACGCTGTGCCACAAAAGAGATCGTTGGGGAACTTCAAACCAATAGCGGGAACGAGGTCTACCGTGAACACTTGACAGCATCTGCAAACGGCCCATTCAAGCCAATCTCCGAAAGAGACACGCTGCCTCTGGTACTAGTACGTGGTCAAAGATCGCACACCCACCATCCAACTAAACAATCTTCTCCCCACCAATCTTCAATCAAAGGAGACTCATAGATCCTAGTCACAAATTTGCCCTCCCGAACCTCTCCCCTCCCCTTCAACATCATACAACTCCATCCTCGAGCGGATACCAGTCGACATCACGATCCACATCCCCGGTCCACATCTCCCGTCCACCCACCAGAGAATCCCGTGATCGGAACCAAGCTCGTGAAGACAGCAAAAGTCCGCCGACGCGAAGTTACACAAACATGTCCTTCCAGCAGACAACCCTTCTTTCCCGCCTCGTCGCGCACCAGTTACGCCCTCGAGTGTCTCAACTCCGACACACAAGCCCCAAGTTGCGCATAGCCTTGAGCGAGCTGTCACGGCGGTCCTTTAGGAGTGCGACGATGGGATTGCCGTAGAATACGGATGCGGCGTCCTTTCGGGGCTGCGGGTTCAGGGTCAGCGTGGCGACAGAGGGTATTGGTGCTTGGAGTTTTCTGTTCCAGCTGTGGAGATGGTACGGAGGCTTGACGTTTTTGCGGTTGTTATCGAGCAGGGGGAATTGGACAGGTTTACAACGGTACGTCCGGACTCTACATTGTTTTGAGCAGGTCTGCGGGGAATTGGGAAGTTATGTGAGAATTATTGGGTTCGGGATGGGAAGGTTTGTTGCATCCAAATGCCTAGTCTGGATTTCCAACTGAGGTACATCTGCATAACTAATGTCTCCTATCATAAGTCCCATAACTCGTTAATCATGCTCTAAAGCTCCACGACCTCAACATCTCACTCTCGATTTCAATGGCCCATGGGGACAGACATCTCGCTGCTCTTCGACCTTTCCGCGATGATGTCCTTGCGATCCTTCCTCAACTGTCGGGCGTAGCTGACACCGAAACCATGCTGGAAGACCTCTCCTATTTCCTCAAGCGTCAAGCCTGATACTTCAGGGTAGAAGAAGTAGATCAAAACCCAGCCGATGCCACAGATGGCGGCGTAGAAGCCAAACGCGCCGGATGGGGTCATGCTCTTCATCATGGTGAGGAAGGTCGACGAGACGATGATGTTGGAACCCCAGCAGGAACTGCCATGCGTATTAGCTGCGAGTGTCTCGAGAAGTCGGCGAGGCTGAAGTAACTAACCAAGTCAGGAACATTGTGCCCATCGCACGCACTTCCATGGGAAAGAAATCGGTCGACATCCACGCTGTGTTACCTACTGAGACCCCATAGAAGAAGACGAACCAAATAATGAAGATGAGCACGACGATTGCTGGCGCCGAGACAGTAGTCGCTTCGAGAACGAGAGTGTGAGTGTTAACCGGAATGAAGTGGAAGGCTACGGCGACAGCGAGCAGCCCAGCAGACATTCCCCAAACAGTGCAGATCAGAACCCGACGACGACCAACAGGGTCCACAGTCATCATGTTGACCCAAGTCATGATAAAGTTGACACCAGCAACGACCAAGCCGACAGCCACAGGGTTGGAGAAACCGACCAAGGCAAATAGGGTTGAAGAGTAGTACATGAGCGTATTGAAACCGGACATCTGGGAAATCACCATCAGGCCACAAGCGCAGACGAGAGCACGGAAATTCGCTGGATTGGTATGAAGTTTCTTGACCTTGGACCACCGAGTCTCGTTCTCGTTGAGTGCCTTGGACTCCTCAGTGGCCGCAGCGATGAGAGCAACCTTGGCGTGGACTTGTTCAGGCGAAGCTTGCTTGTAGATCCGTTGGATGACCCTGGTTGCCTCCTCGATGTTTCCGTGGTAGATCAATTGCCGTGGGGACTCTGGGCAAAAGGGCAAGATACAAGCGAGGATGATGGCAGGGACTGCACCAAGACCGACCATATATCGCCAGCCGTGGGTGACATGAGCAAAGGCCGCGCCAATCCCGTACGAAACAACTTGGCCACCAGTAATGCTCATATTGTTTAGCCCGATCATGCGGCCGCGTACTTTCGTTGGAGCAATTTCGGCAATGTACAAGGGAACCACCATGGCGGCAGATCCCACGCCAAAACCCACAATGAGACGTCCAACGGCCATTTGAGCAATGGTGTAGGAAGCGGCTTGGAGGATAGCACCGATGGTGAAGAGACAGCACCTGAATAGATCAGTACCAAAACGAACCTAATCGCTGCACAGGTTCACGCTTACCCAGCATAGATCGCGACCTTTCTACCGTATTTGTCTGCAGTCAAGCCAGCAATGATGGCTCCAATGAAAGCACCACCCGAGCAAAGCGAAGTGATCAGTTCCTTTTCGTTCGCAGAAGCTGTGTGGTGATTGAGGTCTGTACCGAGATAGACAAGGACTGCCGAAATGATACCGGTGTCGTACCCGAATAGGGAGCCAGCAATGGACGCCGCACCTGCGACAAGCCAGACGAATGGACCAGTGTTTACATTCTCGATTGAGTCATTTCCATCTTGATCAGACACCTCGACGTGCGCAGTATCGGGAAAGACCATGATATTGTCAACTTTGTCACAGCTGGCCATGGTGAAGGTGTTGTGATGTTGGGTGGAAGGTTGTTGGATCATTGAGAAGAAGAACGGCTGTGAAGTCTACTCAAGTAAGGTATGTAAAATACTAGCCGCCAGCCCTACAAGGAAGGCCTGTGCTCTGTCCAAGCTTGCACGTGCAATGCTTTCTCTTTGGGGCAAGTTGCGGGGGAGGTCAGTGGGCGTGTCAGTAGGTCAAAGCTCGAGATCGGCGTGGCGGAGAAGTATGGATGCCGGACGTGTTTAGGCTAGTCCCAACAGTGTTATCAGTTCCTATAATTGTTGATCGCTGATGGGCTATGGAGGGGGGGGAGAAGATGTATGCTTTTGGCCCCATCGTGGAACAGATGTCAGTGGTAGCACACAGCGTCATAGTCCAATCCCCACCCGTCACCGTATTGCATATCAGCGGGCTAGGTTCGATCAGATAGCAGAAACGCCCAATTAGTACAGAAGGCACGCATTAGCGATGGGGTATTCGGCTGCCGTGTAGACCACCGCTGCGGGGAGTTCCCGGAGATCTGGGGTAGACGCTTCGGCCGCAATATTCTTGATGCCTAGTCCCGGAGTCTGCCAATCAGGTCACGGCCGCTATACTTCTCTTCCGGTCACAAGACACCAACCCTCCGCGAGTGAGGCGAAAAGTTCCCTCACGTGTTTCAACGGAAAGCCCGTTGCGTCATGTCATCGTCAGGCGACGGCCATGGCTTCAACAGGCAATATCTCTTCTGATCGCCTTTCCGACATTGGGATCGGCAATTGTCGACGATGTGTTGCGGCACCACGCGGCAGATCAAGGTTGCTGTTATTATAGGAGTCTCGAATGACTGCTTAGATCGTTCTTCTTCGGAAATGCTCGAAGGGTCTGGGACTTTCGGGAACGGTTTCCGGACTCGTGGATTGAGGCTTATACGCCAGAAGCTCTCAAGCCAGAGCCGCAGGAGCGCCGAGGCTCTCTTGGATGCCGGATCGTCGAGGATGACAATACAAAGCGTCAGCCCACAGGGATGGTCTAAGAGTAGGTTAGGCTTCATCAGTCCCCAATTGGGAGCCTGATTTCTTCCAGCGCGGTCGCAAGGGATCAGCAATTTCTTTCCACCTACTGAACACTCAAAGTCCTGATTCGATCCCCCAGATCAGGAGGTTCTCTCTGCCCCGGCTTAACCCTCGAACGCCAGTTTCGATCCTCAGATGGGGTATCTTTACCACAGCTAAACACGCGAACGCCAGATCCCATACCTGTACCAGGGTTCTCTTCCAGCGGACGATTATCTCGACTCCAGAGTCGACCTCCAAAAATGATCCATTTGTCTATGCTGGCTATATATCCTCATATACACTTGCCCACACCTCAATTCTAGACCCTTCAATCCCTCCTGCCCTGTGTTCCTCTATGAACCGCCCTCAATATCAAAGCAACTCCGGTCGCGCTTGGGCATAATCGGAGACTTCGATAGGATCGCGGGTCGGTCCTCCGAGTCAGATGGTTCAGGAAGCAGAGTTACGAACTCAGCCAGCATTACAAAAGCGTTGGCCCTTTGGGTACCACGAACCTCCCGATTGCCAGGTATCATACATCAGGGCGTTACAGGACTCCGGGCCCTTCTCTCCCGAAAGCGCCTGAAAGATCGCACCGTCTATCAAAAGCGTAAATTTGCCTATGACGTTTAAGACTCTCGCATGGACATGGTTCCGACGTATAGAAGGCGGCCTCCGAGTAGTCTGCTGGGGTGAAGAAGTCTCGAAAATGGTAGCTGTAGCCTAGCTCGGCTCTATCGAAGTCGTTGGTGCTCATCATCATCCAATTGAGCACTCCCTCCAACTGCACTAGCTCGAGCACGTCCATTGACATGATCATCTTGTAGGGCGGTGATCGAGGTACTAGCGTAGCCAATGTCCAGCCCCGGTGGTATGCCTTGATGAAGTCGCGTCGTGTAGTGGGGGTGATGGCGGCCTCTGCTGAGGATTGGCCGGAGACAAATTTCACGAAAATTGACAGGGCTTTGTCCGCGTTGCTTCCCCTGTTTATGATGACCCGGGTTTTCGCAATGGCAATGTCGCGCTTGTCGCCGCGAAGAATGGTCTCTCTGACTTCGATGGAGGCGGAGAGATATTTGTAGACTTGATGGGTACATTCGATGCTTTGTTGAAGGATGGCGTAGGAAATCTGGTCTATGTCTTGTTCCCTGACCGCTTGGAAGTTGGAACTTGTGAGATGTTTTGCTGAGGTTTTTCGCGGAGGCAAAGTCTTCGATAGAACGAAAGACCTGGCTGATGAGCTCGGGGGGCAGGTCGGTGATTGAGGCTGTAGGCAATGTGTGTTTTGGGAATCCTAGGTAGTGTTAATCTCGATCTTCGTCAGTGATTATTTGAAGGTCTCTAGAGGAACTGATCACGAAGCGAAATTGGAGTTGTGCTTGAGATGCAATCGGTGCGAGTATACAGTTTGGGTAGATGTTGCTATGTTGAGGGGCTGAAATCTTTGAAATGGAAAGAGAAAAGTTTCTGTCATGAGAGATAGAAAAGTAAGTCTGTCACACTTATGAGCCCCGGCATTGACAGTGCTGAGATGGTGTTGAACTTTGTTGCGTGGAGAAAAGAATAGCTACCTAGATGTTCTCCTGAAGTAACAAGAGGAGTATCTGCACGGAACCTGAGGCGTGGCATAGCCTCAAGCTGACGTTAAGAATCTTGTTCGATCGACCAGATTGTGACGTTAAGAATGTTCAGGCGCGGTCTGAGGTTTGAAGCCTTGAGAATAAGTTTGAACGTATTATTTGCTGTAACATTCCCGCCAAGATTCAAACCCCTTTTATTGCCCTAGATTAGCAACCTGATGCAGGTTACCGAGGCAAATGAAGCAATCAATCAAGGTACTACATCAAAGCTAGAGTTGTTCTATTTAAATATCTCAAGAGCGGTTTGGCCCAGGGGAAAATCAGTAAGACTACACGAGCCAGCACCAAATTGTGGGCTGCAGATCTGTATGGCGGGATCGTGCTTCGTCTTAGCTCTTGCGTTCCATGACCGATATCCGCCTGCGAAAGGAAAGAAATTCTCAGAGCGATATCTATCTAGGGTCGCATTTTTTTATCAGTTCACTAGTCAATAAATGGGTCTAGACAATCTCAGTATTGCTAAGCTCCAATTCAGATCAAACATGGAAGCAGAAACGGCGATGCGTCAATACATCATATATTTTCAGAGATTTCTGAGTCCAGCTCGTGAAGATGGTGAAGGGGTGCGGAAAAAGGATGCCACGAATCAAGGAAGCAAACGCCGCAAGTCCTGGCCGAAAAGGTTATGAGGTATTTATGCAAGTGGACTCATCTGTCCTGTCTTGCTTCTGGCGGGGTTTGCGATTCCAGCTCTCTCGCGTGTTGCCAGAGCGACCTCATCATAGGGCAACACATGGAGCCTGTGTTCTTTGAGTGTTGCAAGAGATCCCCATCACTACAACATATCCCACCCGAAACCCCCAGCGATGCGTACGCAATTCGCCAATTTATTACAGAGGCGTCTGGTCCGGAAACGACATATCTCAAATCCATCAGGGTAGCCGATTCGGCGACTTGCATTTACAGGATTCTATCTAGCCAGAAATGTGTGTCGGCAGCGTACGCTTGGTACGTTTCAGCGTCTCCCCAGTTCCTCGACGGTCGCATCCGCGAGCTTCCGCAATGTCTTGAAGTTTCATTTCTTGAGACCATCTGCGAAGAAGATCTTCTCCGTTAGATTTACCTGCATATCGTCAAGCCGTGGATCGTGCAAGAAGCTGTGTCCTGTGCAAACATAAGGATCATGTATGGAAAACTCAATTTCTGCTGGAGGTGCTTCCGTCGGCTTTTGGAATCATGGAATGACGGATGTTCCATAACATATTTGAATGGAACCGGTGGTACTTTCGAGCAAAGACGAGAGAAGCTTTCCCGCGGACCTTCGCGAACATCTTCAAACGTAAACGACAAGCGAATAACACCCCGGGAGTTGATGTCGTTGCTCTGGATCCGGCGTGGGTCACGATCTCTGACTTTCCTATAAGGCTGTAGACAAATTATATGGCGTGCTCGCTCTCGCTAAAGATGTAGAAGAGTATGAAGTACCAGACTACAACAGGGCTGCGCGAGACGTATACAGTTGTTTCGCAGTCACGACTCTATCTAAAGGGCCAGGCGAGATGAATGAGCTTCTTGCCGAAGCTGGACTGCAAAATTAGGGGCCCGAATTGTGTTCTGAATCTCTGTCGTGGGCGCCAGACTGGACTCGTCCTCCGAAGATGATTTTCGCCGAATCATTCTATGGTGTTATTTGACGATGGACTTGCCTTGCCGGATGCAGAGGGAGAGAAAACGTCTTTGTCCTTTCAAGTCGACGTGCAGCACTAGGATGACACCCCACTACTTTCGGTGAAGGATCAATTCCTGGATACCATTACCGATCTGGGACCCATCGGAGACAGCACTGAGGAGAGCTGCCTTCTAGAGTGGGTTACGGCTTCGGAGAAAATCCTCCCAACATATTTGGAGTTGGGCAAGCAGATGCCAAGACTATCAGTCATTACCATGTGGTCCGTGCATATGACACGCCTGAAACAAAGTGCTATTGACTAGATGGCAATTCGCCTTCGCCGTTCCAAAGAACCTATCAGCTTCAAACAAGGAGTCGGATCTAAAGCGTCGCTGACCGCACGATGTGCAGAATTTTCCTTGATTCGCTCTCGTGGGCAAGACATCGGAAGGGTAGAGATCCAATAAGACAGTGTAACACTTCTGAGAAGAGGGGCGGTGAAGCTTCCAGAGTTTCAGGTACTGTCGTGTTAAGGCAAAGTATTGTTAACACTTCTGGACAGGAGTAACATATACCCTCTCCCTTTTTCTCTTTCTCTTTCTCTTCTCTTGGTGTTTTGTCTTCTCAAAGCAATTAGCTTCATCAAGGTTAAAGAAACCCTCCTTAATCCTTGACTAGCACAGGCATCTTAACAACCCTCTACATCTTCATCAGAGCTAGACTGCAACTGGTGGGTAGATTCGCACCTCGCTTCAAGACGGGTTACGAATAATCTTAACGATATCCAGATCTTAAAGTCATGTCTCAGCACGATCTCAGCAGCGGCGAGGCCTTCGACGAGACAGCCGTGTCTCAACAAAATACGAGCAACACCGAGGCCTTTCACGAGATCGGTAAGTCATAAGCAAAGGTGTCTTGAAGTCCCTAGATGCTGAATCTTGAAATCCAGACCACGATATCCAAGACTCGCACAATGACACCACCAGTCTCCCAACGCCTATCTCATCCAGTTGGGAATGGTCCTGGAGGTGCCATTTTTGCAGTGCCATAAACAGATCATACCACAGCTATTGCCGAGAGGCCGGTTGCCAACACGTAAGATGCGATTCGTGTCTATTGTTTGAAGGGTAATGTCCCATAGGAACGGTCTTGTGATTTTTCATGTTCCCTGGCATTACGGACTTCAAGGAATTGCGAGGAAGGCATTGGCTGGTAGATCTGCTCGGATTCAATTGCAGTTGCTTTGCTGAGTCGACCCCTTGAGAGGGTTTGGAAACCCATGCCACTGCTTGAGCCGGTGCTTGGGAAGTCATGCTTTGCTTAAAAAGTCATTCTTTGCTCAGAAGCTCAGGCCTTTGTTAATAAACTCATGCTTTGCTCAGACATTCATGCCTTGGCGTACAAAATCTTGCATAACGTATGCCAATCTTTACCTCAGTTCAAGCTATCGCCGGGCGCAATCATCGACGCTCAAATAAACTCCACGGCATTCAGTTCTCAAGGCTAACATCTCTCTTTCACAATATCTGGTTTTGAGGGTAAAATACTAACTCAGAATAAAAAGTTTGGTATACAAAAACTCTACTACATACTTTTGCCATTCTACGGTGCACGGAAGCTACTGCCGCAATACCAGGCGAACGAAGTCGATCTCAACTAAGTCGTAGTCAATTGGCAGTCAACACGGCCTGCTCCCCTAAGTTATAAGGCTTCTGCTTGTGTAGCAAGAAGTAAAAGGCTGCAAGGCCTTTGCACGCTAGGCTCAATCGGCATATGCGGGCTGGAAGTTTGCCAACAGGTGGGGGTATTCATTAAAGGCTCAAGAAGATCGAGCCTGCGAGTCGACAATTCGATCAAGTCTTCGCTTCTCCAGCTCCGTGTGGAGTTCCATCTCCTTCCTGGCGAGCTCTTTCTTCTCGGCCATCTTCATATGCGCTAGCAAAGGCTTTTCTGACACGCTGTTCAGATTATCGTAGATCGCCCTGATGATGGCGTCGGTACCCTCGAACGCCAGTCTACGGACATCTGCCATGACTTTGACCTTCACTGTGCACTGCTTGGTCTGTGAGTCTGTCATGGGAAGTCCGAGCTGGTCGCCTGCGATCTGTCAATCGCGAGTACACAGCCGGAAGATGTTGTCACGGTACTGAGATCGTGATTTGATCACATTCCAGCCCGTCGATCCGCTCGCTAAGTGCACGTTGCGCTGCACATCGAAGTCTGGGATTGATGATCTCGTACGTTGCAGGGTTTGCGAGGATGGCCTTGGCGTGGATGCCAGCCTCGTGGGTGAAGGCTATGGTGTTCTCGCTTAGCAATTACTCGATGCAAGACAGTAACGTCAAAAACCTACCACAGGAGCTCTTGACAGGATTATTGAAGGGAACGTTGAGTTCAATCGCAGAAGTTACCAGATCCCTAACACGCTTGAGCTTAGTCAGATCGTACTCGCGGTTTATGGTAAGCATGCGAGCGCCCGCTTCAAGGGCAGAGAACGCGTTGGCAATTGCGCAATCTGTATAATTGTGAAAGTGGCATTCAACTTCACACTGCACCACTCCACGCAGAGATCTCCTGCTAGTCATCAGCATGTTGTTGGTCACAGCGGGCAGAGATACCCACACTAGATCACAAACCTCACGCGTTGTAGCAACGCCTACTGTGTCTGCTGTTCCGACGTGGTTGCAAAGGCTAACGAAAATGATACTCCTTGTTGACCCAGACTTACGCTCGTGACGCCGACCTTATCAACAAGGGAATGGATGCTTAAGACGTCGGCAAGGCTGTTACGGAAGCTATCCTCGGTACTGAAACGGATCTCCAAGCCCTTATTCTTCACAAATCAATTGAAGCATTAAGACATGTTCATTCTATAGAATCTTATCAATGACCTCAATGGCTGTTTTGGCGGTATACGCAATATCCTTTCCATGCGAATGCTCCATGAGGTACTATGATGTCCACATCCGAATGGCATAAGCAATCGAGTATCGATGATCAGCCTTTCCTTACAGCAAAAGACTTACAACTACATCCACTCCGTCCACACCTCTTTCCACACCAATACGGGCATTGTGCATGCCCGCAATCCTAAATTGGCAATGATCTCGCAGTCTCTTCGCGACTGCTCCGAGCTCACGGGACTGGTGAGCTCAAGGCACTCTACCCAAAAGTCATCTAAAGCACGCCTTTCCAACGTTAGCTGCTTGCAAGGGAAAAAGGAGCGACAAAGAAAAGGGTGGTCAGAGTCACGTACGCGATCTTGACCTTGTTGTCTGTGTCCAAAAAGGCGTGCGAATTGCTCTCCCTCTGGTTGCGTAGACTCTATGATTCTAAAATTGGGGACATTTGACAAGTAATCGCTCACCGATCGTCAGGCCGATCGTGCTTGGTGAGGATGGGGACTGAGAGCTGGCTGTCGAGACTGAGGACGAATCTGGTGGCGACATGGCAAACCCAAACGGCGTCGTCGAATAGATAGCGGTAGCGTAGGTGAAGCCAGGACCTTTCGGTTCTCGATATTGTGAGAATGTGAGGATATCGTCGAGCTGTTATGTAAGGCAATTTCTTATGTGCAGCATGCAGAGTCATTTGAAGCCAACTCATCCGACATCGGATCTGCCTAAAGCGGCCACACACAGGGGGCAGATTTTTGTCCGGGTCGCCCTGCATTGCCAAGCGCCCAGGTCAAACCGCGACGACATCCTCTCCCAACGTCATGCGGGGAAAGAGCATTCCCAAAACTTCTCCAGCAAGAAAGATGGTGCCCTCAAGGCTGCAATTATGCCCTCCACGAATCCTACTTATAACATCGCCTCCATCCCCGGCGACGGCATTGGTCCTGAAGTCATCAGTGCTGCCATCACGGTCCTCCAAAAGCTCGCCTCCACCCTAGGAACCTTCGCGTTCCGGTTCGATCATTTACCCTGGAGCAGTGAACAATACAAAGCGCATGGCCGCTACATTCCGGACGGTGGGTTGGAAGAGCTAAGGAAGTACGATGCCATCTTGTTCGGCTCTGTAGGAGATCCTGGTTCGGCCTTCCTCAACCTGCATCTCAGTCCAAGCCAATGTTGAACTTTTCTACGTGCAGATGTACCAGATCACATCTCGCTCACCGGCCTCCGCCTAACCGTTATTCGTCACCTTCACCACTACGCCAACCTCCGACCCACCCGCCTCCTGCGCGGTTGCTCCTCTCCTCTCGCTGCACTCTCCGCCAACCCTTCCCTTCTAGATTGGGTCATAGTCCGCGAAAATAGCGAGGGAGAGTATTCAGGTCAAGGCGGACGCACACACGTGGGTACACCATGGGAAGTAGCTACCGAAGTAGCGATCTTCACCCGACATGGCGTGGAGAGGATAATGAGGTTTGCTTTTGAGACGGCGCGGGAGCGGGGAAGGAAGAAGGGAAAGCGGGGTAAACTGTGTGTGGTGACCAAGTCGAATGCTCAAATCCATGGTCTCGTTCTTTGGGATGAAGTCGCCGCTGTGGTTTCCAAAGACTTCCCAGACGTGGAATGGGAGAAAATGCTCGTCGATGCCATGACCGTCCGTATGACTCTACATCCGGAGACCTTGGATACAATGGTCGCCACGAATCTTCATGCAGACATCCTGAGCGATCTGGCGGCTGCTCTAGCCGGTAGTATCGGCATAGCGCCAACGAGCAATCTCGATCCCACAAGAGCGAATCCAAGTATGTTTGAGCCTATCCACGGGAGTGCGTTCGAAATAGTTGGCAAGGGTGTTGCGAATCCAATTGGAGCGATTTGGACCGCGGCCGAAATGTTGAGATGGTTGGGGGAAGAGGAAGCTGCTGATGTGTTGATGAAGAGTATGGAGAACGTAATCGAGAAAGGGTGTAGGACAGTGGATCTTGGGGGCGATGCGAGGACCGAGGACGTTACAAGCGAAATCTGTAGGGATATTGAAAGTGGCCTAGGCCAGGATGTGAAGTTCTCTGAATGAAAGACGGTATCAATACATGCTCCGCGAAGCCTGCTTATGTCTTTTGCATTTCATTGAGCCTCTATGCTCCTGCCAAGCGTACTGAGTGTACAGGCGTGACTTCCTTGCAGGCATTTGCAGCTAGCTAAATGTGCAATAGCTTCCCCTTGTTGAATATATCCTGCACACCTTCCTCATAGATATACGCCGCTAGTCCAAGACTAGCTACCCGGAAGAGATCGGACGTCGGCATCAGATTGCTCCGACCTCTCCAGATCTCTCGAGCTTCTGAGAACACTTTTCATCCGCCATGCTGAAGCATTCGTCTTTTCATACAGGCTCCTTTCCTTGAGTTGAGTGCCTTATTAGAGTCGCCGAGATGTGAGTTCAGGCGCGTCTAGAATTCTAGACGACTAAAGTTAACCAGTCTCGCAGGCCGCCTCTCGTCAGGAACCCCCAGATACAGTCCGCCACACTCCTCAACCCTCTGCCACTATTCTTGCATCTATATGTCTGGCCATTTTTGGCAATATGGCCTGTCTTCTTCGCCTTCTATCTATCCGAGGAGCGATACAACACCTACATAAATGGGTCTGAATGGACATTTGTTTGGGCGGGCTCGATAGTCACACTGCAATCTTTGACCTGGCTTACGACTAAATGGAATGTCAACATTGACGCTCTGTTTACATCGATTAAAGCTAAGGCGGTGCGAGACGCCTCGCTGATCAAGGTCATTCCTGTTACAAATGCTGGATCGGCGGAGGTTTGCAAGTTACTCAGGGACAATGTCAGTAATGCAGCAAGCGTATGACATGAACTAGACTGATTGGGAATAGATTGGCGGAAAGCAGAACGTATCGTTCCTCTTCCAGAAGCGCCGGTTCCTCTACAATGCCGAAGAGAACAGCTTTGCGCCTATGTCCTACGAGATAGATAAAGAGCCGAGACCAGCCATCAGGACGTTCCAAGAATCGCAAGGCCTCCTAACACGCGAAGAGTTCGATCGGGTCCAACAACATTATGGTGATAATACATTCGACATCCCAGTACCAACATTTACAGAGCTGTGGAAGGAGCACGCTGTGGCACCCTTCTTCATCTTCCAGATGTTCTGCGTGGGGCTCTGGCTGTTGGACGACTACTGGTACTACTCACTTTTTACATTGGTTATGCTGGTTGGATTTGAGAGCACCGTAGTTTGGCAAAGACAAAGAACGCTGAACGAGTTTCGCGGGATGAGCATACAACCGTACCCTCTCTGGGTCTACAGGCAGAACAAGTGGGAATTGGACTCAAGTGACAAGCTTCTTCCCGGAGATCTGGTGTCTGTGGATCGGACGAAAGAGGATAGCGGAGTCGCCTGTGACATGCTCTTGGTCGAAGGCACCGCAATTGTAAATGAAGCTATGCTGTCTGGGGAAAGTACGCCGCTGCTCAAAGATTCCGTTCAGCTTCGTCCTGGTGATGCGCCAATTGATCCGGAGGGCCTTGACAAGAATGCTTTCCTCTACGGCGGTACCAAGGTTTTGCAGGTCACTCATGGTAACGCCAGCGAAGATGCACCGGAGACCGTCCCTACCTTGGCTTCTGGAGTTGAGCCTCCACCAGACAAGGGAGCAATGGCTATCGTTGTGAAGACTGGTTTTGAGACGAGCCAGGGAAGCTTGGTCCGTACGATGATTTACTCAACCGAGCGAGTCTCAGCCAACAACGTGGAAGCTCTGTTGTTCATTCTGTTCTTGCTCATCTTTGCAATCGCCGCATCATGGTATGTCTGGGTTGAGGGTGTTGCCCAGGATCGGAAACGCTCGAAGCTGTTGCTCGACTGCGTCCTGATCATCACAAGCGTAGTCCCGCCAGAGCTTCCCATGGAGCTTAGTCTCGCAGTCAATACCAGTCTTGCAGCCCTAAGTAAATACGCCATTTTCTGTACCGAGCCATTCCGGATACCTTTCGCTGGAAGAGTCGACATTGCTTGCTTCGACAAGACCGGTACCTTGACTGGGGAAGACTTAGTTGTGGATGGCATCGCAGGGCTATCGCTGGGTGATAAGAACGCGAAGACCGAGAAAGACGGCGCTCACAGCAAGTTGACTTCTGTGCTCGAGGCTGGCCAGCAGACGACGCTTGTTCTTGCGACTGCTCATGCTTTGGTAAAGTTGGATGAGGGAGAAGTTGTTGGGGATCCAATGGAAAAGGCCACTCTGACCTCGCTTGGCTGGACACTTGGTCGCAATGATACTCTCCATGGCAGATCGACAGCAATTGGCAAGGGAAACACAAGCGGCGGCGAAATTGTACAAATTAAGCGACGCTTCCAATTCTCCTCGTCTTTGAAACGGCAAAGCTCTGTGGCAACTGTACTCACCACAGACCGAGCAACCGGTAGGAAAGTTCGGGGTACATTTGTTGGCGTGAAGGGAGCGCCAGAGACAATTCGTACAATGCTTACCACAGTACCACCAAATTATGAGGAGACGTTTAAGTTCTTCACAAGGAATGGAGGACGAGTACTAGCCCTAGGGTATCGATATCTCTCCGCAGACGCGGAGCTCGGCCAGAAAAAGATCAACGACTTGAAGCGGGAGGAAGTAGAAGCAGATCTGACTTTTGCTGGCTTCCTAGTACTCCAGTGCCCTCTTAAAGAAGACGCGATGCGGGCTGTTCGGATGCTCAACGAGAGCAGTCATCGTTGCGTCATGATCACTGGTGACAACCCTCTGACCGCGGTGCATGTCGCTCGCCAAGTTGAGATTATCGATCGGGACGTCCTCATCCTTGATGCTCCCGAGCACGATGATAGCGGTAAGAAGCTTGTGTGGCGAAGCGTTGACGATAAGATCAATATCCCTGTCGACCCTAGCAAACCTTTGGATGAGAAGATCGTGAACAAGAAAGATCTTTGCGTTACTGGTTATGCTTTGTCAAAGTACAAGAACGAGGCCGCTCTTCCTCAATTGCTCCGGCACACATGGGTCTACGCTCGAGTCTCGCCGAAGCAAAAAGAAGATATTCTGCTTGGCCTGAAGGATGCTGGCTACACCACGCTTATGTGTGGTGATGGTACGAACGACGTGGGAGCTTTGAAGCAAGCTCACATAGGTGTGGCCCTCCTTAACGGCTCGCAGGACGACCTGAACCGAATAGCGGAGCATTACAGAACTACTAAGATGAAAGAGATCTATGAAAAGCAAGTCGGCATCATGAAGCGATTCAACCAGCCTCCACCACCTGTCCCGATACAAGTTGCCCATCTTTATCCTCCTGGGCCGATTAATCCTCATTACGAGAAAGCAATGCAACAACAAGCGGAGAGAAAAGGAGCTGCTGGAGGTGTGGCAGCCAACGCGCCTGCTGCAGAGAAGAAAGAAATCCCTGAAACCACCGCTCCACCCCCCACAGGCAAATGGTAACCTCACACCTGAGCAAAAGAAGCAACAAAAAGCGGCACAGCAGGCAGCCGGTCTTGCTGACAAATTCACAGCTTCGATGATGGAGCAGGAGCTTGATGAGAGTGAGCCTCCTAGGATCAAGCTTGGTGATGCATCTGTGGCAGCTCCCTTTACGAGCAAGCTTGCAAACGTGATTGCCATTCCAAACATCATCCGACAAGGGCGCTGTACGTTGGTGGCAACAATACAGATGTACAAGATTCTGGCGCTCAATTGCTTGATCAGTGCTTACAGCTTGAGTGTATTGTACTTGGAAGGCATCAAGTTCGGAGACGGCCAGGTGACGATCAGCGGCATGCTCATGAGCGTCTGCTTTCTCTCTATCTCACGAGCCAAGGTATGATTCGAGTTTCCTACCACAAGAACGTCTACTAATGCGTCTCCCAGTCTGTCGAAGGCCTCTCCAAAGAACGTCCCCAACCCAACATCTTCAATCCATACATCATCGGCTCCGTTCTCGGCCAATTCGCCATCCACATTGTCACCCTCATCTACCTCTCTAATTACGTTCAGAGTATCGAGCCCCGAGCCGAGAAGATCGACCTCGAAGGCGAATTCGAACCCTCTCTGCTCAACAGCGCCGTTTATCTGCTCCAACTCATCCAGCAAATCTCTACCTTTGCTATCAACTATCAAGGTCGCCCCTTCCGAGAAGGTATCAGCGAGAACCGCGGCATGTATTGGGGCCTTATTCTCGTGTCTGGTGTAGCTTTCTCTTGCTCGACGGAGTTCATCCCTGAGATCAACGAGAGGCTGAAACTCGTGCCCTTCAGCACGGAGTTCAAGTTCATCATGACCGGTCTTATGGTCGTTGACTTCGTGGGTTGTTACGTCATCGAAGTCGTGCTGAAGTATCTGTACAGTGATTTCCGACCGAAGGATATTGCAGTGAGGAGGGACGATCAATTGAGGGCGGAGGATTCGCGGAAGGCCAAGGAGGCTTATGAGAAAATAGAGGACGACAAGAAGATCGTGAGTAATGGGGTTGCATAGTTAGAATAGAACTTTGGGGTATTTTAGATCAATTTTTTGTGTATTTGGAAGGAACACAGCCCGTGTCTTGTCTGTCGAGTGAACATTTGATGCCACGTCTTGGCGCACTAAGGGACGCGCTTGGTGTTCGCCCTTTCCTTCATCACATATATCTCATCTAATTTGGCACCAACTCTGTGGCATCGACCGCAACTCACAGCCATGGCAGCGGCAAGCGGCCCGGCACAAGAGGAATACATCTGGAAGTGAGCAACACTATTTCGAAAAGAACAAGATCTTACTGACTTCGAGCAGCGATGACACGCCGTCCGGGTTCCTCAAGCTCTCTGCTGAAATTCGAAACAAGGTCTACTACCTGACGCTGGTGACGGGCTCTGTGACAGTCAAAGATGTGCATCCTGAAGAATGGCAGGCCGACAAGGAAGCCGGCCATGCTACTCGTTCCTCCTACAAGACCAAAGACCACGACGGTGACATGTGCTCCCATGCGAACGACTACCCCCAGTCAAAGCGCTGCACCTTCAAGGGCGAGCAGTGGAAGAACGCTAAGGTCTCGTACACTCTACGGAGAGAGTCCTACCTGACGCCACCTACCATTGCCATGCTGGCACTCAATCACCAAATTCGAGCGGAAGCCATCCCAGTCTTCTACGGGGGGAATGAAATCCGCTTCAACAGTATGAGTGCAGTTCTTCCATTCGTACGAGATCGATCCGAGCTTTCTCTGCAGTCAATGCAATATTTCCATCTCGACATCGGAATCACTGCCTACAAATGCCAGGCAAGCCGACAAGAGGGCTGGGCTCGAATCTTCGCAGAACTTCCCAGATTGGGGCCCCTTAACCTCCAGAAGCTCACTATGCGCATCTACGACCCCGAATGCCGCTACGCCTGGAAGCTCAAGCTTGATACCAAGATGCAACGCTGGGTGCACGAAATGGCCAAGAGCATCACAAACTTGGACATGCTCGGGGTGACGTTCGACTTCAGCGTCCTGGGAGAGCTGACATCCGACGAAATGGTGAAGGAGTATAGTCCGACCCAGGAGTTGCTGTGGGAATTTCTGGCCCCAAAGATGCTGAAGAAAGTTGGGGATGAGCCCCATGACGCGCACTCGCTACTGAAGCGTCGTATCCGTGATGACTTGCATGAGGATTCTTATGAGGATGAGGTCGGTTTTTAAGCGGAGCGGGCCAAGTAACTTGATGTCATGTATCGCCGGCTTTGTGTGTTGAGATCAAGATTTGTAATGGCTGTTTTGAGCTTCTACGAGGAGGAATATTGCAGCGCAAAGCTCAATGTGCTGTTCAATGTATGCTGAGCGGGTAAGAGCGAAAGTTGGTGGCACTTGCTTGGCTAGGAGATTGTACCATCGCTTGCCAAGTCAAAAATACTCAATGTAGACAAACTTGTTCCTGTTCACTTGCAATGACTACTTTGACACAGTACAATTTATTTTATACTGATGGTGCTACCTTTTACTAACAACATCTTCCCTATTTTGGAAGCACAAATGATGCAATAACGCATTCGTATGCCCCCTCTCCGCCTTGTTACAATCCAGTCTTTTCGACGACTATCAAACACCCATAGCCCGCACGCTTTTCGCACCCTATCCACCAAGCGACGGACCAACATGGCTCCACCAGTCCAACTATCCCAGATACCAACCCTTTCAGACCTCTACAAGAACGGAACACTCCAACCCTCCACCCCCGACCCCACAGACACTCCCCTCCCCACCCCATCAGCAACGCTGAACGCCAAAGTCTCTCTAATCCGCACCTCGATCACAAACCTCGCCACCACATGCATCGTCAATGCTGCAAACACATCTCTACTGGGCGGAGGCGGCGTCGTAAGTCTACCGACTGCCCCACGCCTCACTTTCCCACGCTGCCTTCAAACAGCCCTTTGCCAAACTTAGCTAACAGTTCCCTTCCTTCCAGGACGGCGCCATCCACTCCGCCGCCGGGCCCTCCCTGCTCAGCGAATGCCGCCTTCTGAACGGATGCCCCACCGGCTCCGCCAAGATAACCTCCGCGCACGCCCTCCCCTCTTCCTACATCATCCACGCCGTGGGTCCCATATACCACCGGCATAGGAAAGCCGCCGACAAGCTACGGAGCTGCTATCGAACCAGTCTAGAACTAGCCCTCGAAAAAGGGAAGGAAGAAGGGCAAGATGCGAGTATTGCGTTTAGCTGTTTGAGCACGGGGGTGTATGGGTATCCGAGTGGGGAGGCGGCGGAGGTGGCTGGGCGGGAAGTGAGGAGGTTTCTGGAAGAGTTGGAGGAGGGGAGGGAGAAGGAGGGCGGGTTGGAGAGGGTTGTATTTTGTATATTTGAGGCGAAGGACGAGAGGGCTTATGGGGAGTGGTTGCCGTACGTCATGTCCCATATCCACTGGAACGGAGTCCAGAGTGAAGGAGAAATGCGAATGAACCCTGCTGATACGGGAATTTGTAGCAAGATCTTCCCGCCCACACCAGAGGACCTCTCAGCCAAAGAAGAACCCGCAGAGTCGGAAAGCCTTCCAGCAAAGCCGGCAGCTGAGGAAGCTCCAGCAGTAAGCAAAGATACCAGCACCGGCGCACCCCAAGCCAGAAAGCTCAAAACCTCCACAGAAGATCTAGGCAAGGACGACTGGGAGGCTGTCGAGAAGCCAAACGAGGCGACCTCGGATGAAGCAGCGGATATGAGCGAGGAAGGCGAAAAGGTGGAGGCTGTAGAATTTGGTGGGAGTGACGGAGAGAAGGTTGGAAAGTCCATTGAGGAGCAGAAAGGGGAATCCAAAACGGATGCTGTACAGTCGGAGAATATGCTGGCGAAGGATTGGTGAGAGTTTTTTTGATAGAGACTACGAGTTTGTAGGGTTTATTGAACAAGATGCATACGAAGTGCCTTTGCTCCTACGGTTCTGGTTACGGATATCATGAGACGAATTTTGAGACAGCATAATTAGCTGAAAGATGGACTCGAATAAGCATGGAGCATAAATTAGTTCTGGTCAAGCTCAATAAAGAGCACAAATGCGTGAGGGAGGTCTTTTTAACGGGGTGAACGACAAGGTTCCACGATGGTTCAGAAACAAGAAATTCGCCATACTGGAAATCATGACCTACTCAATGTCGACCCAGGGGAAAGGGGAGAAGTCAGTGAGTGTCATCCCGACTCTCTTCCTCATCCTGACGCAGCATCAGCCTGGCCAATTGGGCTTCGGGTCCCATCATTGCTGCCGCGTGCGGAAATGTTAGAGTCATAGCTAGGATATCGTTCCTTAGGTTGCTCGACGATATCGTTCACCTCGTCATATCTACCCCCACTCCGCGTAAGTTGGTCCAAGAGCCATTGCCCTACGCTGTCACCTTGCTCCTTTTTCTTCCCTGCCCAATCCACCACAGCGGGATTAGCCCGATCGATGCCCGAGAGTTTCGCCCATAGGAGGCGTCTGACGATGTTCCTTCGACATCCACGTTCGATGACTGCGAGTTTCAGATGTTCGGTATCCGGCTCGATACCCACGGTCCTGCGCTTCGTTGAATATCTTATCCAATCTGAGAAATCATCCTCAAGGTTCACAGCGAATTCTAACTCGCTGAGACCTGGCTGGAAGTAATCATCCTCGTGGCCTTCCATGTCTCCAATTACCAACAAGTCGACAGCTCGACAATTGTCTTCTCTGATCGCTTCCATCAATCCATTCTTTGCTATCTTCCTGTACGCCTTCTTATCCGGACTAAGTTTGGCGCCACCCTCAATCAATACCTGGAGGAAGGACAGCTGATTTTCGGTCCACGGCCCGTGGAGCAGCTTGACGGGTATGTTAGGGTGAAAGTCACACCATAGGCATCTCCACTTGCGACGAGTCGTTTGTATCATTCTGGAGTCGTTCTCGCATTTCAGCCAGGTCCGGAGGAAGACCACTCCATTTCGGGGATCTATGCCAACGCTGACCCGGGGTGTACCATCACGGGGGCCCCAGCTACAAGTCCCGAGCGATGGCGTAATGCTTACATCCTTGATACCATATCCTGTATGGTCTTCATTTGGTATCCATCCCCTGGTGTCGACACCTAGACGTTGGTATCCGCGATCAAAATTCTCATCACTGTCCGTATCACCTGACTCCAGTTCTTCCGGTACTTCTTTTTCTTCCCCGTTGGCCTCGATATTGGCTCCTTCCTCCCTCCCTTTTCGGAAATTCTCTCTCTTAATTTTCAACTCGTCTTCAGTGTACTCGCAAACATCCAAATTCTCCTCACACCGGATTCCGAGATGGACTTTGAGGGCGAACACCTCGTGTACGAAGTCCCTGACCACCGAATCCTTGACTGGCGCTCCGCCATGCCATGGCACCTTGACCGCATTGTACGGTTGCTCCTTCACGGGCAACTCCTCCTGCCAAGGGAGATTCTGGACTCGAAACTCCCGTAGTAGGGTCCTAACAACAAACGTTTCCATGCACAACTTTAAGAAGTCCCACGTCATCCACCGGCATGCTAAGATCCTGGACTGTAGCTTCCCAATCTCAATCTCTGTTTCCATACAAGTATCGCCCGCATCTCCGGCCTGAAGGATTTCCGACAATTCTGCATAATCCTCTGCATCGAACGCACCGCTGTGATTCGGGAAGACCTTCCAAACCACTACCATCTTGGTACGGGTCGAGGACAAGGCCGTGCCGAGGTGCGAGGATGCTAATGGAAGGTTAACGTTGAGGGATTGGAGGAAGATTTGCTCCAGTAGCTCTGTAGGAAGGCTTTTGAGGCTCGACTGTTTGGGGTTGGCGGGCGTCATTATCGCTATGTCGGAGTATCACGGGCGTGGTGTCCTGATGACTAGAATATAGAGGACTGGATTTACACTGAATTGGGAAAAGAGTGAGAGGACGAAGTCGATATGCATTCGATACCGAGGTCGCGTCGCGCGGCAATTCGCGCTACCTGCTCGAGTCACGTGATATGGTTCGAGATCTCGCCGCTGCCCACGATGGCACCAATTGCACTCTTCACATCCATGCCTACTCTTCTCCGCCCTCTCCGACCCATATCCCACCTCCGAAATGCCGCCCGCCACCTCTCCGTCCCCTCACGCCCCCATCGCCCTCCCCGCTCCCAACCCACCGGTCCTCCAATCCCAAATACACACCCCACAGCTACCCCGACCCCAACAACCCTGCCACGACCCCGCACCGCCCGCACCACCCTCAGCGTCCTCGTCTTCTTCGCATCCTGGTTCCCCGCCTTCTCCTTCCTCACCAATAACGTCTTCTGCATCATGAGCGTGACCGGGCCATCCATGTCTCCGTTCCTGAACGCAGATTACAACAGCAGTATGGCGAGCGATCGGGTATGGGTGAACATGTGGAGGGCGGGGGAAGGGGTGGAGAGGGGAATGGTGGTCGTGTATCGGTACATTTACCCGTTCGACGGAGGCTTCGAGATTATTGGGGGGGGGGAGCCGGAGACGGGATGAGAGAGTAGAGGCAGGGGCTGACGAGTGTGCTGCAACAGGTCCCCGGCGAACCCCGAACGATTCGTCGTCAAGCGCATCATAGGCCTCGAAGGCGATACTGTCGTCACTAAACCTCCGTACCCGTTCACGCAAGAAGATGTTCCCTTTGGCCATGTCTGGATGGAGGGCGATCAATTGGATGGTAACAAGACTATGGATAGTAACCGGGTCGGACCTGTGTCGAAGAGTTTGATAGTTGGGAGAGTGGAGGGAGTGGTTTGGCCATGGAGGAAGGCGGGGAGGATACGGTGGGAGGATTGGAAGGGGAGTGACAGGGTTATGGTAGGGAAAGGGACGGTGGAAGAGATTCAATTTTTTCATTGAGAGTCAAGGCAAGTGGAACCTCTTCAGTAAGCCAGCTCAGGAACTCGAACGTGTGTGGATGCCAAAGTATTGTAGCGGCTCCAAGAGGTATGTACCACCCCCAAACCCTGCCTTTTGAACTATACTCTAATAACCATAGCCCAGCTTCCCGACCACCAACGCCTCGCTAAGACAACATTCTGATGTACAGCGGCACTAACTCTTATCGATAACCCGAATATCCTCACCGACCTGCAAGCGATCAATCTCCATTCCGATACTCATGACCCAATGGTCACGCTCCGCCCTGCTCCGCGTCTTGAATACAATCGACCGACCAGGCATACCAAGCCTTGACACATACCGAAGCCGCTGCCTCGTTTTACCCGATTCCTGCTGCTCGTTTGCCTTGAATAATGATTTGCTCTGGGGCTGCCAGATGACGAAGGTAGTCATTGTATCCTCGTCCGTCGAAGTCCAGCCATCTTCAAGATACACTCGGGGAAGGGCATGATGGCCTGGGTGATTGCTGTCGAAGGTCTGGTTCTGGTAAAGAAGATCACCTTCTGTAACAAGGCCGCTGTAGATGTAGCAGTTCTTTAGATCAACTGCTGCTTGTCGTTCATGCTGGATATGTCTGACTTCCTTTCCAGTCCGCTCGCGAAGGGTTCCGTGGAAGATCAAAACCTGGCCATGGCAGAGAATCACCCCGCAGCGTTGAAAGGTTGAATGTCGCTTTGGCTTGCGGTACAATACTCCTGCCATCTGCGTTTAACGTTAGCGTGTTTTTTCATCTATAACATCAGAAAACGCACAGTGATAGCGCGGCAGCAGGATACACCGCACATGTTGAATAGCTTTGGAGAAGCCACTGATCTAGTGACCTCCCACTTTGAACCAAATTGACCGATGTAAGCTTCCGACTCTTCATCGACATCAAGTTGCTTCAGATTCATGGCCCGCACTGTTTTGTACAAATCCACGTCAGCAGCAAGGCGAACCTTCCAATACCGAACAAGTTTTCGAAGCCGATGTATCCACTCCTTCTTAGTTGTTTCATTGTAAGCCTGCAGCCTGATGACCAGCTTGTTCTTCATGACTAGCTCAAAGGTGCGATTGTCATCGAATTGATCAATTTTGCCGTCATCCTGCCCGGTGTCCTCCACTTCCTCGTGAAAGTCAACATCTTGTCCTTGGCCAACATTTTCGTCCGCTACGGAATTTCCCCGTTGCGCAATTTGAACCCGAACCACATGACTTAGGTTGATGTAACCCTCAGCTTGGAGCAGTGTGTTCATGTTGCGCTCAGCTTCCTTATATGCGTCCTCGTCATGGCGTGTTTTATTTGCTGTCGCTGCTTGGTGAAGCCATTCTATCTCGCCATCCTTGTTGGGGTAAGGATTGACGGCATAGATCAAAGGGGTGTTTTGAACGATCTCGCTTGCGCTCGGAACCTTCGCATTTCTTGACAACGAAAGCTTTGGTGGTGGTGGAGGCAACGCCTTTGCCGGTCTGCAATAGCATAAAAATTGGTTGTGAGTGGCAAAATACAACCTCTTGAAGTACATTTTCCCGAGCCTTCTAACATTGCCCTTCTGGGACGTAAGGCGTACTAGAAACCCCTCTACAGGCGCAGGCTCGTCCATAGCTTCTCCGCCTTTGGGCTTTATGTGTGTCAGGTAATGGTCCTTCGGTCTCAGCTCTAGCTCGTGTGTTCGCTCCATCGCCAATGTGCCATACATCTTCTGCTCGTTAGCACCATGCACCCATTCCAGACGATCATATCTTTTCCAAGCCAGGCCAATCTTCTCTTTCCCAAGCCATGCTTCGAGCACATTCGACCACTCAGGGTTGTTCTCCAACATCTTGAGAGATCGCTGTATGATATTACTAGCGGCCGCTTTTTCGGCTTCCATCGTCCTGTTCATCGCTGCTTCGTCCACATTATTCGCTTGTGCCGCATCAATCGATGTCTCCAATTCACCGAAGGGATTATCAAGCTGCAGGGTAACACTCAAGTCGGGCACGTTGACCTGCAGGGATGTGACACATTGCTCACCCAGACTGCGACGAATGAAAGTATACCATTCGACAGCACTAGCCGATGAGTGAGTTCGGAGAATGTACATCATCGTTCCTGCTCTCCATGGAACCCAGATCACCACCGTCTTATCGAGCGATGAGTAGAGATTCACGTGTGTGGTTTTACGAGCTAGCGGTATCTCGTGTGTTGAGCGCTTCTGTACGTGGGTCTCTTCTTTCGAGGGTATGACTCGCGTTTTATACAGCTGAATGGAGAATTCTGCATCATCCGTGGTGCTCTCTCTGCAGACAACCACGAATTCTCTCCACTTCTCAACTGTACGAGCTGACGTTTTCAAACTGTCGTTCTCATTGTAATCAGGCGGAAGCTCTTGCATAGTGGAATCTACCCGCACCAGCATCTTCTCCATCTTGACGATCTCTCCTGGGTGGGACCGGTCCTTTCGGAGTCGCTTCCATGCCCGCTGAGGACCAAATTTCCTTGAATCAAAAGTTGTCAGATTGTCTCTGCGTTCACCTTGATCGGCGAGGTCGAATCTGACCATGCCGCCTGCCGTTATTTGCTGTCCTTGCTCTCGACCAGCCCCACGACCTTGCGGCGGGTCTTTGGCTCCTATAACTGGAGATGTGCCACCAGAAGTGCCAGAGGGACCGTGAGGTATGAGTGCATCGGTCGAGTTGGGATTAGTGGCCTGGTTCACCATATCACCATTGCTTGACCTAGGGAACATGACGCTTCCAGGAGTCTCTGGAGACGAGCCTGGCTGAGGTTGGGCAGAATCGAAAGACTTGGTTGGCTTGTTGATCTCAATGTTTGTGATCTCTCCAATGGTTTTCCTTGGGGTCTGGTTCTCTTTCGCCGTTACGAAAGACGCAGCAGGCGGGCTTTTGAGTGGGCTTAGCGAAGGCATCATCGACTTGAAGGCTCTTCGCGGCCTTGTGGGGGCAGTGACGAAGGATGAGGTGCTAGACTTGTGTTTGGATTGGCTAGGGCTGAGTCTGTCCTTGAATGTCGGCCGCCGCTTCACTGGAGTATGAGGTTCCTCGTTGGGAGAATGCACTTCAGGACTGCCATGCCCGGTCTCTATGGCGGTAGATTGTGCTTCCAGCCGACTCATTCCATCTCCCCCCTCTTCGTGTTCGGTTTCTTGGTGCCCGTCTTCGCTTGGGTTGGTATTATCAGCCTCCTCTGGCTCCTCATCAACGTCCTCTGGCTGGGGGAAGCTGCGGCTAAACGTAGCGCTTGCCGACGGCCCATCAAGACCTGTAATTTGCCTCTGGTGGGATATGCCTGGCTTTGCTGAGAACGTTACAGCTCGCGAAGAGTAATCTGAAAGCAGGTATCGCGAGTACCACGATTTGCGGTGGCTCTTGAGCCATCCTTCCGGGATTGGGCCAATGAAGCAGCGGCGGGTTGTGAGGTGTACATGTTCGGCTGAGGCATGTTTCTGAATTCTTAAGTCAGTGCAACTTCTACATTTCTGTTGCCATCTCAGACGGTTACACATACCAAACGGAGAGCAGTATACGATCCAGGCTCCAAGTCATTACCAAGTGGGGTCCCAGGCTCCGTGGACTGGCTGGAAGTCATCTGCGCTGGAAAAGAACCCTCTCAAAGACTACCCCAAGCATCTCAAGCTTCCTCAAAAGGTAATACTAAGTACAAGAAATGAACATGTTCACATAGAATTCATGGAGCAGTTCCAAGCATCTCAACATCGATGCCAAGACCCATGACGCTTCGCCGACAGCCGCGCGCTTCTTGCCTGAGGCCAATCGTCCGACATCCGCTTCCATCTTGGATTACTTACTTTAATTACTGGACCATCAAAGTCCTTCACACTCAAATCATGGCTGTACCGCACAATGTACCTTTCCCGTCAGGCGGGACTTGGTTCGATACGCTCCATAAAACATTCGACGACGTCCCTGTCCAAGCCAATAACGACAATGCCATCCCCACCAGCGACTTCCTTGAAGCAGCGGAGTCCCTCACAACGCTTTTTGGTGAGCTAGCACCTCCTGAGCTACTTTCATTCCGTTGAAAAGTGCCAGGCTTACAAATGGGCAGATGTGCTAGGCTCAATGGCATTCACACCCGTCAAGAATGACATGATCGGCAATATCAAGGTCTCAACTCCTCTCCGCGCTGCACCCTCTCATCCCAGAGAATTTTCGACTGACTGGTACAAGAAAGTCCGCGACCGACAGCTAGCCACCCCCGCTGATTCAGAAACACTTCAATCTCTTGTCACCAATGAGCTCAAGACGAAGAAGCACACCGCAGCGGAAGGTCTGCTCTGGCTTGTCCGGTTCGTCCAATCTTTGTACCCTGAACCTAATAACGAGCCTCAACTGACAACGTACTCCAGCGCTCTCGATTTCACCTCGCAGGGTATTCGCAGCAACCTCCAAAATCCCTCCGACGAGCTCTCCGCCTCCTTCCGCACAGCTTACGGCAATACGCTGAAACCTCATCACTCCTTCATGGTGAAACCGATCTTTAGCGCAGCCATGTCAGCAACGCCGTATCGAAAGGACTTCTATGCCAAGTTGGGAGATGATCAGGCCAAGGTGGATGAGGCGGCGGGGAAGTGGTTAGAGGCGCTAGAGAAGCAGGTGTCAATACTTAAACAATTTCAGGCGAGGAAGGAGGCCAAATGGTAAAGTGTGCGACTAGGGCAATTGATGTGGGATCGAGTCGCTGCAGGGTCACGAACGTGCTATGTATGACTAGATTATAGACGATATGGACGCATAGATGAAAAACAACAGCGGCCAGTAGACGTCAGTTGGTACAATCGAATCGTCGAGAGCTGGATGAATACATCTAAGCTACCCATCAAGTCAGTTCACAGTATTGAGAAGAGCGTCATTCATCACGCTAGATTGAGCATCTCTTGGCATTGGCATTACGATTGAACCGATGTTCCAACCTATCATTGATGCCCACCTCCATCAAAGATAAGCGATAACAAGTCCTTATCTCCGATGTCGCGCTCGGTTGCGCAGCCACCCATGCACAATGCACCATCCATGCAATAAGAGATCGCTGAGGCCCACCAAGCTCCTTCGAGGCGCGTGGGAGATACGCTGGCCACAGCCAAGGAGGTAAATTTTCCCTTCCACAAACACAGACGCTCCTCGATATATATCAACTATCTTCGGGCATCGCAGATAAAAGTAGGTGAACATTTTTTGACTCCTTGGTTTGGCGATGTGCGTCTCTAATTGATAGGAATACCCTCTACTTGGCGAGAGACTAACGTTCAATGAGCGTTGGCATCGAGATAGTATTTATACCCACTGGACCCAACGTTTCAAAGAGATGCGACGATAGCTTATTATCTCAGGGCAGCTTTAATATAACGACCCCAAGGCTGCAATGGACCCCATTTTCTGCCTTCGGCTTCGCCAGCAATATTTGCCAACTCTGACACCTCGGCGGCAGATCAGTATCACGCGGCCTCGAAGTGTACAGATCCGCCGATGGCGCCTCTTTTATCAAGAGCGAGTTGCCGTCCATCGCCGATGACGTTGCAGGATTCTGTAGCACGAAAGTTTTCTGCGGACTGGAGATCTCGTGCTGACGTCAGTCCAACGTTTTGTATTGAACAGGGACACGGTGCTCAATGTTCGATGTGGTTCCGTGCAGAGGGATAGATGGGTTGGGAGGAGAAGACGTAGTTAGAAGAATTGCGAGTTCAGAATTGACTGTGTTGAAAATGTCGATTTGACCTTGTGTCTGAAGCGGAAGAAGAGGAATGAATGTATTGAGAAAAGATGGGTTGAAAGAACAATACGAAAGTCAAGAGTAGCGATGTTCAAAACCGAGTGTGTTGGGAATGTCGACTTAACTTTTTGTTGAACGAGAAGATATTCGCCCTTCCTGTTCAGCTCTTCAACTTATAAGGAAGAAGGCAGTCGTCTCCTGGGTTTCAATGATGATGGAGACAAATCCAACGTGATCGTGTGGTGCTATAGTAATGCATCTCAACGACCTCTGATCTAGATAAACTAGATGGTTGAGATATAAAGGATGATATGCAGAAAACAAAACCGTTCGATGTCCGTATCCCTCTTCAAATGTAACAGAATATGTAGATTACCGATCGCAATGGGACGGGCTGAACGGATGACTACCTCTGAATCTCAGACGTCAAACCAACACGAGGTAAATACTCATCGCGACCCAATCTCCAACTCCACACTCAAAGCACTCATCCCAGTCACCGCAGGCAATATATTCGTCGGTACCGAGCCAACTTCCGTTGCTGTCAGTACAGCGTTGCCACCCAATGTTGCGCCAGCTACCGTCGCATTCAACGCAATGCCTTCCGCACCAAGGCCCCTTGGGTTGAAAGGATTGATACCCTTGCCAGTGATCATATACTGATTCATGACATTTTCGAAAGGGGAGCCCGCTTCGTAGATGTAGACGGAGACGTAAGGGTCTCTGAAGATGTCTTTTGGGGTTTTAGATTCAAACGATGGAGAGCTTTTAGACGGGGGTATCCAGGGTAGAAGGCATTGCAAAAATTTGTTGGCAGGAAATGTCGTCAAAAATTGAGTAGGGTAGGCAAGGAAGTGACACATACCACTCACGATCCATACACCCCCCAGAATGCCGCCCTTCAACACAGTATTTGTCAACTCCAGTCGTGGCAGACTGCACTGTCCTCCAGTCCATGTTTATACTAGGCGACCGCACTCTCCCAGCAGCATCGGCGTGCATAAGCAATGCCAAGCGTGCCGATCCTGCCGTTAAGTACACAATGAGCCATGGATCAGCAATCCGTCCTTAAACGCGCAACGAAGTCCCGTTGAGGATAATCTCGTAGGAAAACCCACTGAAACGCCAAATCATCGGAAGCTGTACCATGTCTCGCGGCCAAGTATTCTTGAGTGCGCTGAACCGTGGCTGGAAGAATGCCGGCTCTGCAAAGATACGACCTGCGTCCATCTGGCCATCGGGATCTGTTTTGGCAAACGGTAACGCTTGAGCAACTGCTGTGCTGTCAGAAGCTGAAGGTCGCCCATATAGGTTGGAGGAGCAGATCATCGAGGTGCTCTCTATGGTGATGGCGAGGAAAAAGGGTGTGAAGATTGCTAGCAGGAGAAGCATGGTGGCCGTGTGGGCAAATCCATCTTCACTGCTGACTGGAAATTCATGATCTCCTCATATATGCCTTCAGCGCTTCTGTGGAGATCCTCGGCTCGCGCAAGTGTTGTGGTTTGGGGACACGCGTGGGGAGCAGATGACTCCGAGTAAAAGGTTGAAGCGATAGGCCTTCCGAGCTGCATGAATTGCCCGGCGTCCTTCAGGGTCCACGGCATCTCAGATCTGACTTCTGCGGCTACGAGACAGCGTAGATGATTAATCATTTCCAGCCTTGGCAGGAGAATGCGGTGAAGCGGCTATCGCATTTCCAGTTCAGCTCCCACCACTCTAGCGGCAATATCTGCGTGGTTTGCATGCTGGTGTAAGGTCACATTGTGTTGATGATGATTTACAGGACGTATTGAAGAGCGACGCCTGAGTGAGAGGAGGAAAAGGCGGGTTGAAAGGAAGATACGAGGTTCAAGAGGGAGGATGTTCAAAACTGAAGGTGTTAAAATTGACTTTATGTTGAAAGACGAATATTTCGAAGAGCGATGTTTATACACGAAGAAAAAAAGACGGGTTGAACGAAGACCCCGAAAGTAGTCTCAGCTTTCATCTGACTCAGTCCATGGCAGTTTTCAAAACCCGAAATGCTTGACCCATTGACGAGATTCGTGACACTTGCGATACTCTACCTCACTCGAGACATTCCAAAGAGCACAAAGGGTAACTAGTAGAGTCGAACCGAAGGCAAAATGCAGGTGCCTCGGCCAATATGTCGACGAAAACCCCAGCGAAGGTATTTTATACCACATCCCCGTGAGGGGCGAACATTTATTTACCGTTCTGATATAGGTAGGTCTTCCTCGTATATACGGTCGAGAATGAGCGATTAACTCAATTGCCATGTAAGAGATAGCTCTTTCCAATGCATCAGAGCAAGCTCACTAGATGCTAATAAAGCCTGCACACACTCAACATTGCTGCATATTCACTCTATCGCCGTTGTGATGGTCAACGTACTGCATACCTACCTGCTCGATCCTCCCCAGAATTCCACAAAACGAGCAATGCTATTCAGCGACGAGAACCACTGTCGAAGATTTGCCCATCACTTCTGCCGTAGTTGAGATAGTTGATGACAGGAATACTTGGCGTTGGAAGTGGTCGATGAGGAGAAAGGTCATTGTTGTCAGGAGTGGCTAGTAGCTGAGGCCGACGATGTTTCCGCGGATGAGGAGTCACTGCATATTTTCATTGCACCAAGAAAGTCATCTTCTTGAGTATTCCTGTATGTGACTTGATCGCTTGTCAAACAGGCTCAACGATCGGGTCCGAGCTACCTTCGCTAACTATGCATGCGTGAAACTAGAAAAGTAAAGGACGTTTCTGGAAATTGTACACAAGAATAGAAGGCGATAAGTCGACTGCAATCCATACACCCAGTGCTTGCCTCACCTGGTCACGATGGATGCGATAGACGCCTGTCAAATTCGTTGCGCTGAAAAGTCGGGTTCCTACTCCTCTCCCAGACCCTCAACCTTCCTCAAAAACTCTCTCACTCTCGCCAAGTCCACATCTTCACCACCTTCACTCTCAACGGCAGTACGGAGGCCACCAATCAGTTGATCAAGCTGGCCCTCCTCAAGACTCAAGCACAAGCATACCAGCTTCCTCAGCTGCGTCTCCAACTCCGACGACTGATCCTGCAAGTTCTTCGCTTGGGCTTCAAGGCGAGCATTGTTCTTTTGGTAAGCCGTTGTTCGTGCCTTGAGAATGGCCGTCGGCGGTAAAGTGGCAAGGTAGTCACGCTGCTGTGGAAGAATCTGGAGAGGTTGGTTGTGGTCATGCGAGAGTGGAAGTATGGTAGTATCGATATCAAGGCCTGCATCCGCTTCCCCAACTTTGATGTCTGGCCTAATCTCTGCAGGCGAACTGGCGGATCTTCCATTAGCACTTGATGAGAGGTAAGCACGCTGTTGGTCGTTGGCACGGCGCAGGTTAGCAATACGTTGGCGAAGGGCTTTTCTGTCATCCGATCTGCGCTGAAGCTCCGCGAGGCGACGACGTTCTTCGTTCAATAAAGACGTAGTTTCGCGTAATTTGGTGTGGGTTTGATCAATGAGGGATTGTTTCGCCTGAATCTCGGATCGGAAGGAGGATTCGGTGTCGGACAGCAGGGTCGTTATCGCTATCATTCAAGTCAGTGTATTCAAGGCAAGGAAATATGAGGAAACTCACATGCTAATAGTTCCTGACTACTCTCAGCAACTTTGCTGATAACGTGATGCCCTATTCTCGTTACTTGGCTGTTCTGGTGCGCGTCCAGCAAGTCTGGATCTCCTCCAACACCAAAATCTGTAGGCTTTAGACCGCCACGATTCGCTATGGTAGGATCGGCGCCAACTTCAAGCAACTGATGAATGATGTTCTTGTTACCAATTCGTGCAGCAAGGTTTAATGCGGTGTCGCCGGACATATCCAATGCATTGACGATTTCTGACATGAACCTCACAAGTGTTATCGTTTTGGGGGCAGGCATAACAAGGTCAGGGTTCTGAAAGGAATTCTGTTGGCTATTTGAAGCACTGCCTTGCCGGACGACGAACTCCAACAGTGATTCGAGATAGTATCGGCAAGCGGCGCTCTTTCCTTTAATAGCTGACGCCACAGCCATGTGATGCAACACAGTTCGGCCGTGGCCATCTCGGATCTCGATGGTAGGACCAAGCAGCTCAAGAAGGTCTGTGAAGCTACCTTGGTCGAGGTTGTTGGTGGTGAGGACGGCACGTATTAATGCAGTCTCGCCTCCTGTGTTCAACCGGTAGATACTTGCACCCTTTTCGATCAGCGCTCGGAGTAGTGATGTGCGGGCCAAAGTGGCAGCCCAATGCAAGGCTGTATGTGCGGTGGCGTCGATAGGAATATCGAGGTCTTCGCCTGATAGGCTAAGTAGTGCAGGATGGTTCGAAAAATCTGTTTGATTTGGATCGAGGAACAAATTGGTCAGAATCTGTTGCTTTTCGATTGCGGATTTGCTTGTAGGTTGAGGTAAAGGTTGTAGTCCGTTGAGTCTGTAGTCAATGCTAGATTGAGCGTAGTCTTGACCATAAGCAAGGGACTCGTTGGCATCTGTAGGTGTCAGATCTCTCATCGATGTATCGTAGTCGAGATTTTCGTCAATAGCGAAAGGATCCTGGCTGTTAGAGGGTCGTATGCGTTTTCGAGGTGGTTCATTCATGTCGCCATTCTGTGGTTCATGCATGTTCGAGTAGTAGGGTGTATTGTGCGCTCTTAGCGCAGGGTCGAGCTGACTGTTTCCAAAGCTGTTCTCAGAATGCAGACTTTGCATACTTTGCTGGCTGCTACCGGCATACGCAGAATCTTGGCTATTCCCCATTTGCTGCGATGGCCGTTGAATTGGTTTCACAGGTCTGCTCAGATTTGATGGTGATCCCATCCTGGCCTTGCTGATCGCGTTGACAGCATTTGCTGCTGACTTGGAAATGTTCTTGAAGAAGGTGCCGTTCGGTGACTGCGCAGGAGCCCGATTGTCCGCTCCACCGTTGATCATGTTTCGCTTCCGTTGAGCTGCCATTGCCTGTTCCTTTGTAGGCGTGTCAAGGTTCCCCTGGCCGGCTGTTGTCATGCCATCTTGGCCCATGTCATACTCGAAAAGTGGACGAAGCAGCGCCTCCACGCCGTACTGGCGCGCAAATTCCACGCCTCTTCGGTAGCTGATCCATGTCCCTTGATATCTGCCATATCCTCCCTGCACCTTCTCGTGTTCGCCAGAAAGAATCTCCTTTTCCAAGACTTTCGTTCGTTTCCCCTTTTCAATCCCTGCCACTTTGAGGATTTGCGTTGCGTTCAACCAGGAGTCTTTTCGTCGTCGCATGACTGCTACTTGGTTCACCTCCATCTCATATACGGAGACGCTTGAGTAGACAGCCTGATTGTACAGAGGGTATCAGCTTAGGAACAGGAAGAAGAGGATGCTATATGAGGCAGTCATACGGTATAGATTTGCGGCTTTTGGCCTGGGGGATAATGCTGCTGCTGGATCATTGGCTTCGGATCATGATGATGCCTCGGTGTCGTCTGTTGACTGTATGTACCATTGACTTGGCCGTAGCTTGGCATGCCATGGGGCATGATATGTTGGTGTCTTGAAGCGGGCGGCGTGGGGGTTGGTGTAGATGCAACAGATTGAGCGCCGTCAAAGGAGTTGAAGGCGGAATGGGAGTGATTGATGCCGTTCCCTACCCCATCGGTGCTATTCTGTGAGTAGATAGGCGGAGGAGGGTACGAGGGCGAGGCGGCATGCACAGCGGACGCCATGATGTGGTACAATTCGGGATTGCAGCTGACAAGGATGGAAGCGGCTGCACGCGAATCGCGCCTTCTCCTGCAGCACTGATCTTTAGCACAATATCCGTAGATATAGACTGGTAAGGGAGGTCATGGCCTAGAAACTTACCAGTGTTTTCGGGACTTGGCAGAAATCGTAGAATATGCAGCAATGCAATACGACAGAGCGTGATGGGAGGACGTGTCGCGAGGGTTCGCGTAGAGTGGTGCCGCTAGCTCAGCCCTAGGGCCAAGATGCCTACCTAAGGTTACGAGATAGAGTGTTACAGGTGACATTTACCACCTATTTGTACATTGACCTAAGATATCCCTCTTCGATTATACCAGAGCCATCTACTTCCTCCTAGAGTGTTGCAGCTCTTCAGTCCATTACGAGAGACTCTCGATTGCATCCTAAACATGACCCAATCCCAGCTTAATCAGAAAAGACCTACAGGCTAATACCTAATGCCTTGCCTAAGTAAGAAACCATCTCAGCATCGTCTTGAGGGAGCAGTATGCGACTATGGAGACTAGGAAACAGAGCGACCAACGCCCATGCTAGATATGCCGCCGTCAATGACGCCAGCTCACGAGCGGTACTCCATGTCTTCCGCGCCCTCCTTCGCCAATGCACATACCTCCCAGATCCAGCAGCACGTCAATACCTGCACGGCCACGTCGTTTCCAGATTCCGCGACTACCACCCTCGCAGTACCCTCCCCTTCTCCAGCCGGCGCCACAAATCTGCCGCACTAGTCCAGCAACGACTCCCTTCCCTGCTGCGGACAGCCCGCAGAGGCCTCATTTTTCTATGCCGAGCTAACGATGGGCACATGCGACATCTGGGTAAGATTCTGGCGATGACATACGGGCGCGTTGGAAAACGTCGTCACCAACTCCTAAAGGACCTGAAGATTCCAGACGTCCCCGTCGACCAAGCTGTCATCGAAAAGCTCTCAGAGCCAGGCAACCAAGCTGTACCGCATCCTTCTGAGCAGCTTATGACTTTGATCAAATCGCAGGCCAAGCGACGACTTTCTGATTTCTCACGATCCAATACTCCGCGTCCTAAGCTTGTGATACCTGAAGAGAATAGCTGGGGGCGGCCAATGCCAATCAGAAGAGTTCGGAACTTCAAGAGGAGGTGGTACGCCGAGACGCTCGATAGGATCATGCCGCCTCTGCCTGAAGCTGAATGGAACAGACTACGTATGCGGGCGTCTGGACAGTCGCCGTGGGAGGGTCCTGTTACTCGCAGGAAGTGGGCTGGCGGTCCAGACGACAAGGAGCGGCGACATCTGGTTGGAGAGCGCGTCAAAGGCCCTTCAACAGGTAGCTGCAGCAAGCCTCACAATATCACAACCCGCTACATGCGCCGCCTCTGGGCGAAGATCTCAGTGCAATGTCCCCTGATAAAGCCGAATGCGGCGAAGAAGTCGGGGTGGGATGTTTTGTGGGGGGATGTCCGAGGTCATGATACAACACGTTTTGCGCTGGGACATAAGGGCGAAGGCCGGTACGACATGTTTAGTGGTGTAGACGAAGGCGGCAGGGTCATTGCTGAAAGCAATAGTGCCGGATGAGCAGTCCTTATATTGGAGTATTGAGTTAGGAGAATGCTCACCTTCTAATTGTAATTCGCTACTTCGTAGGATGTATCCTACATATCTGAGCACCGCTCCGAAGACTCAAGCTTGGAGGGAAATGCATCCATTTAATGAGCAAACACGTGATCAGGACATGCATAGATCTTGAGCAAAAGATGTTCAGCCAATCCTAAGCTGCCACGCCTTGGACGCGCCTCATTCGCTATGACTAGATACTTTATACCCCTCACGGACTTCACCCCCATCATCATCCAGTATTTCTACCCGCCGCCACAGCAGGGTCGCGATAGCTCATCGCCATTACCGCCTCACTCGCCACACTACCCTACAAGGTACTGAAGATGACTATGACTCCTCTTGCAAAGCCAACACCCTCCTTTACTACGATGACCAGCCCAAATGAATATTATAAGCTCTGGATCTAGCATTCAAGCATGCCTGGGAGGTGGGTTCTTAGAACTTGATGGGTGACATCTGTTTGGCCTAAAGGCAAGATCTGTAGTCTGCATATAACATTCAAGAAACAGCCGTGTGTCTATGTCAAGAATCGCATCTGCACCTCGTCCATCAAGCACGGATTTCCAAATTCGATATCGAACCAATCAACCTTGTGCTCTCCTCCTCCTACGCACCTTAATACAAGCAGACATAGACGGCACGTTTGCATCTCCAAAGACAATGCTCTCAGGTCGCTTGGCAATGGGCTGGATCTCGTAGTTGAGGGTGATGTAAGCAACCATGAGCTTGAGGTTCTGAACAGCGAACCAGCGGCCGGGACTGCGACCTGTTAGCAAATTTCGATTCGCTTCTTTGCTACCTTGGTTGATAAGTGGCAGTGCCCAACATTGCTGTTAATGGCTTGAGACAAATGCACTGACCAGGCATAACGACCATAACTCCACCCCAGAAACGTGTCGCTGATGTCAGTTGCATCGACCTTCTCGTGGCTGGGAACATTACTCTCGGACCTCATCACCGCGAAGCGAAAAGGGTTGTACTCGTACGGCTTATCATACAAATCCCCGTCCATGTGCACAGCTTGCACGGGTACTCCCAGCCAGGTGCCTTGAGGAACATGAGTACCGTTTGGTAAGGTGACACCGTCTGGAGATACCACGGCCCTCAGTAAGCCGCGGGTTTGAATGGAACTGCGTCGTATGCTTTCCCGTATGGCGCTGTCCGTGAGTACCAGCTTCTTCAAGGCTGTCGGATCCGCCCAGTCGCCTTCCGATTTGAATACGCTGGCTGCCTCTGAGCGCAAGCGCTCGTATGCGTCGAGCGAGGGGCCGCTGCTTATGATGTCTAGGAAGAGATTGCTGGCGACTAGGGAAGTTGATGCGAGCGTTGCGAAGGACTGTGGGTCTATACCGTCAGAGAATGGTATGTTTGCGCATTTCCAGATGTCAAAGGTCTAGGACTCACAAGGACCAGAAATTGGTCAGCAACGTATTCCGCGCTCTGATGGGCGATTTCTTTATCCTTCATGATCACTCTCACGCTCTGGGTGAGAAAATCCTGTGATTCGTTCCTCATTGTTGCGTCGTCCTGCTCACACGCGACTTCGTGCATGCGTTGCTTGACGATAGGCGTAAGGACTTTCTTGACTCTGGCTTTGCAGATTCGGAAAGGCAGAATGAGCAGTAAGCCAACGATAGGACGGATGATCGGGGGCAATTGCCCACTAAGAAGGATACCTAGGAACCTGTCAAGCTTGGTTTCAACGCACATCTGGGAAGTACTGATGGAGTACCGATTCCCATCAAAGTTTTGAAATGGGTCAAAACCCGTAAGAAGTGCTGATCACGACATAACGTCAAGCCAAACAAAGCTCGAACCCCAGTTCTATCCCCAATATCTTTGAAAGTCTGCATCAAGTTCACCTCGTGCCAATTCTTCTCGTCCATCCCCATGGCACAGTCGACACTGGCACCCATCTCCTCAGAGACATCAGCTTGGACCTTGTCGAGATTGCGTGTGAGGAAGCGGCCAACGATCTTGTCCATGAAGGCAATAGTTGTCTTGTGATCTACGGTAGACATCATGGCACCCAAAGCGCGCCTCTTACTTCGGACAGGCCATACGGAAAGTACGGTGTCAGATTGCGTCGTGAGCCACTTGATGTAGTCCTGGGGAAGCAGGATCTGCGGTTGGAAGCTGAAGTCCGACACAACGAAAGGTTGACCTTTTTTGCTGAACTAACGGGTGAAGGTGAGATTTTCTATGGCAAGTAAAGATACAGAGAGATCTACCTTCGTATATGCCTCTTGCAAAACCTGTGTACAACTGATCAGCTGTCGCAATGACGCTCGTGTCGTCTTGAAGACTTCGTCTCGAAGGTCGGCCCAAGGGAGGCCGTTAGCGAACGTGGTGTCAACGCTCAAGGAACGACTGATGAGCATGAAAATACAGATGGCTAGGATAGCACACAGAAGGGTGACTCCCAGGTATACGTCCATCTTGGGAGTAAGTGGTGGGGATTATAGAGAAGTGAAAGCTGCTTGAGAAACAGTGAGGAGATGATGCTTTGAAGAAGATCTACAAATGCAAGTGTGAAAGCTGTGTTGTTCTTGATGAGCGGCGGAGTGAAGCCCCATATTTGCCCCTTGGCTAACTCGAAGATCATGAAACAAGAGACTGGGGTGGAACCTGGCACCTCTACCCCATCGATTCGTCCATAAATGCACAGCCCTCACAGCCTTCATTGTTCGAAATGCGTCAATCAAGAACGATTATCTATACCACTTCGAGCCCCAAACACTGATACTGCGGGTTGGAATCCCAATCTCGCCAAGTCCCCATTTAATAGATCCGCGCTGCCGTCTGGGATAGACCACAACACACTTGATGTATTTGCTACTATCCCTTTAGTGAAGCAGAGAAGACGGTGGCGCTCAGAGGAGCGGGGTAGAAACTTGCCGATCGTTTCCAATACACGATACGCTCGAAGGAACCTCACACAAGGTGGGCGGTTGGCTGCATTGTGCAAGGTAAACACGCTAAAGTTGACTAATAGCGGATTTTCGCCTCAGTAAAATACAACGCCTGGTAAGTGTATCATGGAGATGCCGGCCGGCCCTTGAGCGAACCTTATGCCCACGTTCAACGGCACCACATCGGCGCCTTTAAGGAAGCCCAAGGGTGTAGTCATCGCCCAACCCTATCTAACGCCGCCAGGATTCTTTAAAGGGCTTGCCGTTGCGCAGATGAGCTGATTCGGCCCGAGACGCGTTCTCTGTCCGCTGGGTCCTAGTGCTCATGTGAGACTGAAACCCACGTCAGTATCGATCCCCTCATTGCCAATCAAGAGTTTTAAGGCACTTACCCAGTAGCGCCTTTACCCGCCATGTACGACGTACGGAAGAAGAATTTATTGAATCGAATAGATGGCTCGGCAGAGCTTATTTTGGCTTCTAAGAAATTGTTGGCTCAAGCTAGCTTTTAGAAGGTCAGCCATTCTGGCTTCAATGCTTCATGATTACGAGCGTTTCGTAAGCGCCCTGTAGAACAAACTGTCTAAATTCAAGTAGCACAATTAAGTCATTTTCAACCTCTGTATCCACACCTTGACCAAAAGCCGTTCGTTCTGTGTGACGCGTTGGCAGGAATCGCAGGCTGAATGGAGAGGCGCAACGATCCGATAAAGGTCAACTTAATTCCATCACCTCTCGTCTCACGCAAAACCTCATCATCGATATGCCAACTGGTTTTCCTACTCGTCATGGATAGTACTAGTACCACGGAGGGCAAAAAGCAAAAATCTGAGCCGATCTCGTCAGTCACGCCTTTGCGGCTTAATCAAGCGTGTGAAATTGGGAGGTAAACAAGCTTCCGTCTTAGTCATTCTTGACGCCTGCGCTGGGTATTCACTGCAGGTGTTGGACCAAGAGCAAGGTCATGCGTTCAGAGCATGCAATTTTTTTCTTCTTCTTCCTTTTTTTTCCCCGGAGCAGTATATAGATCTTTTGAGGGGGGGGCTTTGGAAAGAGATTTTTATGAAAGAAGAGGAGGAAATTTGGCACGCGCTTTGAGTATGTGTATATAGAAACCATGGCATATGACCGCAGTGTAAAAGTGAAATAGACTCGGATAGGACCTCACATGAGATACGTTCGTACGTATGTAGAATGTTTACGAATTGAAGAAGAAAGTTATACTTATCGGTTGGGAAAGCAGCGATCTGCTTATTCCAGACTCAGCTTTATGTGCCTGAGGTATCAACCGGCGAATCGTGATAGAAAGAATAAAGATATCAAAGTGGGTTTCCACGTTGCGTATCCCATGTCCTGGCAGCTGGTAGGATTCAGGAGCTGTTGATCGAACGTCAAAAACTCGCACGGCACAGCTCAACGACGAAGCGAGCTATAGCGAAAACGTTTCAATTTGACAGTTGCTTTTTGAAAGCAGATGTATATTTTTATAGCAGAAGGTTTGATTGTGTGCCTTGTTGGTCGCAATGCTTTACTGCCTTGTGAAGAAAGCAATACATACTGTTCTGCCAACATCCACACCATTTTATCAGGACAGAGGATGATATTTGCAGAAGTGGTTGGGGCAAGGGGGTCTTCCCGGCTTCTGTGGAGGAGATCTACGTGAACGTGAGATTCGGCGGACTTGATGACACTGTATATTGATAGAAACAGCGATACATGTATAGCATTCGGAAATATAGTATAAGACTTGATGCGGCGATGTTCAAAGAAGTTGTCCCACGCATTCCAGTGCCCCTTGCAGCGATCTTCTGATCACTCGTCCAACATCTTTTCGCATCACCATCGACCTCTTCTCGTTCCATTTTCCCTTCATCTTCTCCTTCTTCAGGAAACATCTCATCATCTTCTCTGAACAGCATCTCGCCGTCCATCCCGAGTCCCGCAAACTCAGCGTCTTCTCCTTGCTGAGCAAGCATACCATCGTCAACAACATGACCCCCTGCATCTTTTTCCACCGGGCTGTCCTTGATGTGATACCTCTTCCTGTGCCATTGCAAGCCATTCGGACTGGTGTAGCTTGCGGAACATCCTGGCTCTTGGCAGAAGTTGTCTGCTATTGGGGTCTCTAGGATGTCCGCCTTCGTAAACCAAGTGTTTCCCCAGCGTTGACCGGTGGTAATCAGCATGGTCATGTGGGTGAGGACGCAGGATCTGGACATGATAAAGTCTCCCGCCCGTTGCCTAAATCGCAGCGCCAGATCCACGTAGACGGCATCACCGCCCTCGAAGTCCATCCATGGGTAATTGAAAACCCACCCCTTCTTTACGTCTCCAGGGTCCTTGTGAGGGTCGACGTAGGTGTTGATGAGAAGAGCGTGGCCGAGGAAACATCTCCAGTCATTGGCACCTGAGTCAAGGTGGCCTAGTTTCCCCCTCTTTTCGAAGCCTTTGGTAGCATGTGTGATACTGCTCCCATGTTTCCGGGTCCAAAGCTTTGAACCAGCCACTGATGAGCCTGTGCTCCCAGGTGGTCTCGGAAATATAGTCGAAAAGTACACGCATAGCTTTTGGTGCTGCAGGAAGGGCATCGGCGGATATAATAGGATCCCAGTTGCTGTTATTATGGAATTCATTTACCAGTACGCGAAGTGCTGCACCATATTAGTAAGTAAAATGGTGAATCATGGGTGTTGAGGTGCATACATGAACTCCGTACTGGCACTTTTTGGCATTCCAACCACTCTTCTCCTTCTTCAAATGGTTGCGGTGCCTCGGGTCTTTGGCCAGATTCGTGGGAGGAGGAAAGAACCGTAAAAGCGTCATAATCACAGCCATGGAGAGCGAGTAAAAGATCTCCCAGAGGGCGCCATATGGTGAGAACATTCCTCGCTTGGTGAACCAGATAAGGTCGACTCCGTCAGACGTTCTCACAAGCGTGCTCTCATCGATGGCGAGTAGTGTTGCGGCGAATTGATGAGCAGCTGCAACGTAGGCCTCGTCGCTTGGTACTTGCTTGACAGTCCCCTTGAAAAAGTAGTCCGAGTGCATATCGGCCTTCAAGACGCGATAACTGCTACAGAAGATGCCGGAACCGAATTTCTGAACGCCCTGGTCGACATAGGTAGGTCGTGTAAAAGAGGCTATTTTCCTTGAACGGAGGGTCAAGATCAAGAAGCTGTAGGGATACTGGTTCTCGTGAGATGAATGCTTCAGCTGTTGGTTGAAGGGTAGTGGCTAGATGGAACTGGATAGCTACAGAGAAGTCAAGGCCTTGTATTCAGTCCACACAACACCGCGCTAGTTGATGAGCAGGCGCGTGGTTCAAATGTCTCCCATAGGGCTAGCCCATCCGCGCCAGGATCCAGGAGTAGATGGCAGGATGGTATCCACGTCCAGGTTCTTCAGGTAAAGAGAAGAAGGCAAGCATGAAGCCTCCCTCCTCCAAAACAGTACCTCCTTCCATAGGGACAGGCTTTTCCTCCAAACTTGGGCGAACAGCCCCAGTGCCTGTCACAGCTTACATTTGGCGATCTTAGTCCTTGACATGGATCTCGTACCTGTTCCATATTGTCGAAGGCTTCCAAATGCACCTCTTAGTGTCCTGGACGGACAATCATCTGGGACAAACCACCAATGGCGCCTCAGAGACTCTGAACTGCACAAAAAATGTTCGTTTATGCTTCTGTTTTGAAAGCCCTGGAACTGCGGTCGGTCTTCTGGTCGTTCAGCTTCCAGTCCACAATGGTCCAACGGTCAAGAAACATCATCAATGATCCAATTTGGCACAGGGAGGGTGCAACATTGCCTCTGACGTTCAGAGCCAGGATCGTACTCATTTGAGCTCGAATAAGAGGTTGTCATCAATATAATGCCTGTTCATGTATATTCGAAGTCGAACCTTGGTAAGCGGTAGCTTCATACTTTCATCCAGAGTCCAAGGAATCGGCTCTGAATGACCTGGAAAGTCCATGTGTCAGTCTCATTTTCAAAACGACTGTGCTGTCATATGTTTGAGCTCGGCAATCACGGTTTTTCTTTTCGATTGATTGTAAGAGCCTAAGGCTTAGGAGAAAGAAAAAGAAGGGGAATTGTGCTACTATACTAGGAATTGAAAAGTTTGTGCCATAAGGAAAACATAATTAAAATCACATCTTTCTTACCTGTCTTACAATGGATGGCACAATTGTGATATATAGGCGCTGGAAACAGCTCATGACCGTTATAGCGTGCAGTGATCGGCCGAAAATGAGACTAATGCCTAAGGCGTCGAACGGTCAAGCTTAACAAGATATAGAGCTGGCCGTGGATATGGCGAAGAATCCAGAAGTATATACGTACTGATACAAAAAACGAAAGTGAGAACAGTGACAATGTTGCAAACTCGAATTACGGGGTTTTCCACGTCCCAGCTCAACAAGATTCGGGTAGCTGGCCATATAGATGGCGAATGATCCAAAAGAATATATACACAGATCCATGAAATGGAAGATGTTATCAAGATAATATTGCAAGTTCATCTGGCAACCGGCCAGGTAAAGGCTCTTATCCCATCGTCTGGCAGAGGGTAAAATTTAGGGGTTCCGACCGAACATCAAAAAGTCCCGTCTTGCAACTCACCATAACTCAATAACGAGGACCCCCATAGAAAGGTTTATAGTTTCGCATTTATTTTTCTTAAGCAGATCTTGAACTTCGCAACTGAAAGTTTTACTGTAAAGGTTGTCATTAGAAAGTTATTGGGCTGCGAAAGTATGGTATTTTAATGTTCTGCCAAGACATTTTACCTCCAAGGCGCCAGACGATGGGATAGAAAAGCTCTTCATATGAGGGAGGAGAATACCGCAAGCAGACGTGGCGTTGGCGTGAATAGCAGCATGTGCCATGTAACATGTGATGCAGTGCTCAAGTGATAGCTGTGAGGTGAGGTTTTGTCATGGTCACGTCGATGTGAGGCAAATAGTCTAGGAGTGCGATACCCCTGTTTTCTTAATCATTGGGAAACTAAAAAGAAATCTGCGATTTTGGCACCCCCCGATAATCAAATATCAAAAATTTGAATTTACTATATAACCTCACCACTACTTATTTTTACAATCTAAAAACTTTACGAAATCTACTTACTATCCCTTTTCTTATACTCGAAATAAATACGCTAGTAAGGTTCTTTAAACAGGGCTATTAATTAGTCAAATTTAACGTCTAGCGTAGATCTCATTACTATTTAATATAATTCTTATTAAGTAATATTACGCTTTGAGCAGAGTAGCCGTAATAATTTAAAAAAAAAATTATTTTTAGAAATCGATAATATTAGCTTAAATACGATCTATAATAGATATATTTCTTATTAAAAATTATCGAAAATTAAATAGAATCTCTAGGTGTTAGATTATTAAAAAAAATTCTTAAGAAGATCGAGTATATAGATAAATAATATACTATAATTATACTCTCTGAATATTACGTAATTAAAGGGCTAAATCGTATTAAAAATATCTTATTTTATAACTTATTGCTAGATCTTAGCATATGAGATTAATCTAATAGAAGGTGATAAGATAATAGAATACGATAAGATGAAAGGTTCATAATTATAATATAGCTCTAGAATTATCTCTTATTAGTCTATACTATCTATAATAACTCTAAATAATATTATATAAAAAGAGAAAGATAATAGAGATAGTCGATAATTAATAGAAAGAAGATAGAGATAAGAAGATAGCTTAATAGACGATAGATAGTTAATATATAAAAGAAGAATAATAAAAGAAGTACGATTATATAGCTATTAAATAAGCTCGAAAATAGCTATATTCGAAGAATAATCGAATCGTATATTAATTTCATATATACTTTTATATAACTATATATACTTACTATAACTATAAGCTTACTTTAAAGCTATACTTACTTATATTACCGCTTTTAATAATCTTTATCTTTTATTATATATAAAGCGACTTAATAGTTAAAGTAGTTATATAACGTATAATAAAGCTATTTCTTCTTTATAAGAATATTAAAATTCAATAAAGTATTAAAAGTACGCTTTTTTAAACTCGGTATATATAATCTAGACTCGACGATAGTATTCTAATACTTATACTAAATATATATTATATACTTTTTTATAACTCTTATAGAAGTATTATATAGTTTAGCTTTAATATACTTAATAGTTTAATTAAATCGTTTATTATCTAGATAAGCGATATACTTATTAACTTTAACCTCTTCTTTAAATAAGAATAGTTTCTTATATAATCAGATCCTAAAGTTCTTATATTATCTCTTCTTTTAATAATAGCTTATATAACTTTTAATCTTAAAGTCGTTAATAATGCTATAATTTAGTATCTAAAAGAAGATTAACTATTAATTTCTTATAGTCTTTCTCTAAGTCTTATACGTCTAACGATATTAATTAGTAATATTTATTAAGTCTATATTATAATTATAGTTATTAATATAACGTAGAATCTTAAATATCGCTCTAGACTATTTATTAAATAGCTCTTTTATAGCCTTTATATTAATAGAGATAAGATCTAGTCTTTTTCGCTACTTCTTAATAATATTACTTATTTTATCTACGATATATATCGTAGATAGCGAGAGTATTATATTATTATTAATTCAACTTAGATATAATACGTCGTTTACTAGAATAGCTATAAGCGTATTCTAGAGTAGCTTATAATTTTATTTTTCTCTTATAATCTATAGAACTACTAGAAAATTAACGCTATTATTTATATAAATAATTTTATATACTTTAATATCTATAATTTATAGCTCGTGAAATAATGAAATCGATATAAAGAGATTATTAAGATAAAGAGTATATATCTTATTAGAAGAAAGAGGAGATAATATAAGCGTAAGCTAATATACTATAGATTCGATAATTATTAGCGTTTTATATAGTTTTAACTTATCGATCTTTAAAGTACGCGAGTAATATATAAAGTTATATAGATATCTAGCCTTATAAAGAACTTAGAACTTATATCTCTATTTAATAAACTTATTTTTTATATCAACAATATACTTTAACTATTTAAAAAGTTAAATTATTATCTTATCGATAGCGATATTATTATTAAGCCTTTAATATCTCTAATAATAATTTCTAAAAAAAGTTAATAGAGGCTTTATTTTATATTATTATTAAAGTCTCTAAGACTTTAATTCCTTCTTAATTATTACTTTTACCTCTTCTTCTATAAACTCTATAAGCGTATTATTACTTAGAGGACTAATATAGAAAAATCGCTATAATTAAATAAATCTATTCTAAGTTATAAATAACTATAATATATATATAAAATCTAATAAATTAATTAGTATAATAATAACTTACTTATAATAAGACGATACGTATTATAAAATAGCTCCTTATTTTAATAGCTTACTATTTTATCTTCTTAATAAACGCTTATATAAATTAAACTATCTATAAATATCTTAATTTTATTTATATTAATAGCCTATTAAGAATATTAATTAAAATTCTTACTAGAAATTCTTAATTTAATAGAATCTTATTCTCGAGATATAGTAAGCTATTATAAGATATATATATTAATACTTCGCGTAATAATCTTAAATATCTTTTTAATAAAGAATAGCGAGAATAGAATAAATAGGCTATCTTAATCTAGGTTCGCTAAGATTTAAAGCTCTAAAATACGCTTTAATTCTTTTTAAAAAGTATTAAATATAGCTATAGAGAATTTAGCTATAGTAATAATAATAGCGTTATTTTCTTTAATAATATCGAATCGCGATTTCTCGATCCTTACTTACTATTTTTTAAGCTTTCTTTTTTTTATTAAAATCGCTTTCCTCTTAATCTTAATAATCTTTTTATTATTCTCGTTCTTATTACTATATTCGATTAATTATATAAAAATAATAATATTTATAATAGCGTTTAAAGCTTTTTTTATAATATTATTAAGAATTACTTTAATAGCTTAATTAATAAAAATAATAACTATAGTATTAATCTTAATCTTCTATTTTATAATCTTCTTCTTTAC